GTCGTTAAAAAGGGGGTCATTTATTCGGAGGCTCCGCCAAACTAATTGGTTTGAAGTTTTCCTGGAGTGAGGCTTGTTATCTTTGAGTTATAGCGTTAGAATCATTACTTGATACTGGAAACCTTATGCAGTCAAACCTCTGTACAACAAATTACAGAGGACTAAAGATTATTCGTTATAGAAGGAAGAATTCGGTTGTACAGGGTTTTACTTTGGCGTTAGATTGACTCTTGGAACCTCAGAAATTGTCTTGTTATATATGTAGACAGTTATTGTTGTATGGGAGGTGGTTACTTATACAGAAGTTCCATGGTATATAATAAGTTGTAATATAAAACGGGGATCAAAAAATAGGCTGACGAGCGAAATTTCTCAAACATGCCTTAAAAACACGATTATGAAGCCGGGGCACCAAGATCTTCGCAATGTTGTTTGTCAAGGAAAATTTAATCTCAACGCAAGAGGCCCAAACTTTTTTATTACCATACCATAGTTTTTGGTCCAAAAGGGAATGTTTTGGCTGATCCATAATTTTTAGCAGTAGGGTAAAGGGCACATCGCTACCAGACACTGTCAGGATTTTGATGGAGTATGAGTTTTTTTTTCATTGTTTGTGATGGATCATTTGAATACGCCATTCAGAGAAAAATCGGTGTTTGGGGTAAATATTAAATTTTTACCCCCAATGCTTTTATATAATACTAAAAGTACAATACATAACACATCAGTTAGTATATACATATATTTAAAAATAATGTCTGTGAGAACCTGTAACGGGATATAAAACAGGAACTGTGTTCGAGAAATTGTAAAAGTTGCAATAATTACCTTTTCTGTAACCTTCATTTCCTACAACATAGAGTTCTCAGATAGCAAAATCACGCTCCCCCACAAAGTGTCTGCCGCAAATTGGCCATCACTCGATATGTGGCCCAAATTTGAGCATCACACTTGAGACAGTTTTTGGCTAAATTTGAATCAAGTTCATTCAATTATGTAGCCTTTCATAGCCTTCGCTTGTCAGAGAAATCCGCCTTAAATGTATTATACTTTCACACCGAATTTTATTTCAACTCCTCAATAGATGGTCACAACTTGCACTTTAAATTCCCCGAATTCCCCAAATTTCTCTATTATCCCGTAATAATCAAATTAAACTCGAATATAAAAACGCTTGTGGTATGTTTCAAGTCTCAAAGGATAATTGAAAATTAAGCTTCGGATCCACCCCCAAAACGCCTTTCATTCTCAGCGATTCAATTAGGGACGGGGGTCGTTTGTTCGGAATGGATACACACCAGTAATCAATTGAGATGAATGGCCTGAGGGTGTAAAGAACACCAATTTGTCCTCGTTGTTGTTGGGATAAAGGCCGGGGATTTCCGCGGAGATTTAGGATGTTTACAGTCTGCATTTCCCGCCATGATTGAGGAACGGCCTTTGACTTTGTGGTTGATGAGAATTTTTTCAAAGAAAGACGTGATTTAGTTGTTAACGGGCGAAGTTCTTCAAGTGGGCTACTCAGATTTTTGTAATTGTAAACTTTTGCATTTGGCTTCAGAAGAGCCACCTATTAATTCATGAGAGTTTCAACATTAGCTTTCCAGCGGGCTGGGATACTCCGGAAATTGCGTTGCAAGATTGAAACGCGGAGAGTCGGCCAGACTACAAATACAAAAATTTTGGGGTTCTACGCATATGAAACATTCACAGTAAAAAATTTATATATGTTGTATTATATATATGTATAATAGAAGCATAGAGAACGAGTCAAAAGTGTAAGAGTCCATGCTTGGAGAAAGTAAGCCTTTCACAAATCTTGACGAATGTCGCGGCAAAAAACCATTGAAACTCTTCGCTTTCCCCAATTCCACTCTAAAAAAGTGATTTCTCGCTGCGAAAAAAGGGAAGAGCGGGCGACGTAAGGCAAAAAAACCGAATTGCACTGTGCAATGGACTTCATTGTTGGATGCACGGTGCGATTTTTCTCGGGTTCATGCAAAGTGCAGAGTCGCAAAAAATTCCTAGGACATTTTAGCTGTTACTAACAGAAGTCTTGCCGTATTATTCTGCAGCTTTAAAAAAAATTTGATGAGAAATAGCCCTTGGATAGAATTCCGATTGGCCATTTCTATCTATAGTATTACATCTTATTTTCTTGTTGCACAAACGGCTGTACTTTTAGACTCATTACAAATGCTGGAGCTCATGCCTACTTAAGTCTTTTCCCAGTATTGTTGAAGAAGCTTCTCTTTTCTTAAAAAAAGCTCTTGTTACATGAACATAACTGAATATTCTTGAATTTTTTGTGTTGTGCGCTTTGACCTCTGTTTTATGCTCACCAATAAAGCCTCGAGCCCATTTCGTGGAGGTCTGTGGGGCAGTAAAGATGAGTTATCTTTTATATTCCCCAGCGGAGGAGATTTAAGACTGTGACGGATATTTTTCACTCGTGTAGTCAAAATAACCTTTTTAATGTCTATATTTTACTGCACTAATGTCTTCATTGATGTGGCCAAGCGTGCATTCGATATATATGTACATATATGAGCAAAAAGGCAAAAAATTTATTTAAAAGGGTTTTTATCTGAACTTTAGTTCAATTTTACTCGAATCCTTGGGCACATTTACTTGCCATGCCGCAGTAAAACGACGCTTTACTTTGGTTAGAGAAACAGGAATTGTTTTTGTTTTTTCCGGTTTCATTAGTGCTGTACTCTAGGCCAAAACAGCGACGCGGAACGCCTTTAATGGGAGAAATATTCTGAATGGAGATCGACTTCCGGCCAGCTGATTAATGTTGTTTGTTGTAGAGACATTTTCTCACATTTGCGTAGCCAGTAGACGACTCTTTGTCAATATATTTCTTTCGAAACTACGCCCCTTTGTAAGTATAATCTCGGGTTGAAATTTCCTATTTTCTTTTTTTTTTCATTTCCTGAATTTTTAACATTCCCCAAGGCAAAATAAAGAACGGTAAAGGATGCCCTCTGAACTTTAGTTTTTTCGCCGAACAGACACTCGGAATTCCAGCTGACGTCGGGACGCGTCAATTTGACTCCAAACGTGACAATCAAACATCTTTTTAATTGTTTGGCGTGCAAAAAGTTTGTAATTATATTTTTTGATGTTTTGTGGCCATAAGAGACGTTTATAGTTCCATATGGAAAAAATCGACTAGGGTTTTTTCCAAAGATCTTTGCGCTGTGCAAAAAAATTTGAATTTTGCACGGTGCGAAGCCAAAACTAGGCTAAAATTGGCCTTGCACAGTGCGTCAAATACAATTTTTTCCACAGCTCGGGATTCTGGAAATCAAGAGGTACAAGATTTTGCTAACAGCTTACAACTCTTTTTTTAGGCTTTTTATGCAATGCAATATTGATTTCCTTTACATTTTCTAAATTTTATGTCATCATTTTTCAATTTATCATTCAAAAATCTTCAATTTCTAATCCGCAAATCTGACTCCAACACAAAACCGTACGTCAATTGAAGCGTACGGTTTTGGTTGGATTATTTTTCCCCTGGGGGTAGGATTCGAAAAATAGCTTGACTTAACTGTGACTATATTTTGTCTGCTGTTGGCACGGGCGAACATCACAGAACACGAGATAAAAAGGCCATGACCCCGCACAGATAAGGCAGTCCCATTTTTTGGGATCCAATTTTCACGCTAACAATACGAAAAGTTAAAAGCGGCCCAAAAAACGGCCGTTCTCTTGCTCTGTGAACTTTTTAGTTTTGGTTGGGAGGGATGGCTTTACATGTCGGGCGTATATTGTCGCGAGCGTGCTTGTTGGATATTCCGTGCTCATGTGGAACGAAAAGGGAGAATTATTTTACCGTAGATGGAACAACAACGTACGGGTTCGAAAAGGCGGTGATATTTTAGAATTTGAACTCTTCATGTCGGGGGGTTTTTAGGGATTTCCGGCGTTTGGAAAAGGATGAGTGATACATAATATTGATCACGTTTTCAACAATTGTGATCGTCTGAAGGTTCAGAAAATGTTTGTTGAAAGTCCAGCAAAGTTGTTTGTCTCTTTTCAGTTGAACTTTTAGACTAGCCGGACTACTGTATACCGAATTGTAAGAGCGCAAAAAAAACTTATTTGATCTTGAAGGGTTTTGTTAGACGAAGGTTTCTTCTGGTCTAAAATTGATTGTTAGAGTCTCCAAAAATATATTTTTTAAGACAGAGTTCGTTGTAGTATATAATACATAGACTCCACTGTAATTTTGGCAATTTCCTTACAATGAATTCTTTTATGTAAAACCCCTAGATTTTCTCAAAATTTTATGTGATTATTCTACGCTAACCACGGATCGCTCCCTGAGAGTCCAAGCTCCCATATTTCAACCACAGTCTGTAGGGTCGGCCAGACAAAAAATGGGTTTTATTCCCTGGCCTTTTCGCTTCTTCAGGAAAGACAATTGTGATTTGTAGATTTATATTTTCATTTTTCACATTGGCTTGTCTAAAAAGATCGACAAAAATGTTCTCTAAGCTATCCAAATGTCGCCTTATATGGTCTTCTATACTTCTAAATTGCTAAAATTAAGATAAATTCTCTTGTTTTTTCGAAAGTGCTTACTTGATTCAACAGGTTTTAAAATACGCCATGTTTTCTTCAAAGGGCCATCTTTAATTATCGAGTGTTTATCCCAGCACTTTTATTCAAATCCCCTCAACCGAGATAAATTGGTACGCCGATTATCCATTGAAATCGTTGGCCATTTACGCGTTCAGAAATAGCCCAGTGTTCGGCCAGAGATCCGGACAGTCTTTCAGACGAGAATTGGACCGTTAGAATGTTTTCAAATTGCCTTTGGAAATCAGTAGGAAATACAGTAAAAGGTCGGACTTTCCTTGCCAATTTAATGGTATTTAAAGATGGAGTATACGACGGATGTTTACGTGATTTAAAATTCTTGTTTGTAAAAGTTGTTTTTTGAATTTTTAATGGAAGTTTTTTTCGATTTAGAGGGCATTCTCAACATGGCTGCTTCGTTTATTTGCCGTCGATACGTCTTGGACGATAATGGTGAGTGAATTAACAAGAGAAAATATGTATATGGTATATCATTTTGGGCGCTACGACTTTTGGGTCAGCGACGGTTCGCGTCCATACATAACACCTATTTTTGGGCATTTTATATGTACTCACATCAATAATATCTAGATAAAAGTAATGGATCCTCGTTTTTTGTCGCAAATGTTGGTCTTTGATATGTTACAGGAACCAGAGTAAAGAAAACTAACGTTAGTAATAGCTAAAATTAGAAGCGCACGTATTGCAAGTCTCCGCCGAGCATCCAACGGCTTTGCCAGGCCCCGTAGGCATTTCCGACAACCTTTTTTTGGGTGTCCGTCTGCCCTACGCCTCGTACCGATCGATTTTGTGTTGACCCGAACTATCGTCGACCCGAAAAGTCGGGACGCGCCATTTTGAACAATCTTTTTATAAGACACTAGAAAAAGAAAGAAATTGATTTATTTCGAATTGCAGACCTTTCCGATGCCTTCGATCTGCTGGACATGGACAAGGACGGGAATCTCAGCCGTGCTGAAGTCGCCTGCCTTCTCCGCACCATAAATGTCGACCCAAACCGAAGCGAACTTAATTTCATCTTCCATGAGATGGACAGGCATGGTATGTGAACAACAACTACCAGGAATATGAGCATGTAATCTTGTTGTTTGCAGAGACGGGGAAAATAAACAAACAAGACTTCTTGGAATACATGAAATGCCCGCCAATTCATCAAATCACAGTGGCTGATTTGGAGAAACAATTTAAAGATCATGACAAGGATAGCGATGGCAACATCACTAAAGGTGAGTTATACGGAGAAATTCAATTTTTGCATGTTTTTGAAATTAGCTTTTTTGGACTTGAACTTCCGTTCTTTGCGGTTCGAAACTTTTTGAATGGCCCAAAAACAGACCGAATTTAAAATTTAAAGTTTCTTTATCGGCTTCTCTTTATATCCGGCATGGATCTGACGAGGATGTACGTCATTCAAAACACTGTGTAGGAAGGGTCCAAAAAGCGGAGAGGAGATACGTTGGAAGGGAAAATAATGAAATTAAAATCAGCAAAAAATTATTTTAAAATATTTTATTTTAATCTTTCGGCAATTCTCGCTATTTTCAGATGAACTAGCTGAGATCCTCCTCCTAACCGCCGACATTTCCAATCTTGACATTGTGGAGTACATGTTCGAACAGTCGGACAAAGACAACACCGGGAAAATATCCTTTGAGCAATTCATTGAACTCATGAAGTCCTCCTAAGGGCTTTCAGAACAAAGCTGAACCTCTGTACAAGCAGAGAAACTAATTTTCGAGAAAACTAAAATTTTGATGACAATTTTTTTGACTCCAAAAAAAGCTTTGTACAAAGGTTCAACTATATATGGGTTTTCCATATTCAGAAAATATATTTTCAAGGGATTCAATTGTGATTTCGAAAAATCCGTCGCTTTCAGTGCGATTCGTTTATTCTAAAAACTGTTTTTGGTACTTGTGAAAGTCCTACTTGAAGTTTTATTTAGTTAAATGTAGTCTCTAAGTTATTTGTTGGTTTATTTTTCGAATAAAACACCTGAACAAAAAAAAATTGGCAGTGACAAAAGTATAATCGACAAAAAAAATATAGCATTTTTTTAATCGAGAGAGGAGATGCTAAAATACGAAAAAAAAAGATATTGAAAAGCCGTGATAGATAATACGAGAGTTACAATAAAGATGCTGAAAAAATTTCGGAGGCTTTTTAAAACAAGATATGGCAAAGAATCTGAAAACTAAAAATCATAATTTTTTCGTTTCTTAAGATGAAAATACTATTGAGTACTTTGAAATAGTACTGCTAAGGTAGTAAACGTCCTGCACAACTGGCCACAAGACTAAAGAAATATCCTTTTTGACAAAAAATTGGCTAATGTGGGCATACAGATCCAGCTAAAATCAAAAGAAATCAGCTATTTTTGTTTGTTCGTGGCTTTGTTGAACAGAGGTTTCTCTTAATCTACTTTGTAATACTACGGTGTACTATTCAATACGGACGTTTCTGTGGGCCTGGTGGATACTCCTCCAACGGTGGAGGTGGGCCAAGATGAGCAGGCGGTGGTGGTCCAACTGCCTTGTTGTTACTGGGATACAATGGCCTTGGGGGTTCGGCCTCCTCATAGCCCCATGGTGGCCAGTAGAAGCTGAAGCAACAACAGCGGATTTTCCGGTAACGTTGTTCTTTGTAAGGCCCTCCTCGATTTCCCCAAGACGAATAGGCCCAGCCGGAGGAGCCACCGCCCGCTTGGCGGCTTTGATGATGAGAGGAGCGCTGCTGTTGTTGTTGACGGGCGTCTCGCCGCAGGGTGGAAGTGTATTCTGGACGGACGTAGTTGGAACCGATTCCACCACTGTAGTGCTCTTCATAGCCGTAGCGCTCTCCTGGAAAGAGTTGGATTAAAACGATCGTTATTATAACATTCTGAACTATCGAAAAAATGCCAATCTAAAAACCCATATAAAGCATCTCTTCTATTATATTATATATCAAGTGCCGGCAAAAGTGCGGCCAAGTTAAAACTTGTTAATTCTCTTACCAGCTCCTCCAACAGGTCCCACACTGCTCGATCTGTAAGCATGACTTCTCTGATGACTAGCACCGAATCTTCTCCTCTCCTCCTCTTCCCTTCTCTGTTGCTCCTCCCTGTAAGCCTGCTCGCTTCTGAATCGCTCAGCATTCGCGGCTTCTCTCCTCTGTTCATACTCTCTCCAGGGTTCATTGGCCAATTCTCTGTGATCGTATTGCGGCAGAGCCTCTCTTCTTTCCGGGCCATGATGATAATTCCATCGATAATGATATCCGCCGCCTCTCTGCGCCACTTCCGCTCTCTCATCGTAGAGCGAACGATCCGCAAACAAAGATCGTTCGCCGAAACGCTTCGCGGGCAATGAGCCGGAGCGGAAGTGCGAATGCCGTACCTGTTTGTCGTACGAATGCTCTTCCTCATCCAAATCTCCTCGATCCTTATTATCAAATTCTTCTGTGGCAAAATGCTCTTGTTCGTTCATCGCGACGGGTCGAGGAATCGTGATCCGCTCGTTGAAAAAGGCGTCGTTTTGAAAAGCCGCCGGAGGCTGACCTTGACCATGAACTGGAGGACCTTGATGTTGGATTTGATGGTCTTGTGGCCCGTATTCTCGGGGATCGGCGGACCCGGCGCGTTTAATCCGCACTTCTGGGATTTGCAGACGCTCTGACGGCGGGATTTCGTGGGTTTCAAAATTGAGAGGGACAGTAGTACCGGGTGGTCCTGGGGGCCCTCCCGGCCTTTGGTCTGGATGCCCGGAGGGCGTTCGAGTATGGTACTGAGACATGGTCAGTACTGAAAATGGATAAAATACATGGGATTAAAGAAGACTTTTCATCGCGGTAAAGAAAGCTGTAAAAATAAAAAAATTGGGTCAAAAATATTTACTATACAGAGGTCAAAATATTTAAGATTCAGGGAAAAATATGTAGAAAAAGGTGGAGTAAATCTCAATATGATTGTAGCAAAGACGGCTGGAGTCTCAAGGAATGTTTAATGATGATTTTAATATAGAAAACTTAATCTTCTTGGGTCAAAAAGTAGGCTAAACATGATAAAAGGCACTTAAGGCGTCTTTACCTTTTTTTTACCCAACTGTAAGTAGCAGAATTGCTTTAAAGTTAGAAATTTTACAACCATAGTACCCAAGAAACATTATGAGCTCTATAAATCACAACATTCCACTCTACAAATCCTGTAAATCGACTGATTTCAGCTCTAATTACCTGCAACACCCACCGAACTAATCACTCCCAAAAAATTCTAAAAGCGTGAAACGCGACATGCCAAGCGCCAAAAAGCAAAAAAACGGTCTCGAAACCGCTATTCAGTCGAGAAATACATCGCGCAGCCTTTCCGGAAACACGGTTCGCCCCGTTAATACCTTTTTCGAATTTGGGTTGATAGAGATGAAGGTGAAGGTGCGCTTCTTCCTTCACCCCACCTCTCGTTGTAAACAAAATGACGCTTCGTTTGCGCCCTTGCCGATGGTTCGGAAAACCGCATTTCTTGTTTACAATTACAACGATTTTGGAACTCGACAAAAGGAAATAAATAATTGCTGGTGGACGAAGATATGAGTGATGGGGATAAGCGTGTGGAAAAAGTTGAGAAGGACCATTGAGGTGAAGAATGTAGAGTAAAAAAGTTTGAATAATATGTCGTTATTTAGAAATGTGGTGTACAAAGGTTCCAAATAGAAGTAGGACCCTAAAATTTTCCTAAAATCAAGCCTAAATAATCTTAAATCTGAAAATAGGAGTTGAGGTTACGCGCTCAGATCTTTATGAACCTTTGCGCAAATAAGATTAAAATATCAAAAAACCTTCTAATTGTAAGACATGAGACTTCTATTTAGCTTCCGCTATGCAGAAGGAATCAAGATTTTCGTCCCAAAGTTGGGGAAAATTCGACCATTTTTCTGCGACTTTATCCATGAAAGAAGGTTTTGGTATTTTTTCTACCGAAGGCAAAAATTATTTTTCCGTCTGAAATTTATGAAGGTACACCCAAAAAAGTGTAAAATTTATGATCTCCAAAACATTTTTTCTGATGGCTTTCTGGGCACTCTCTCGTCATCATAGGCCGTTGAATATTTCGGCTGTACCCTTGAAGAGAAAACTAAATTTTTTTGCAATTGATTCGTAAAGTAAGTTCAACAGATGCGCAAAATTTTAACAAAATCTGAGCGTCGACGGGTTTACAGGGTGGCCACAAAAAACGTAAACTTTTTTCATGGTTCCTGACACAAAGAATATTGCCATTATATTAATATTTTTCCGTTTTTTGTGACCACCCTGTACAAGTAAAAAAAAATTGGACCCTCGCATTTTCTACAAACTTCGTCTGCATTCTCTATCTATAAATCGCACATTAATCGTGAAAAATGTTGGTTCTTTTCTTACAGGAGCAGCAGAGATACTTTACAGCCAAAGGGATATGTAATGTTTGGAAAGATGGTAAAGAAACTAGTTATTTTTGCCGTATCTTTATGGCCCAGAATCATTAGGAAAAAAAGGCTTTTAAAAACGTATTTTACCCCTCAATCCAATGAGTCAATCCGAATGAAACATCAGGAAAGGAAAAGTAAACGTAAACGCATCAATTTCCGGACGCAACGATGACTTTTGTATTGCGCAACTCTAATTTCCCCTCGAAGAAAGTCCTCCGAATCCCCTCTCTTTTCGTATCCATCAACAAAAAACGAAAACAAATCAAATAAATGTCGGAAGCACGCAGCTGGAGGGACAGCGAGTGATCGTAATTAAGCGATCGTACAGTCGAGAGTATGGGCGGTTTAAACTGAAGATGTTTAGAATTTCAATTTGGCTTGTAATTTGGAGAAAATTAATTAAAAAACAGACCCTTCAGGAATGTTAATTGCAGGTGTTTCCGCGAGGAATTCGTTGACGCACAAGAGGGATCGATTTAATTGTGGGGTTAGGTACAATTGGAGAGCTGAAGAATTTTGCAAAGAAAAGGTTTCAAGTGCGTTTCAAGTGATGAGCATAATTTTTTTAAGTTATGCACACATTTCTGAAATTGGCCAGATTTCAACTCTGCCAAGATAAAATGATTTTTCCGGAGAGAACACACAAAAAGTGGAGAGCCGCCAGAGTGAAATACACTTTTTGACAATACTATTTATGTGAGTCTCGCGAGGAAAGAAGTAGGACCAGCAGCGACAATTCGACCACCAGACCTCCAGCCGAATCACCCAGGAGCCAGTTACTGCATTCGACCCGCTCTCGACCCGTTCTCCACCTGTTTCATGGCACGCTTCGACCTCCAAGATTATCCCGCCACGAACCCGCGATTTTGGCATAGTGCACCCGCTCCTTTAGAGAAGTTTCCTATTGGAGGACAGTTCAGTTTTTGGTGGAAGAGAAGGAAGGACGGTGGTTGTTGGACAAGGATACTTTCGATCAGTTGCTTTGGGTTGTGATTATATTTTTCTGTATTGATTCGGATTTTGTTGTGAGGCGTTTCTGGCGGATAAACTATTATTTGAATATTTATCGGACCAGCGTAATTTTGAGGTATTTTGCGGTCTGTTACCGTGCTATATTTTGTGAGGGACTTCTATCGATAGTCCAAAGAGAACTCCGAGGCTTCCACTGATAGCTCCCGGACTCTCCCAAGAACGTTCCTTGAGGAATCAGTTCTAATTGGCGACCATCGGCTTTTACAATCTTCGGAAAGAGACCGATCGTCCTTTCCAAGCCTCTGAAGCTTGTATTTGGGAATATCTTCCCGAACTTCCGAAATTTCAGAAATACACTGAGATTCCATTTCTGAAACCCCGGATCCTTCTCTCGATCCGCGTTGATCTCGAACTTGCCATTTTGAGTGCCTAAAAACACGAGAGTTCTGCTTAGACATTGTGTTGGAGGAACCTTTTCCCTCGAAGTTTGTTTTGACATCCTTATTTGTTTGGAGGATTGCCACGTTTTGTAGAGTACCTATCTTATACTCCTACTTTGTTGGTGAAATTTTGATTTTGGCTTTGACATCGAGTTGTTCCTTACATTGCCTTGTCGAGTTACCTTGTGGAAAGTTCGTGACTCGCGAACTCTTTTGACCTTTGTGTAATATTAACTCATTACAGTGACAGGGACTCGAAACTCTCCGAATACATCGACCAAGTTGTTTCAGCTCTAATAGAACCCTTGACTCAAGTAAGATTTTACCATTAGTTCTATAGTCTTTAGGATGGACGGAGATAACTCTGACCTTTTAAAACAATTGGCTGCTGACTTTTTAGGTCCTACCCTCCATAATAGAAATAAGTATGAAACTTTTCATTCAAAATTTGCAAGAAAATGGTAAATCTCTCACCGCTTTCGGCCAGAAAATCTCAGTGGTTTTTACAAAATGCCATCTTAAGGCTCTTGCATGTATGTATCTTACAAGGAAGGCGCTCCTATGGGGTATGGAATTAATTTTTACATCGTCTGAATCAGAAAAATTTTGCCCCATAGAAGTATACGTTCATTGTTAGAAAAAATTAATCCAAATTTGTGCCAAATTCCATAAAAATCTTTTTTCGGTTTATGGTTTTACATATATTTTAAGGTTTGCAAGTGTACAACTTATATCTAGAGACAATAAATAAAACGGCTTTGAATCATTTTTAGTCGGAGACAAACTTTGTAGGGACTTTTCTCGCACGAGCTCCGCCACCTTCGCCACCCGCCGGGTTGTAATCACCGCCGTAAGGGTTGCCATCCAGGAATCTGGAAGTAACATACCATATGTACAAAAATTTTCTGCATAATAAAATAATTAATTGGGACAACTCAAAAAGAGCATTCTTTATCCTATTTACCATAACCAAACAAGCGAACAAAAAGTTTTACTCACCCCATATCTCCCGCCTCCGTGATTGGCGGTGGAATGTGGCTATCATTCCCGTCTGCGTTATATATATCATCAGCAGTCCCATCATCAGCATATGGAGAATCTGGCCTGGGTTTGCATGGGCCACACAGTTTTCTGGAGAAGCAAATGTAAAACAACAGTTCGATCAGCTCGAACAGCGTGATGACTGATGCGCCAATCCAAAGGGAAATTGCTCCGGAAATATTGCGGAAAAGTCCGTAGCCATCCATGTTTGGAGACTCTTGAGTCTTCTCGGACTCACTGTTTGCGAACATTATGTCAATGGCGGCGGCGTTTTGGCTAAATTTGGAGGTTTGAATATGCAAATTTTTAAATTTTTATATGCAAATTTTTAAAATCTAGAATGTAAAATTTTTGATTTGAATATGAACTATTTAGAAATAAAATATGCAAGGTTTTAAAGATTCATATTCAAATTTCTAAATTTGATCATGCAAATTTGAATTTCAATATGAAAAAATTTTTATTAGAATTTCGAAAAAAAGTCAGAAAAATGCGGGTTAAAAATCATAAATAAAAGATTTAATTTTTTGCAAATTCTAATTAAAAATCATAAAATTCCGACATCAAAATTTGCATATTTAAAAATTTTACATCTTAAAATTATCATATTGCCTTTATAAACTCACGTATAAGCAGTATAACAGTCAACTTCAGTCCCCGGGAAGTTGCCGGTGCATTGGGGAGTAGTAAAATTTGGGAAATACCTTGGCCAAGCTGCAGTAGTCAGCACAGCCGTATACTGTGCTTCGCTGAAATGTAAAATACGTTCTCGCCTTTATCCTCTTTCCTTATGAGATAATAGTAAACAAATTTTACCTGCAAGGCGAGGCACAAGAGCAGTTCTGAGTCTGCGTGTAATCTCCATACTTGTTTATGAAATTCTGATAGCATTCAAACATTGTGGTCTCCTTGTAGCTGCACAGAGTGTCATTATCCGTGACCCGCGGGAACCGCGAGTCGGTACATCCACAGCTTTCGAGAAGGGTTCGTTGAAAGCAAGTGCGAACACAACCCTGAAAATATCATTTCATTTGACGTCAGAAACCATGAGCAACATATCACAGTTTTTTTAAAGAGCCTTTACCTCATAAGTGTAGCTTCCGTTATATATCGAACCATCTGTTTCGTCTTTCTTGTTGCAGTTGTTGTACGGATAGCCAAGCCTTTCTACGTCGTTCTGAAACGTTGAATTTGGTATACATTTCTCAGTTTTATTTTGCATAGTTATACGTCAATAGGAAAGAATTTAAAAAAAAATTTTTACGGGTCATCATGTACCCTGCTTCCAAACATTGCTTACATAAGAAACAGCGACCAAGACGTATCTTCCAACCGCCACATCATAACCATAAGTATTTGGAAAGACAGCGTAGTTCTGTTTGCTGACAGTTATCCTCATGCCAGCTCGAGAAGAAGAGGATAAGTAATCCGTAACGTTACTGAATGTTATTAACCGAAGGCCTGAAAAAAAGACGTAGACAACGCAGTATGAAATTGTGTTTCAGGAGTTTCGAACTTCCTCTGACGATGAGTATCATCACAGTCCATTCAGACTTGCTATCTGTGTGATCTACTTACCGTACATCGATCCTGATCGTGCCACTCTATGTGCCCCATCTGAATTGTAAGTGTAACAATTACCATAGTCAGGGTCGGTGACTTTAATAAAATCACTGAAAAAGAAATTATCCAAATTTTCTGAAAGTTTTACTTACTTTACATAATCGCACGGGACAGTATCAAACGCGCAGGAGATGACCAAATCTCCCAACCGATATCCAACGCTCTCCATTGTAGCGGGATCCAAATTTGCGAGCAAAGTTTGCATTAAATCTTGCACCTGAGCTTCCAACGCGACTCTGGACGACGATTTATTTAGCCCAAAATAATCGACCAGTTGATCTAGCTCGGCTGTCGTGTAATTCTTAGTATTGACAATCGGAACATCGGTGACTGAGAACGAATCTGCTGAAGTTGTTGTGGCATTGCTAGGCGTTGTGGCCGCTGCTGTTGGCTGAGCTGTGCTCGCTTTGGCTGTTGTTGTAGTTGTTGATGAACTTGTGCTTGTGGAAGTACTACTAGAAGTTGTTGGGATAACTGTGTCCGCTTTTTGGCTAGTTGTAGTGGTGGATGGTGTCGTCGTGGTAGTAGTTGTAGTAGTAGTAGTACTAGTAGAAGTGCTTGTACTAGTGCTAGTCGACGAAGTTGACGTTGGAGAAGTCGCCTTTGCAGTTGTAGTGGAGGTTGAACTGGTAGATGTCGGAGGTGACTGTTTGGCAGACGATGTGGTTGTAGTTGTAGTTGTAGTAGTGGTTGTGGTAGTGGATGTGCTGGTTGATGTTGAAGACGAACTAGTAGAAGATGTGGTAGAAGAAGTGGTGGTACTGGTGGACGGAGACGTCTTTGGAGTTGAAGTGGATGTGGAAGTTGAAGTTGACGTTGAGGTTGAAGTTGAAGTCTAAAATTAACACTATTTTTAGACACTTTTAGAGTTTGGGAGGAGATAAATGTGTGGCCCGAAGAGTAAGTACTGCAGACCTCACGAGAACTTAACAATTTTGTGAGTATAGCCTAGAAAACTTAATTTAGTCAACTACCGAGACCTAGAAGTTTCTAACGTCCTATAATTTTAACTCTTGTCTAAAATTCCCGTTGAAGAAGTCTTTTTTAATTGCTTCAAAAGGACGGTAATACCTTTTCCAGCTCAGAAGCTATCAGTGTGTACTTATCGCCTGGCTGTATCATTGTGGGAGGTTAGAAAGTTAGCAATTTCAGGACTTTTTGGAGATGCAAATAAAGAATGGAAGCGCTATGGCCATGGAAAAACTATAGTAAAATCCTACCAAATTCTTCTCGATCAACTTAGCGACCCATTAGAATGCTCTCAAGCCGTCAATAAAATTGACTTACCTTAGTGGTACTCGGAGTTGTGCTTGTCTTCGTAGTGCTAGTAGTAGTGCTCGTCTTTGGCGTGCTTGTACTTGTCGAGCTAGACTTTGTCGTCGTGGAAGTAGACGTTGTGCTGGTAGTAGTAGACGTCGTACTGCTCTTTGTGGTGCTTGGAGTTGAAGTCGTGCTTGTACTGGTTGAACTTTTTGGGGTTGAAGAGCTAGTAGTTGAAGTCTTGGTTGTGCTGCTGCTCGTCGTTGAAGTTGAAGTCGAAGTGCTTGTTGTTGAAGGAGTAGTCGAGGTCTTAGTTGACGAGCTTGTGCTTGAACTCTTAGTGGAAGATGGAGTTGTGGTTGTGCTGGTGGAGGAAGAAGTTGAAGTGCTTGTGGGAGTTGACGTTGACGTACTCGACTTTGTCGAGGTGCTATTTGGAGTGCTTGTAGTAGACGTAGAAGTCGTTGAACTTGTACGTGTTGAAGTCGATGTTGGTGTGGAAGTAGATGTGCTTGTACTTGTCGACGTTGATGTTCTGGTAGAAGTGGATGTGCTCGTTGATGTACTCGTACTTGTAGACGTTGAAGTTGATGTACTTGTACTAGTGCTAGTGGAAGTTACAGTCGTTGTAGTAGTGGTCTCTTCCGTCGTAGTCTTAGCTTCGGTTGTCGTTTCAATGGTCGTTGAAATCTCTGTCGTAGGTTCCACGGTAGTTGTTAGTTCAGTAGTGGTGGGCTCAGGCGACGTGGTTGGCTCCGGAGTTGTAGATAAATACACATCAATATTGCAGTCAAACGGAGGGACCGTTGTCGTGACTGTTGGCGTTAGAACACAAGGAGTTCCTTCAACATAGACGTCTTGATCGGCTGCTCTGGAAAAATAATATTTACAAAGGTAGCAGAATCGTATTTTACACTTATGCAAACTCGACTGTACATAATATCCGATGTGCTCTGAGACGTTCAAAACTTTTGCTTGTTAAGGTTCACCAATGTACAAGCGATACAAACCGAGTACGTCACATAGCACTTTCTGGCCCTCTCGGTCTCATTAACTTACCGTTTCTTTCTGCTGACCAAAGTGTGGTCGTCATCGGAGTCGTATAAATCACTCCGTTTAATGACCGTACTGTATCCGTCGTCCCGTTTTTCTTTTTTCTTCTCCTTTTTGTCTTTATTCTTCTTTTTCTTTTTCTTCTCAGTTTTTGTTGTTTTGGTGGTGGCCTCGTAAACAACTTCTCGTTTTTTCTTTGCCGCAGCCGCCGTTGTAGCAGACCCTGTATCTGTGCTATTATCGCTTTTTCCTTCTTGATAACTGTCGGAGGTCAGGTAGTTGTAGACTGCTTGCTAAATAATAGTTCTTGAAGATTGCATTTACAAAATAGATAAGTACTGGAAATTAGAGCCTTTGTTGAAGATCTTACCAGCTTTTGAAGCTCCGAAACAGAGTCAACCGCATTCAACCGAACCGGATTTAAATTGCAGATTGTAATGGCTGGAAATGTGCTTCCAATGGTGTCTTGGAAGTTGGCGTTGGTGTTTCTTACGTACTGAAAAAATGTGTTGTAAGGTTTTTCTTAGAGTCATGTTAAAAGATAGTATAATTATCTACGGTCCTGTACGTTTTATTGCAAGTGGACAACAATTTTTTGCTACAGAATTATAGCCTAACTATTAGTACATAAGGTTAGATTAAAAGTGTTGTGTTCGCTTCTGAAATTGTAGGTCTTAGACGGGCTCTGTTATAAAATAATACACCGTACTAGGAATACATTAAACACCGATACAGTCCGTCAACACTTATGTGTCACAAAGTAGGAATACAACTTAAAAAAGCAGCATAACACCTCTCTACAGCCTTTTTTGCAACTTTTTAAGTAGTTGCACAAAGATTACACGAATTTCTCAACAAAAAAAATTCATAAAAATAATACGTCATCTCGCTGAAAACGACAATCACCAAGATTTGACAAAGGACCTTTTCGACGATTTACCTGTAAATATTGTTGAACAATGGTCACCGTTTGATAGGCGCAAGCGCCAATTCCAGCCAACACCAAAGCAATCCAGAACAGCCGGCAATGCGGCTGGTTGAATGTCGCCACATTTCTTAACGCTAAAAATTATGGAAACCTCAATTTCACGCCATAATCATCTTACGTTTAACCGACGTATACACCGACCAATCCTGGAAATTTTCGACAAAAGTTTGCTGACGAACATTGTTTGACATTCGGAACGCCGCGAATCCACGTCTACCGTCTAATCGGCTTTTATAGCCTACGGCATTCGAGGAGGGCTGGTTGCGCCGGACGACGGGTTCGATACATGTTAATCGCCTGGAGATCGCGAGGCCATAACTACACACATAAATAATTCAACTGACATCGAATCAGGGAGGTCCACGACATACAAATGCAACGCTACAGAGGTGGGTTTACAAGTCCAATTGCGAGAACAGCTGAGATATTCGCTGTGGAAGAAACAGCTTGCGTGGTTTAGTTGTCTAGTAGCTCATTTTAGCTGTGGTACGAGTCCTTGAAGAGATAATATTTACAGAGATATTAGAAGTTTATTGATGTGTAACAACAGTAAAAATGCCATTAAAGAGAATTATTTGCCGCTTTAAAAATAATTACCACGTAAAACAGCTAAGTGATATCGAAAAAACAACGAATATCATGGTGAAATATTGTAAAATACGTTGCTCTCAAGTCTTCCTTTTGCAAATAATTTTAAAAAAATTCTAGTCATCAAGTGTAAGATCGCGGAAAAGCGGACCCATCGATTCGTTGTGGAAGATTCTCCTAATCGCTTCGGACAAAATCACGGAGATGTCGACGGTCTTAATCTTATGACATCGCATTTTCTGCAGCTCGTGAGGCACTGTGTTGGTCACAATGACTTCCGTGATAGCCGAGTTCTCGAGTTGAAGCGGAGCGTCGGTCGATAGAATCCCATGCGTGGCAAGAACGTAGATCTTGTAGGCTCCGCGTTGTCGCAAGACTTCCGCAGCTTGGACGAAAGTTTGAGCTTCGTCGATGAAATCGTCAACGATGATGGCTATTTTGCCTCCGACATCTCCGACGACGGTAAGTGGGGGCTTCTCTTTTGGGGTGAACGCTAGAAATAATTATAATAAATAGAAGATAGGAGTTGTGGTTGTTGAATTCTTACAGTGACCGGTCTGGTTCAGCCGCAAAAAACCTACCATTTTGCATTCGGAAAATGTAAAAAAAATGTGGCAAAATGCCTCCCCCTTCAACTAAAAAAAAACTCCAGATTGAAGGGCGCGCTATTTACCTCACAAAAAGAGCGGGAGCGCTTTTGAAATCGGAGTTTTTTCACTTTGAGAGGGAGGTATTTTGCCACATTCTTTACCTCCTGGTTGCAAAATAGTACTTTTTTTGCCACTGAATCGGGTCCGCCGGTGTATTGTTATTGCACGAAATGGCAAAGATTCCAAAAAGGACCTACTCGGGAACATCTCGAAGGTCGTGTAATCATTATTGTAGTTTGGTGGAGGACTTTGACGGCCGTCTTCTTGGCCACTTTCGTCGGTATCCTTTTGTTCTCCATGAATTACAGCAATAGTCAAACGAAGACGATCGGCATAGGAGGTGGCTTTGTTCACGGCGCCCGGGGATTTGGCCACAATCACTGCGTTCTTGTAGTCGGGAATCTGAAAAAACATCATGTCCTACATATTTTTTAACGCGGCAAACACATACTTCACAACATAAAGACTCACGTTTTCTTTGACATACTGGATCAGAAACGGAGAAGCTCGCAAATTATCGACCGGAATTGAAAAAAATCCTTGGATTTCTTTCCGGTACAAGTCCAAAGTGACTACTCGAGTAGCTCCTAGAAATTGTAAAATACGGTGTCCTCAAAACTTACCAGCTTTACAGATCATATCAGCCACCAATTTCATCGGAATTGAAGATCTTCTCAGCTGTCGGCACTGCTTACTGTAAGGCAAATAGGGCAAAACGACAGTAATACTCTTCGCCATAGAAGTTTTTGAAGCGTAGATCATGATCATCAACTCCATGATGTTGTTGTTCACATCTCTTAAAATGAAAAAGCAATTTGAAAGTTTTAAACATGGGTTTGAAATTTCGTTGTAAAATAAGACTTACTTATTACCAGACTGAATGATGAACACATGCTTTCCACGGACTGATTGCTTAATATCAACAGCCGTTTCTTTGTTGGTCTTCTTGTAAACGGTAGCATCGCCAAGTGGAATTCCGAGGTGACTTAAAAATTAGATTAGAATTACTATGTTCTTGCTTATGCTTTGCATTATATATAGTATTTCTGACCACGGAGGAGTCATCAAAACCAAAATTTTCAACTTCTTACATGGTGACGCTTAGATTTTGATCTATTTTTTCTATTTTGCCCGCGTTGTGGGCCATAAAAAATCCTGAATCTTTGGCTTTGCGGGCACAGCGGTGAGATTGCACAAGTTTTTGAACGAGAGAGCACTTGAAACTTTGCAAAAAAACTGATTCTTTGTGCTAGGAGGGCCAAAAAGTCTTGTTTGAACTTTATTTTTTCATTTTCAAATATTTCATAAAAATATCGCAATTTGAGCACTACCCCGGTCAAAAAGTTGTAAACAAGTTGTTTCTGACTTCGTTCATTTTCTGAGCTTTTGTCGGACAGAAAATAGCGATTTTAAAAAAGCATAAAATTGAGCTTAAAACTGGAAAAATGAAAAGAATATCCCCATTAGCAACGGTTCACATAATGAAAACCATTTTTCTTTCCTTATTTTTACTATTCTTCCTTTCCAATCGGACAAAAAATGACTTCTCAGAAAAACATTTTTTATCAACCAGCCAAAAATCTCAATAAAAAAGTTTGAAATCTCAATTTCCAAAATTATTCAAATTTCAAAATCCCTCCTCAACTCACCCTGCGACATGTTTGGCCAAGTCGGGATGGGAATTGCCCGTCAAAATGACCATTCCCGTGCTAGCATCGGTCTTATTCATGTTTGAACAGGCAACTTATTAGACGGGAAAGCGAAGAATTGTCTCTTATTCGAAGGGGTCGTCGGCAATCACAACATCGAGCTTCGCTCTTTTCCCGTTTCTTTTCCCTTTTTTTGGCTTTTTTTAAAACTCAGGCCCGCACCTTGCACAGCGAAAACGACGAAAAGAGAAGGGGAATTTATAAATTTCTCTCATTAAAAAGAAATTTGAATGCTCCGAGGCTTTTTTGAAGGTAAAGCAGCTCATTTTTACCTTATAATACGTATAAATTTACTTCGAAATCTCTCAACTAGAATAAATTATGTTTATTGATCACTTAAACTCGTCAAACTTGTCTCACTTCTCTCATAATTGTCGTTAAAACAATTTTCCGCCGAATTGCGTTGAAGGCTCGATTCCAGCGCTCTGATGTAATCAATGGCTTGACGTAACGTCCTCACTTTTGACATCTTTTGATCGGCTTGGGAGGTGGGAAGACAGTTGCGCAACTGGTCAAAGCCGTGGTTTATTCTGGAAAAAGGGGTTGGTAAAATACGCCTTCCAATCTTTCTTCGTTTATAAACAATTTGTTCAAGCTTTGAAACTCAGTTTTGTTTCAAATTTTGCATATACGTTGGGCATAGGCCATATTTCAATTCTTGAAAATCTTGGCTAGCATTTTGCAGAGACATCCGAGATATTAGTCCTTCGGGAAAGTCACCGGACTGATCTTTGGCGTATGCACCGTGCGAAAAAAGTCAGGGTGCGATCGACAGCACAAAAAGCCTACTGCACGGTGCAAAAAGCAAAAAATTGCACAGTGCAAAGGAAACTTTTGTTTTCGCACGGTGCGTTTCGCCGATTTCATTCCGGCGACTTTCCGGAAGGGCTAGTAAGCCAAATTACAATTCTTGGAAGTCTTGGCTTGCAATTTGAAGGGACAGCCAAGATATTCAACAATTTTTTCCAACGAGAGAACGCGCAAAACGAAGAGAGCGGCCAGTGATAAAACGCGTTTGGCAAAATCTCTACCATTTTTGCGCGGTGAAAAAATTAATTTCTTTGTATTTAGAAACGTTGACATTAGCTAACTATGGCTCAACTTTTTTATGCACAGAAGTCGCACAAACGTGTCAAATTTTGACCAAATTTTCGCCAACTCTCGACCTAAAATCTCGGTTGTTTCTGCAAATCGCTAGCCAGAGCTCTCACATATGCCTTTGATAAATCTGATGTAACTCTATTCCAAGTTTTTTTCAAGAACATTCAAAAATTCACACTTTCAGGCTTTTTAATTTGTTTTCTAGCAAAAAAATGTTTATTCCGTGAGGGAGTGGGACAGTGATCTCTCTTCAAAAATCGTAAATAAGATGAAAAGAGTCATTTCTCATGAGAATCAAAAGGAACAGAAGCGGATTATAACGACACATTTGGCCGGGCAAACTTCATTGAGGAGAAAAAATGAGATAAAAAATTATAGAAATGTAAAATCCGTATTGAAAACTCAAATAGTGCCGAACAAATTCAGCCGTGAAAGAAAAGCATACGCCATGAGAGGTCAAAAAAATTTGATGTTCAAAAATTTGGCGTTGTATCAAGACTTATATTAGCCATGGCCTGTCCATAACGACACGGCTGCAAATGCCACTTTTAGGCCGAAATGAGCCTCTGTACAACGGAACGCGCATCGTTTTGATGACATTTTTCAAGACTTACTTTTTCATCCTACACCGTTCCCTTTCATTCGCGCCATTCCGATCGTTCCGCCGTTCTTTTTTCTCCACAAATCTGGTCATCGTATAATATCGGACTGTATAATATAACAATAAAATTACCGCCACTTATTTCCGCCCTCTAACCGTGGTATGTTTGTTTTTACGCTCATCCGGGGGGAGGAGGGCCAAATTAGGTCATGCACTTAATGCGATCGAGATCGTTGGGACAAACGCGTCGAGAGCGCGAGTTTTTGGGTCAAATAGCGCTTGACGGATGGATGACATAATTGGGTTATACAAGCAGGGTCTGTATAACGAACAAGGAATTGCAAAAATGGATGACATAATTGGGTTATACAAGCAGGGTCTGTATAACGGACAAGGAATTGCAAAAAAAAGACTGACTTTTACAAAAAAAAATCTGTATGAAAATATATTGTTTGGTCAAAGTAAGTGGTGCAAAATGTAAAATACGATCTTCGAGACCTTTTACTTTTTTATATGAGTCTATAAGGTACATACATCCATATTTTGTACATCTCCGCTATACGGGATGTAAAATTCTTTATGCTTTGTATTGTTTACTTTTCATTCTCTTTCCACTTGCATGACTTTCAATTTGACTTGATTTAAAGCAAAACATGAGGAGAAGGGAGATCCCTGTCGCAAATCCAAGCAAGCACTTGAACGAAAAAAAACGTAAGAAGCCAGAACGCATGCTCGAAGATGCCAGTGAAACATGAAAATGTGTTGATCCGAGAGATGGATCTTTTCCGAAGAGCGAGAGAGTCATTATCGGCCGGTCTTTTTGCCCAGTCATCGGGCCGAGACATCGTGAAGATCTATAGATCATACCGGCTTCGAATCCAGTGGGCAGTCAGAGAGATCTCCGAGATATCATAGACTGGAGTATCAGCGCTCGTATGATCTAAAAATCGCCAAGAAAGAGGCACAAAGGAAGACGACATGGACGAGAGAAAGAGAGCGCAATAACCTGCACATCCCACTTAATGCCCTCAGGGATTGCGACAAAGTTCCCGACCCGGTTTAGCCCCCTCAGATCTGTTTCTCTGTCCTCAAAACTCTTCCGCCTCCGTCTTCCACTCTATAGCGCACACTGTCCGATCCGTGCGATCTCTTCGCTCTCGGGCCGATCCGGGAACAATGCCAGTGGGAAGGGCCGATCGAGGCCGGATCTTGAGCAGCTGCGGCCGACCCGCCGGCCGATAGATCAAGACCGGCGAGGAGATCTCGATAGAGCCGGGGTTTTATCTCTACATCCTTCAGCTTGCTTCTACTACGACCGCTTGGCCCGCACAGAGAAAAGTCGTCTCGCCCTCGGGAACCTTTCAATCCAACTTCTTCGTTTTGCTGAAGTGATACGCCATGCCTTCCGACGCTGGTAAGTTGAGAGTTTAACTCGGAATTTGGTGGGGTTTACCGTGGTATATTGCTGTATATCTCGCGCTACGGTTTTCTGTTAAAAATCAAGATTTTTTGTCAGTTTTGGCTAATTTTTGTAAATTTTCGGCAATTTTGACGGCTTTTTCTGTTCTTCCGGCCGTAAGTTACTATTTTTATAAATCTAAATAAAGAAACAAGGTCTCTGGTTCTTGATTAAACCATTAACAATCCAATACCATGTCATATTCAGCAAAGATACCAAGATTTTCCCCATAAATCTTTGATTTTTTTATTTTTACAATAATATCCTTGCAGAACTCAAAGAGATCTTCAACCTCTATGATGAGGAGTTGGACGGAAAGATTGACGGTACCCAAATCGGTGACGTCGTCCGTGCCGCTGGCTTGAAGCCCACCAACGCCGCCGTCTGGAAGGCCGCCGGCCAAGAGTACAAGAGAAAGGGAGAGAAGAGACTCACCTTCGAGGAGTGGCTACCAATCTATCAACAACTCCAGGGAGAGAAGGTGGGTATTATTTTGCGGCTAACGACATGAACTTTCGATTCATATAAAACTTGATGCCTGGTTTTGAGATTATACGCCTTTAGGCGACATTTTTCTGAAAAGTGTTTTTGATGACTAAAGCGAGGTACGAAAAAAATCCTAATTTTTCGCGAAACTTTGTAAAACCCAAATAAGACCATTAAAACGAAGACTCTTTATGCTATATAAAATTACAAAATTTCAGGCTGCCGGCTCCTTCGCCGACTTCATGGAGGGTCTGAAAGTGTTCGACAAGGAAGAGTGCGGAAAGATCTTGGCCGCTGAGCTCCGACACATCTTGTTGGCTTTGGGAGAGCGTTTGAGCGTCGAAGAAGCCGATGAATTGTTGAAGGGAGTTGAAGACAGCGAAGGGTTGGTCAATTATGAAGGTAAGAGCGGGCGTTTTGTCAAGTGTAATATCAAAAAAATGATTATTTTGGAGATTTCTTTGACTTTACGGACATTTTATAAGCTAAACCCTTGATTTTCAAGCCTTTTAAGCTATGCAATTTTGTAGCCCAAAGGTTATTACATTTTATATTTGATGAATTTTCAGCTTTCATCAAGAAAGTGATGGCCGGACCCTTCCCACAAGACTAAGCGCCCGATTGCGCGGGTCGCCCTGTTCTCTTGTAATCCTTGTTTATTGCATCACAACTCTTTCTCTCTTTTATTCATAAAAAAATTCGACCTCTTTTTGACATCTTAATAAAGGCAAGGCCAACACCGCCTCCAATTGCCTTAGGCGTCAGCAAAAACGGAGACACTTTCTCGGCTACACATAGGCACCCTTATCGGGCAGTTAACGGGTGCCAACCCCGACCGTCCACCGGTCCCCAATCATTAGTTCTTTAGTCTTAGACAACCGAACGAACATCAAATCGTTTGATTCTTCTTTTGTCTTGTTTTCTCTTCTCTCTCATTTAGCTTGTCGTATCATGTTGTGTTCGCCGAAGGCCGCGATATACGAGTTATTGGCTGGTAATGGTGGCCTTCGGTAATTTCTTTCTCTTCTTTAGTTCGATTTTGTTTTTCCATCCCAATCTTACAAGGCTAAGCACATTATAAAAGGTTGTTCCATAAATTCTTACAGGCGCAATTACATTTGTCGTTTGTGTTTTGAAAGATGTGTTTATTAAATAACGAGAAACAGTAGTGGCTTGATTTGCGTTTCCTTCTTCTTGCCGGGTCTTGATGCGGGGGTGGAGGGAAAATCGAGTTTTGAGGATAACATATGGGTATATACCATCAAGCGTTTTTCTTAGTAGGTTTCATTAGGATCTGCAAACAACCCTAGATGATTTTTTATACGAGTCTTGCCTTTCTTTGGGGTTTAAAATACGTTTATTTAAACTTTGGTTTTATAGTCATCATGATTAATATAATGGCCATAACTTTTTAACGACTTTTTGGTTTATTGAGATTGCGGTCGTATTTCGAAGCCAGAGTCCTGTTAGATCTAGCAATGCCATTGGGTATATTTTACTAGCGATCGACAACTCGAGATCAACGTTTCTTCAAAGCCATCTACTGCAATATTTTGCAGCTTCAATTTACCCTTCGCTCTGCTCGGAAACCTCATTTTATCTGCAAATCTCCCATCAAAATGACCATCAGCATCCCTTCCAGCCATCATAGTGTCGTTTACATCTCGGGCGTTGGTCTCTTCCGACCAGACTTGTTCCTGGAAAAATATATCCGAGACCTCTCCCTCGTTGCGTGGGTGTCCGCAGAGGCGAGTGAAAACAGGTGTCCATGGCTGTTTGTGCGGAAAAAAGGGCTGACGTTCAGTGGTATTCTGTTTGGCTATGCTCTCAAAACCGGTGTCCTATCTTTTATCAGACACCCTTCATTTTGCCGAAGGTGATCTTGGAGAGAGATATGCAAAGAATCCATGGAAAGGACAGGCACAATCAAAAAAATAAAGGGTTTGGAGGAAAAACACAAACGATTTGTAGCCCATCGATCTTGATTGCAGAATTGTTGCTTCGTAGCCATAAACCGGGAGGATGCTTTGTAAAAAAATCTGTGATTAATAAACTGGCCCATTAACGTAGCCATAGGCAGATCAACTACATAATTTGGACCCGATACGATGAACTTTTTTATTCAATTTTGTCTATTTGCATAACATCATTGGTTGCATAAAAATTCATCGTCAAATGCAAGCTAATAACCGTCTCTGAAACCACCCTTTGGAAAAGCTGACAGTCCTCACAAATGCACCGTGCGGTCGGCATCGCGAAGAGCTTTTCCAATTGGCCAAAGAATCGCCTCGATGAAAATTAAAAACACACTGTGCAACTTCGGTGCGCGACATAAGCGGCAACTGCACTTTCCGAAGGGTTCTTGTCTGAAGGATCTCAGCTCTTGCTGAGGCGCACTGTGCATTCCATCTTGTTGCCATTTGGAAAGATGCGACAAAGTCTTCGCAGCGTGCGGACATGACAAGACTTTACGATCCACCTAGTACAGGTTCAGAAAGGAAAGTCAGGAATTCAGTTTGATATGAAAGATATTGGTTGCAAAAAAGTTTGCCAGAGTCATCAAACACCTAGAGATATGCGTATCATGCAACAAAAATGCGTATTCTTCTTCGTTTTGAAGTGAATGGGTTTGTCGTTGTAAGAATGAGGCCTCATGAAAAACCTAGCAAAGATTTTGTATAAAAGACGTAGAAAATCACGTCTTTTAAATGAGATTTTTAAGATGCTCTTCTACACGGTCAAGCCGCATACATGCTACGGACTCCTCGTTTTAATCAAAGAATCAATAAGGATCGATTGTGACACTTCGTCAGCAATACAGAAATTATTTTTCCGAAAAACTTCTGTTGAATTTTGAAGCTTCGAAGTGCGCGATAACAACGAAAATAATTTTCCGTATTTTACTCATTTCCAGCGATTCGATCCTATTTCCCCGTCTCATATTTATTATATTGTACTTGCAGGTCGATAATGTCCATAACTGGAGCGCTTTACGGAGCGCTCGGGCGCAAAAAGCTCGGCCAACCCGAGTACACTTTTATCCAGGACCGCAATCGCTTTAGATGTGAATGCGCCCTCCCGGGGATCAATTATGTTGGAATTGGGAATTCAACTAACAAAAAGAATGCCCAGACAAATGCGGCAAAAGATATGGGCGATTATTTGGTCCGTGAGGGCATTCTTGGGCCCAACGACATTCCAGAGCTTCAGGTTTTTTTTGACTTTCTATTATTGTTGATTTAGGCGTTGTGCTCGATTCAGAAGTGTCTTGAAAGCGAGAGAAATGAATTACTTGTTGGGATGAAGTGAAGGAGGCTATCTTTGAAAAAAAGACACAAATAGAGCTGAAAACGAGTGCAGAAGCTGGGCCGAGGCTTATTCCATAGATGGAATGTGTTTTTGTTCAGCTTCTCAGTTGTTTTCTCTCTATCTGACAATTTTTTATATTACACTAGACATCTGATATCGTTTGGGGGAATTCAAGTCGAAAACGTCGAGGAATTGGGCTGAAATTGGTTTGAGAAGGTTGAGAGGTTCTTTCTCTTACTTCTAAAACCAATTTCGTTTTTATGCTCATTATTTCCTGCCTTTTCAACTTCAATTTCCATTAGATGTCAGATGTCAAGTATAATATTACTTTTTTCAAATAGCCCAATAAGTAATTCATTTGATGCAGCTGTGGAATGCTTTCAAGACCCTTTTGAATCCGAGAACGACGCGTGGATCAATTTTGTTTTGCTTTTTAGTTAGAAAAATTGATTTTGTTTCAGGCAGGCGATCTTGAAGCTACAGGTCCTTCTAGTTTTGTCCCAGCTAGTGCCGATGTGTTTGCCCGGCCATATAATGCTCCCCCAGTCATCGATGCTCCTCCTGTCAGAGATTACCAGCCTCGACAGCAAACATCCTACGAGAAATACATTGCTCAAACCGCCAGTGAAGTGGAAAAGGTATTGTAATATATTTTTCTTATTTTTTTGATGTTTAGAGCGAATCAGTTGACCTGACCTCGGAAATCCATGGAGGATGGGACATTTCCAACTGCAAAGGAGCGTTGAATATCTACTTGCAGCAGAACAAAATGGGTCCGGCCCAGTATAAGATGGAGTCAAGTGGACCTGCTCATGAAAAGTAAGATCTTACAGTAATTTTTGATTCATCTGCCCCAATTCTTGTCATGTCACCAGCGGGTATAATCGTTAGCCTATTTCAGAACCTTCGTTGCACATCTTGAACTTTTTGTCAAAGAATTGGGAATTGTTTTGCGAGCTCGAGGAGATGGATCTAATTTAAAAGTTGCTCAAGGAGCTTGCGCGTTGTCAGTGGTTAGACAGTTGTATCATAAGGGCGTCATCAAGAAGGCCGGGGAGAACGTATCGAAAAAGAAGAATGTTGCTGATGTGAGTTATTTGATATTTCGTTTCGTTTTTAGGTCATGGATAATATAATTCTTGTGGCTGCTGAGGCTCAGAAAGTGTGGAATTCTTGGTTAAAGAACAAGAAGCCTTTTCTGATCAATTAAGTCAAAATTCGGACGATTTCATAGTCTTGGCATGTCAATTTTATATTATCCATCCCATGTAAAGTATAAAATTAGGGTAGATTTTTTTTATCTAATAGGACCATGGTTTCTTTTAATATTACTTAGAAAAAGATGACCTCATTGTTTTGATGAATATGTTTTTTGACAAGCAGCCTTTCGTCTTTTATTGTAATGGCCATTTTTTCAGCTCCCATCGACTCCAGTCGAAATAAACCCAGAAATCATCGAAAGAGTTGACGCTTACCTCTCAGAAACTGGCATAGAGCCAGTTGTTGCCGACTTTTCCATTGCCAATAACGATATTAGAATTCCTCTTATCATCGACCAGAAATTGACCGAATTCCCAGTCAATGAAGACCACCCAAAAACAAGTGGCTTGGTCGCCTTTGCTCCTCCTAGTCAGAATTGGGACCCGTGGAAAGGCGCGAACATCGATGAACCCCCATTGGCCACAATGAGTCTCCAGCAAATTTCGGATCTTCTTTTGGCACAAGAGAAGGCGAAAAATCACAATCCAGAAGTTGTGGAAAAACGAAGATCCTTGCCGGTTTTTGCACATAGAGATGAAATCCTTCAGATTATTGAACGAGACTCGGTGGTTTTGATCAAGGGCACCACGGGATGTGGAAAGTCGACTCAGGTAAGGAGGAGGTGGAAAGTGTAATATAAATTTTTGGATCTTTTAAATTTTTTATTAGGTACAGGTTGAATTTACTGATATTTTTGAAGAATTTTTCTTTTAATTTTTTTGGGAAACTGTTTTTTGGGGGTTAGTTTTGATGTCATGTGTAATATAATTTTTGCGAGATTTGTATAGTTTAAGGCAATTTGCAGGCATTTATGGGAAATTTAAACTTGAAGTTTTGCGACAGTTTTGAACCTGAATTTTACGATTTTTTGGATTTTGCCAGTCATGGATAATATAATTTTTTCGTAATTTTTGCTTTAAACTTGTACGAATGTGTCCGGATAGGCGTAATATAGCGAATTGAGATTCATAAAGTGATATTTCTTTCCTTCTGATTTCGAATTTTTACTTCAAATCGCTTCTTATATCAAGTGTAATATAATTTTTTTCAGATATGCCAATATCTCCTCGACCATTTTATCCATTCCGGCAAGGGATCCAATTTCAATTGCATCGTCAGTCAGCCTCGCAGAATTTCGACAATTTCGTTGGCTGAGAGAGTTGCCAATGAAAGGATGGAAGAACTCGGCCAAAGCGTCGGATATACTGTCAGATTTGAGTGCGTTAACCCGCGACCGTACGGAGCAATATTGTTCTGCACTGTTGGATGTCTTCTGAGGAAAATGGAATTTGGGTTGAGAGGAGTTTCCCATGTCATTATTGATGAAATCCACGAACGCGATGTTGATGTAGGCTTCGAAAATTTTTGAGGATTTTTTGGTGGGAGTGGTTGTTATAGGGAAGAAAATTTTGTAGTCGAATTTAGAGGACATTTGGAGTAAAAGTTTTATAAAACTTGGATTGGTTTTGATTTTTTGATATTACACTAGGTATTGATTTAGTAATTTTTGTGGGTTTTTGGGTTTTAAATTGAGAATTTGTTAGAGTCATGATTTGTGGAGACGTATTTTACAATTCTACATGTTTAGTTTTTCAGTTCTAGCTTATAGATTGTTTTTTCCCTCAAATTTTACTTGGTCCTGTCATGAATTATATTTAAAAATTTCAGACCGATTTTCTCCTGATTATCATACGAGATATGGTGAGAGCCTACCCCAAATTGAGAGTAATCCTGATGTCCGCCACAATCGACACGAATTTATTTACAAATTACTTTCAAACCAACTCGGTTGTGGAGATTGAACAGAGGGTTTTTGATGTTCAATGTGAGTTTGCGGGTTGAGTTAGGGTTTTGGGATTTTTAGAGGTGAAAGAGGAATATGTAACGTTATTTTACTTTTAATTTGAGACGGGGTTTTAGTTAAATTGAAGAAGTTATACGCATTTATATTGGACTTGGTGGTGGATATCTAAATTAATATAATTTTTTGCCGATTCCAGACTTTTTCTTGGAAAATATCCTGACTATGGTCAATTACCAACCGGAGGTTGTCGAGAAACGCAGAAACCCCAAGAAATCGAAGAATAATAATCGAAATGAACCCGAAGAAAACGAAAATGACGATGAGATGGGCGCCGAGAATGATAATCGAAATTTGAATATTACGAATGATCCCAATATCCCTCCTGAAGTGAAATATAAATTATCCCTCATGGACGAGCAGAGGATTGATGTTGGACTTATTGAAGTGGGTTTTGACATAAATTTTGAGGCCTTTTATATTGTACTTGATGTTTTGATCTATTTTTTGGATTTATTTTTGATTTTTTTATGTTTAAAAAGTCAGCAGATGGTAATAGGAGGGAGAGAAGGATAAGAACAACGTATTTTACAAATTTTATCCCTCCATTTTTAGGCCCTCATCCAAGATATTGCCCAAAACGGCCAAGAAGGCGCGATTTTGGTCTTCCTCCCCGGAATGGCCGTTATTGAGATGTGCCAAGCAACCTTGAAGAAAAATCCGATATTGGGAAATGCCGCAAAATATGTGATCCTACCGCTGCATGGACAACTCCCGTCTTCGGAACAAAGAAAAGTTTTTCTGAGTGTTGGCCCTGGACAAAGAAAGATCATTTTGTCGACGAATATCGCCGAAACGAGTGTCACAATCGATGATGTCGTGTTTGTGATTGATTCTTGTCGGTGAGTGGGGTTTTTATAGGAAGTTTTTTTGGGATTTTTTTGGGGAAATTTTAGATTTTACGTTTTTTTCGACAGTCGAAAGTTTCTGAGTTTATTTTTGCTCTTATTTTTGCTATCTTTTGCTTTGAGGTTGTATAAAATGCCGTATTTTAGCGCCCGAGAAGCCTCCTATACATCGCGAAATAACATGGTCCACTTCTCCACCGTCTGGGCCTCCAGAAACAGCCTTACGCAACGCCGCGGAAGAGCCGGCCGCGTCAAAGAAGGCTTCTGTTTCCATCTGTGCACCGAAGAAAGATTCAACGCACTGGAGGAGCATCGGACCGCTGAAATGTTGAGAACCCCTCTGGCTTCTCTGGCACTCAGCATCAAGCTGCTGAGACTGGGATCGGTCGGAGATTTCCTCGAAAGAGCAATCGAACCACCTCCGATGGATGCCATCGTCGAAGCTGAGGTTTTGCTCAGGGAAATGAACGCACTGGACATTAATTTGGAACTCACGGAGTTGGGAAGGATCCTGGCGAGATTACCATTGAAGCCCAAGGATGGAAAAGCATTGATCTTGGGAGCAGCTTTGAAGTAAGGGGGAGATATGGAGATTTGAACGAAATTTTTGGGGTTTTTGATGTGTTAGGTTGTTCGGAAAGTTCGGTCGTTTCGTTATTGCTTTGAACGACCGAACTTTCTGCACAACCTAATAATTTGAGTATTTTTGATATTCAAAATGAATGATAATGACACTGATGACTACTTTTTTCAGTATTGGAGATTTAATGTGCACGATCGCCGCGGCCAGCTGCATGAATACCCCCTATGTACCGTTGCAAATATTCCACAAAACTTTGTCGAATTGCCATCGCAAGTTCTCCGGCCGACGACTCTCGGATCACATTGGATTGGTCAAAGTTAACAACGAGTATTGCCAGGCCATGGAGAAGGGCCAATATGATGCGGATGCATTTGCCTCAAGAAATTCTTGCAACAGAATTGTATTGAGCATGACTCGGTAAGCGATTTGGATGGGGTTGAGGAAATTTTGGGGCTTTTTTGGCCATAAGTTACCTTATTTTAGATGGAATTTTTGTTGTAGTAAATTTTTTCTATAAATCAATGTGATTTTTGTTTCAGAGAAGCCAAACTGCAAATGAGAGACGTCCTCGTCCAGAAAAGCGGATTCCCAGAGACCGCATTCGCTCCATTGGCCATTGATCCGGACGGCGAAGACGTCAATTTGGACCTATTTTTGGGCTTGTTGGTCTACTCCCTGTACCCAAATATTGCTTATTACAGGTAAGCAGAGACTTGACGTGGCTAATAGAAATGGTTAAGACTTGATTTTGTTTGATTTCTGAAAGTTTTACGCGAAATTTTATATTACACTAGGCACTTTCAGAGACAAAAGACAAGTTTTCACCCTGGAACAGGCGACAGCGTTGATGTCGAAGCTCTCCGTGTGCATGCCACCCATGAATGCCCCGAAAATCGACTTCCCATCACCGTTGCTGGTATTCACGGACAAGAGAAGGACCTCGGTTATAAGTGCGAACACGATCTCAATGATTACCCCGATCCATTTATTGCTGTTTGGGAGCCGAAGAATCGAATGTGTGGCCCCGAATCTGGTCAAATTGGATGATATGTGAGTTCGTTTTTAATTTTCTGTCGATTTTTTTTCAAAAAAATTGTTGAAGTTTTAAAAAAATATATATGATTTTTTTTTTTTGATTTTTTAGATTAATTTTGAGCCTTTTCGTTTGGCTAAATAAGTTAGGACACATTTTGACGTATTTTACCCTGAAATTGAAGCAATTGTTTTTTAGGATCACCCTCGAAATGGACCCCTCGGACGCGGCGAAAATCGTCGCCCTTCGACCCGCAATTGAAGGCCTCATTGTGAGGACTTGCCTCAACCCGGCATCCCTGACCGAACCCTCCCCTCAAGACCAACAATTCCTCGACGTTTTGCGCCAACTGTGCGGCGAATCGGCCTGCGAAGGAAGAGGCCTCACCCAAGCGCCCCGACCCGCCTTTTACTCCGAATATCAGCAGAGAAAACGCGTCCTGACGACGGAAAATCAACCCCACAGAAGGGAAATCCCGCACGGCGAACGACCCCAATGGAATCCGGATCAAAGGTTCAGAGGCCGTGGCAGGGGAGGCTATCGTGGGGGATTCAGAGGAGGCCACAGAGGAGGTGGCGGATTTAATTCGAACCGAGGATTCGGAGGCCCTCCGCAAGGAATGGGATTTGGCGGACAAAGAGGAGGCTTTGGAGCTCCACCGAGGGAGTTTGGAGCAGCAGCGGGGTACGGGGGACCTCCTCCCAGCTTCCATCAAAATCAGGACTTTGTAAGTGGAAATTTCGGGGTTTTCTTTGGTTTTTTGGAATTTTTTTTTTAAATTTTACTAATTAAAAAAAATTTTTTTTGTCTTTCCGGGTCCTATGGGTTATATATAGTTGGCATAGATCATATATTGTCTTATTCTGTGTTTTAGAGCTGGGCTTGACTCTTCTCCATTGGTTCATTTTCCGATTTCTTGGTCTTTTCAATTTTTCATGGTGTATATTTGTGGTAGGTCTTATTCCTTTCTAATTTTTAGGCTTTTTAGATTATGGTCAATGTGTAATTTACCTTGATTTGATATTATTTTCCATGATTCTTGAGATTCTTTTATATTATCCATGGGATTTAAAAAAATTTTTTTATTGGATTTTTTGTGTTTGTTTTTGTTATTTGTGGGTGTTCTTTATGGAAATGAAGGCATAAAAGTATGATATGTAATTTTATTTTATTTTTAGGGCACCCCATCCCAGCCAAAACGCCCATATTTGGCAAAAAGTTCGCCGATTACCCCGACCATTGTAAATGAATCCACCCCCGCCAAACCTCAATTTAATGGTGGAAATGGAGTATAAAAAACCGAATCGAGGAGGAATTCACTTCCATTTGTCTGAATGTTCTCATAGTCTATCTATTTTTGTTGATTTATTGTAAATTCTTAAAAATTTTTGTTGTAATTTTTATTTATTTTTTTGTTTTTTTAATAAATTTGTGAATTTGAAATGAGCATTGAGGGAGTCGTCGGTAAAGTACGTCGCAAATTGTATCTCATTTTTTCGAAAAAATACATTTTTTTTTGAAATTTGAAAAAAAAATAATTTGAAAATCCATAAAAATTGTTATTGTTTATTTTATTTACTGAAAGTATTAATTAAAAATTCGTTGAGATCAGGCCGTCTCCGCGGACGTGGCCAATTTGCTCGGCGCAACTTTCAATGGCTGGGTCTTGATGTTCTTCGAAATCCATTCCATTCCTTCCTAAAGGAAAAAATTAGATTTTAATCTAGTGTAAAATACGGTCTCTTTTGATGAAAATTCTTTATTATGCAGCTCTAGGAAGACTTTTCAAAGACCCGTGTCAGTTGATAACAAACATAGCGGACTTGCCTTTACACCTTCTCCGGTTAGTGCTGAACATGATTGGATTTGCCATATCCTGTCCCTGGACATGTTCAGCAACTGCATTCCTTCAGCGATTTCGCTACCAGTGGCGGCGTTTAGGAGGTCCTGAAAGTAAAATTTGTTGAAAAATTTAATTTTTGGTGGCTTACAAGGGAAGTACCCCAAGTGCGACGTTCAGATTTTCTTTAAATTTTGCACACACGTCGGGCATAGATTAAATATCAATTCCTGCAAGGTTTAGCTCGCGCTTTGCAGCGCCGTCGAGATATTGAACGATCTTTGCCGCCGAGAGAGTACGCTAAACGCGGAGAGCGGTTAGAGAGAAAAACACCTTTTGGCCATAACTTTGCCAGTTTCGGGCGGAAAAAATTGATTTTTTGTGGAAACATTACTCTCTACGGTAGAAATAGGCATGAAACTTTTCGTGCCAAAGTTCAGCAAAAAATGTTAAAATTTCGCCAACTTTCGACCAAAAAATCTCGGCTGTTTCTGCAAAGCGCGAGCTGGGATTACCGCATATTTTTTAGAAAAAAATATTCTAAATTTGTACCAAGTTTCATAAAATTTGAGCGTCGCACTTGGGGTACTTCCCCTGTTAGTGCAAAGGAATATTTTTTTTATTTTTTCCGAGCTGCGCCCATGCTTAACCCAGGACATTTTTTGAAATTTGGACAAAAAAATTAATAGTTTGACTTTTTTACAAAAAAAAATTTTTTTTTTGATTTCCATTTTCTCACCTGTTTATTGGCAAAAATGAGAACCGGGACATTCTTCAACTTCTCCTCTTCCAATAACTCCGATAGTTCCTAAAAACAAAATATCAAAATCTTATGCAACGAATACGTATGCTGACCTACCAAGGCCGTTTCATCGAACCGTTTCTTGTCCGTACTGTCAATCACGTAGATCTGAAAATATTTTTTTTCGTTTTTCAAATATTACAACAACTTTTTTTCGTTTTTTAAATATTACAAGTCTTTTTTAAAGATTACCAAAACGTCCGTATTATCAAAGTAATTTTTCCAATAAGGGCGAATTTTTCGCTGTCCGCCTATATCCCATACATTCAACTTGACGTTGTCGGCCATTACACTTTTGATATTGAAGCCCTAAAAAATTGAAAATTACACTCCAAAGTTTATTGCAAAGTCATTGTTGTTATGCAAAAAAAAACGCTACCTGAGTCGGTGTTATATGCGTCACATCTTCCGAGGCCAACTTCTTGAGGATCGTTGTTTTTCCGGCGTTGTCTAGACCTGAAAATTAATGCGTAAACTGATGGACTATGTGGTTGAAAAAAGAAACATTGTTGCCGGAAATTAAAAACGGCACTTAGGTCAAGATAAGTAACCAAGAGACTAGACGCCGTAGGGTCTGTTTCTACCGGCTTTTTTGGTTGAACGAGGGCTCTATTTTTTATTTACCGCAATTTCTTAAGGCTTGGTGTTATGCTGAATCTTGTCTTTGCGCTGCTTTCTGTGCACGTTCACTGGGTGCAAATACCGAACGCAACAAACCTTAGTTTCCGTTGGAAGATAATATTTGCGATTTACACCGAAATCTACGGTCATGACTGGTCGCAGGCAGATTTTTAAAGCAGATTTTTGTGAGGATAGGCTAGCCCAGGCAGTTAGATGTTGCGAATTAAGTTTATTAGTGCATAAATGGCTTGAATAGTTACCATAAGGTCAGACAGTGTTTTTTCATTTTTCGAAAAAAAACTTCCATAACTTTAGTCGATGAATTCCATAGATTCATATTCTAATCAGTACCAGGAACTTGCCACTGCGAAATTTCTATTATACTACGTAGATTACGGGTGGAAAATCGTAATTCTAATAGGAAAGTGTCGGCTGCCCGGAAAGTGGTTGCCCGCAAGTGCCGCGACGCCCCAGCTAAATGCGGATTAGGGTAGCCATTTAGGGTCACCGCCAAGTCAAGCACGATAAAGCTCATAGTGGCACGCTCGGTATTTGCAACTCTATAGTGGCACCGTTGTCACGCAAAGCCAAAATCGTGTAATGCAAAAAAGGTTTCTTCCCCAAACCCCCATTTCCCAATTGCCCAAATTTATGTGCCAATGGCAAAGAGCACCCTAACAATAAGAATAGCTTGTTCATTATGAAAAAATTGATATAAAATGACATACCAAGCAGCAAAATCCTCAGCTCTCTTCCTTGTTGGTTCTTGAACTTCTTCAAAATGTTTAGCAAGCCCTGAAGTGAGCGCTTAATGAATATTACATCGTAATACGAATTTTACAATAATTTTTTTGAAAGTAAAACAGCTCGCTCTGAATGCCAATTCCTATAAAATACGAAGCAAAAATCGAAACTCACCATTTCTGACTTCCGTTGAGCAGCGCCGGTGGAATGTTTTCTAATCTGTCATCGCTCACCGAAATGTGGGCAATTTTAATCCGCTCTTAATAAAGAAAACGGCCAAAAGATCGGGAGCCTGTAACACGCCAAACTCTTTCGAATGCCCCCCGGTTACTATGGTAATATCCGTTGATGGCCTTGTAGCCGGCTTTTTCGTCGGAACAAAACGTTTTTTTCGGAGTTTAGAAAAGGCCAAATTAATGGCAGGCCACGTGGCTGGAAACATGCATGCAGATTTAATATGTATCAGTCAAATCATCATGAAATTAGACGTATGAAAAAAGGGGTTTCAATTTATTCATAAATTAAAAAAATATTATGGGTAAAGTGCACTGGATGGATGATTATTTCATATCTGTCGGGAGAAGATCGTTGAAAGTGTTGCTGAGTATTCCGTGGAAGACTTGGAAGGGACAGGCATGAACTTGTTTAGTCATCAAAGTAAGAGTCCGTCTGATCGAATTGAATTTTGTTTGTTGGGGCTGAAAAAATATAATTACAGCGAGAAAAGAGAAATCGTATTTTACCAAGACTTGTTGAGGGATTTATCCGATTTTTCAATACAAAAAAACGGCGATTTATGTTTTTGGTATGTAGAAAAATATCAATTTACAGCGCTATGTTAAACAACTCGGACTGCCAATTGAAAAATAAATTCCGTGCGAACTCTGTACAACAAGATCTGTACAACCAAACTGTCTATATAACAAAAAATTTCAGAGGTCCCAAAAAAGTCATTTTACGCCAAAATGAAACTGGTCTCTTGTGTGTACAGCAATACGAAAACACTTTGGAATACCTCAAAAAACGGGATCGGTTCCCAAATTTTGCCTCAACGGATGGCAAACAGTCTGATTGGCTTCGAAAGATCTTAAAGCCTTACAAGAAGCTGGACTCTGAATTCACTGGAAATGTCTAACTTGGTAAATCTAGAGCTCTTCCAAATGTTTTTCTACCAGTTCAACTTTATTGCTTACAAAAATTCCGCATTGCAAAGAAAGTATGAACTAAATTTCGATGAAATTAAAAAGGGAATAGAAAAATTATGCGTTAAAAACGTGAAGAAAACATGGATTCTGTACTTGAAAGCATGTGTTCGAAATCATCTCTTATTTTTTTAAAGATTGCAATTTCTTTGCTGATTTTTCTAACGGACTTTGACTTTTTATGTATGTCTACGAGCTCTACTCTTTTCTCTGTTCCACACCACAAAACTTTATCACCGCCAAAATTACTATGCAAAATCTCTTGGTGCAATTTCCTCGCCCTTCTCAAACGTCACCAAAACTTCCCAAAAAACGGCTCGTATTTCATTCGAAAGGCAAACATACCATAGAACGGGTCGTGCTGTACAATGTAGATCTCAGGCAGCTGCTCTTTCGCTCTGGTTTTCCTGCTTTTACAACCAAAAGTTAGCTGAAAAATTGTAACTTATGATGAGTTATAAGGAGACTCAAAAATCCAAAAAAAAAAAATAATTACCCATTCGCTGAGAGTTTGTAACATAATCGATGGCTAAAGTCGGCGTCTTTAAGGCCCCTTAAACTGGCTCGAATTTCGGGGACACAACTCTCAGGGCGGCCGGGGGAAAATAATCGGAACCGGAGTCGCAAAAAAAAAGTCAACGGAACGTTTTTATTTCGGATTGCCTCCAATTTCTATAACAATGTTTTTGATCCGCGGAACGGAACAGGTGTCCGCCGAACCAAGATTTTATGGAGATTTTATGTTAAGACACTTGGAAACAAGGGGCATAAATCAGAATTGGGTCAGATGGATCGAAATTTGGAATCGGAAAAAGGGCTAATGGACTTTACAGTAGGAGATGGAATGAAGATAAAAATAGACAAAATGGAAGAAAATATGTTATTTTAAGGAAACACAAGGCAATTTATAAATGCATATTTTATGAAATTCCTAGGCAATTACGTTATGGATTGAAAATCCAGTAGATCCTCTGTTCAAAAAACTTCCGTGCAATGCCAACACATAGCCAGAAATTTCAAACGACACAACGTAAGGGTCAGTTTAGGCCAAAATGGACAAGCCTTCTGTCTCCTCAACAAGTTTTTAGGGGCTGGCAAAGCCGATGGATGGTCGACGGACGCTCGGCGAAGACTCGGCGGAGGCTTGGGGAAGACCTGCAATATGACGACTCTTTCTAATTTTAGCTATTATTAACGTTAGCTTTCGTTACCCAGAGTTATTGTAATATTATTAGATAAGCAAAAATTATTTGGTCTTTTACGATTCCTTGTACTGAATTTTACTGTATCACACAGCATTCCGAACTTTTTTCGCCGCCGATCGGTGTCGAAAAAAAATGAAAAATCGACAGAGGGGTATGCATTTTTTTTGTGTTGCCGGCTATATCAGTCAACAGAATTTCTTGCATAAAAATCAGAGTAAAATATCTATGCAAATTTCAAACGCATGTCTTGATGAAAAAGCGTTTCGCGGTTGGCTTTATTCGCCGCGTCTTTTCTTTATTTCTCTCCGCAATGAAACCGCTCTCTTCCCTCTCGCCCGAATGCGAGACCCATTTCTTTTCCGATCGCCTTTCCTGACCCCTTCCTCTTCTCCATGGCTCATAAACTTACCTGGCTGGGAGAGCGGCACGATCAAGAAGGTGTCGCCTCCACGGTGAGGCCCTCCCATTGCACTTTTGGGACGGGTTGACCTGTGTGGCAGCTCCGAGTTGGGGTTGGCCAACAGCTAAATTTTTGCGTTTGGAGTCTCCGGGCTCCCTATATCGTTGAAATTGAGAGATTCAGCATAAATATGACATAAAAAACAAGCATTTTGAAGAATTTGATGACATACCTTATACAGAATATTATTTTTTGTGGGGTGGTTTAATTTGTAGAGGCAAGTATTGGAGGAATGCAATAATTTACGTCAAGGAAAAGATGTGTTTTTGGGAGTGTTATAACGTCAGGCTCTTGTGCCGTAGAGAGATGATGCTGGTGCGGATAAAAGGCTCATATCGAGCTCTATGTATATGAAGCACCATGAAAACAGGCCGAACAAAATTCGAGGAGATAGAGGTGATCATTTTTTTAGAAGTATAAATTAAACCTCAGTTTAAACTGATGCAGTAATTGTGTACCTTGGTCATTTGCAAGAATTGGTTCTCTTTTTTGCATTCATCGCCCCTCAATTAATCACATTTTAGTATCTTGTTTACACTGAACTCTCAACCCCATGGCTTGCCGTTATGACAAATCTTTTCATTCGTTATAAATCGCCATGCCATTTTTCACTTTTCCTTTCCTATCAAAAAACGAAAACGCTCTGACCCCGATTTTGGGTTCGAAAAACAAAAAAACGAAAATGAAAATATATATGATGATGGTAAAAGCGCCCCGTATCTTTGGGGTGTTATAAAGTTATAAAGTTTTTTTGTTCGCTCTGCTGATCTGCGGCGCCGTAAGCCGGCTTTTATGATTTTTGATATCCGTGTTTGCGGGCGGAGAGGGGTAATTTGGGAGATTGACCCTTTGTGAGATAAAATTTTCTTCTTCGTTACTGTATTTTTGAGCGGTCGGGAAAGGTAGTTTGCCTGGTAATTTTGGTATCTATAGATGACGTGCATAGCACTAAGGCTTGAAGCGTAAAAATTAAATTTCTTGATTTTTCGCTTGGGTTTTGCAGGGAAATCAACGATATTTAAAGTGAACTGCCACCTATTTGACATTTTTTGAAAATTATCAATATTTTTGAAGAGTAAATGTGTCTTTTCAATAAAAAATGAGGATTTTCCTCAGGAAAAGCTTATGAATTAAAACTTCGTTGTCCCGTTCCAACCCTCCAATATCATCTTTCTTGATTTGCAAATATACCTCTGGCCCAGTCTCAGCGGACCGTGATAATAAGGACCCAAAACATTGTATGTTTTTTGTATAGACTTGGTCGGACATTTGGAGAAAAATATAATAACAAGATCTGAGTACCACGCCTGGAGCACTTGTTCGTTTAGCTCCAACTTTGTCATTAAATCTCTCATTTTGCAACCTCTTCATTCATGTCTGCACTCTCAACCTGGTCGCTTTTTATATCGTATTTTGGGGGTACTTTTAGTATGCTAGCCACCTTTGACCGTCTCTCGACGATTAATTTGCAAAATTTGGAGCTTGTTTCGGAGCTTGTTTGCCCTTTTTTATCTTCTTTTCACCTCTTTCAAACCTAAATTTTGAGTTTGAATCTTTTTCGAATTTCTTCCCAGGGGCGTAGCTATGTCTCTGTTTCTTCACGTGACGTATTTTACAATTTTACTTTCTTTCCTTTTGAAAAATAATTTTTAGGCAATGATGTTACTCCTAGCATCATTACTCCTCCTTTTTCATCATGGCTTCTCCGAGATTCCTCAATCCGAAGAAGCCGACCTCAATATTGATGACAAAACTTTCCGTGAGCTTGAAGGATTTCACACGTTTGCCATGTCCGTTCTGCATGAAGAACGGAATGCAGAAAGAGATCGTTTGATCAAGCTCATGGAAAAAGATGAAGAGAATTTAGAGCCTTCCGAGATCTACAACTCCTATCGAAGATTGGCCGATCTTTACAGAGTCTATCAAAAAGAAGGCAAAGATGTTGCTGAGCTCAAAAAAGACGATCTTCCCTTGAGGGTAAGAGCTCTACTCTTGCTTGATTATGGAATAAATGAGGAGTCGAGTAGCACTCTAAACGAGGATCATGTCTTCGACAAGCTGAAGGAGATCCTCACCAGCGATTTGCCATTATCTTGGCTTCCTCAAAACGTCAGCGAAGAAAGTGCGGAGGCTAGAGAGTTCGTCATGTCCAAGTTTTTGGACTCTTTTGCGCAGAAGTTGCGAGAACAGCGAAGAAATCCGGAAACTTTTCCGATTAACAAGCTGGATTACGTCATTCCATCGGAGATCCGGGCCAAATTGATTGAGGATCCCGGATTCTCCCCTGAAGTATATCATTTACTCAATTACGACGGGGCTTTCAACGAGTCTGTGGCCAAAACTCTGAAAAAAATTCAAGATCAACGAGCCGATATTGAGGTTGTTGATCTAAATAAAGAGTCAGAAGAGATGTTAAGACGCCGAGCGATGCCCAAATGGAAGCCAAAGGGAAAAACCGACGCTCTTATTCCCGAATCTCGTTCTGTAGGTCAAGACGAAGTCACAGAGATGTTCAAAGAGCGGCTCAGTAAGCTGAGAGAGGAGCAAAATGCCTTGGAGGAGAAGAAGAATGAGTTGCCTAAGGCCAAAAGACCAGAGATTAGGGTGAAAAGAGACGTTGATCCGACTTTAAGGTCAAAAAGAGATTTAAATTTGAAGGTACGAGCCAGAAGACATGAGATCAGCAAGCATCGCGGGTTCATTGTTGAGGAGAAAGTTCATCAAGAAAACGCCACCGCCTTAGGCGATATTGAGGAGACTCCGCTGCACAATGAAGAGGCTCACAAGATTGTTCCTAGATCTGCTCAAACGGAGATTTTTGGACATATCATTAAGAAACGGGAGGCAAAAATTGATGAGAAGTCGCAGGGCTTGAAATCCCTCAAAAAGGATCCACGAGAAATCCTAGTATCTCCTGAATATCAGCAAGCGCAGGAGCAGTTCTATGGCAAAGAAGAACGTCTGATCAAGCAGATCATCAATGAGCTCAGCCTCTCAGAAGATGATGTGGTCGACATTGACAACGATCCGAAAGAAAAGATGGAGACTTTGCTTGACGTAAAAACTCTTTACAACCTCGACGATCCGGTTGATTTCCCCGCCAAGCCCTCGGAAAAAGAGTTGGATGAGGAGATGTTGAGAAAAGAGCTGCTTCAGGATTACTATGACAAAGTGGATGCCAAATTGAGGATTGAGTTCACAGCTAGACAACAGCAAAAGAGGCTGAAGTATTTGGAAGAGCAGTGGCAGTTGATCCGGGAGAAAAAAAAGACGATGAAAGTGGAGGAGATCTTGAAGTCTCCGGATGTTGTAACTTTAGTCTATCGGAACGCAACATCGCAAAATTCGAACAGAAGTACTGCCAAGAGCTTGCCAAATAACCCTCATATTAATCAAGAGAATATTGGCAAGAGTGATGGTCAAGAAGCATCTGAAAATTTGACGACATCAACAGCCAACAGTGATGTCCCAAGTACTCCAAAATCTCAGCAGATCATGGCCAATCCGGATGACATTTCGATCAACGGTGACTTAGTTGACGGAAGCATTGCTGATAGTAAAATCGAAGGCTCGGCGGACATGCCATTGTCATCAATTCCTATTGCGGACACACATGAGATCAAGGAGAATATGAATGATAATCTCGAAGGAAATAAACTTGATTTGGCCGCCTCGATTGATGATAGCATCAGTAATTTGATTGATGATGACGCTGAAGAGACGAATTGGCCAATGAATACTGAAGAAAAAGCTGAGGAAGAGCCGGAGAAGAAGGAAGAAGATAAGGAAATTGAGAAAAAAGTAGAGGAAGTCAAGGAAGAGCTGATCCAGAAAACTGAAGACGCAGAGAGCCCAAGCAAAGTGAAAGGTGTGGCTGTGGATATAACACAACCTTTGGCGGAGTCATCAACAGCTGCAGCTGCCGTGACTGAAAGTTCAACTGTTGTTACTGAAAGCTCAACGGTTATTACTGAAGACGAATCAAGTGAGTTTTTCAAAATACGCAAAAAAAATTTAAGAACAACAAATACTAATTCATTTTATCAATCGAATCTGGGATGTAAAAAGCTCTTAACTTCCAATTTTCAGATGCCTGCTTCCCCAAGCTCGACATTGTCTTTGTCCTCGACACCTCCGGCTCCCTAGAAAGGGCCTATCGCGAGCACGTCCACTGGGCTGTCGCTCTAGTCAACTCTCTTCCACTTGAGCCGGATACCATCCGAATCGCCGCTGTTCAATATGCCCGATTCCCGCTGACCGAGTTCGCCTTAGGCACTTATCCCACCGCCAATGATATCAGGGAGCATTTGAGTCAAATGAATGCTACAACGGGCGTTGCGAACACTGGCTATGCGCTGAGGAAAGCGGAAAATGAGCTGTTCAGGCCGGATAGGGCTAGAAATAACGCCGCAAAGGTCATTGTGCTTTTCACGGACGGAAAGTCGGCTGATGATCCAACAAAGCCGGCGAAGCAATTGCGAGAGCATAAGAATGTAAGGATCTACGTGGCTAGCGCTGTGGAGCCGGCTTCGGAGATGATGCTGGAGAAGATTGCCGGCAAGGAGGAGAATGTGTTCGGGTAGGTCGTATCTCAAGTTTTTTTTTAATTTGGTGCATCTCAAAAGCCTTGGAAATCTAGTTTTACAATTTTTATATTTCTCCCGGTTTAATTTTGTTATTTCCAGCCCCACCAAGCTCCGCAACCTCCGTGACACGCTGATAGTTGAAGCCGAACGGACTCGAGCTTGTATCCGAATTGGTGGTCCTCGAAGTGAATATAAACATAAGCCATTGAGACCAGTTCTTCAATCCTCACCCACTGCAACAGTAACAGCGCCATTGGTGAATCATGAGAACAAAATTGAAGTCTTAGATACCAATAGCATCAAAGATCATAAGGATGACAATGGTAAGCGGGGTAAAGAAGAAATAAAACGGTTTTATACTCTAAAAATAATCTATCAACAATAAATTTCTTTGTTTAGTCAACAATTTTTGATTCCTGACAATTTAGTCATCAAAAATGACCTCTAACGCCCACCGCTTTTACATAACATCCTATTTCAGAGATTCAAAACCTCGGCGAGCTTGCTGAAGCTTCAGCTCCCTTCCAAGACTCCGTTCCTTTGATTCCAATGGGAGTGACGGGAATTCCAACTGAATCTACCAGCAGCCCCTCAACTTCTCCAACAACAACTCCTTGTCGACTCGAAGAGACCTCATGCGAAGACGCTTTTGAGGCCAAGACTGTCTTTATGACAACCAAACCTTTGATCCGAACAACGCCATCTTCCAGAGAGCAAAAACTTATTGAAAAGGTCGTCAAAACAAAGCTCCCGTTGCCTGAGGAAAAGAAGGAGAAATTGGAGATAAATCATCGACCAATTCCCACTAGAAAACAGACAATTACGACTGCAAAAAGCAGTGTGATTACTACTCAAACAACTAAGATTCCGGTGACTTTCAGTACACGAAAGCTCACGCCAACCGGACGATTTTCAACAAGACTTTTTACAACGCCAACAACAACAACTTTGACGACAGGAGCAACTCGAAGATTATTCCCGATTAGAACTACTAAAAAACCGATTTTCGGAGGAAAAACGGAGAGTAGCACCAATAGGGTTGTAACTAGCACAGGAAGAAATGAATTTACCGTCAGAGCGACGGAGAATGAAAATCAGGAGACTCAGAGTTGGCGCCAGATTGTCACTACCACAAGAAGAGCCCCTACGCCTACTGGAAGGCAGAATACTCCATTTACAACTCTCCCACCGACATTGCCAACACTCTCAAGAGCCTTTGAAAGGCTGACAACAAAGGCAGCGAGGAAAAATCTAACGCCAGCCGCGGCAATTGTTGGAAGCGGAGATACAGGTTAGTTTTAATGGGGGAATCTTCTGATTTTACGATAAAATACAGTCTTCATAAGATAGTGAGATATGAATTTTTTAAAAAAATAGGCGGTAAAATTTGGGTTTTTGATTTTTCGCACTGTGCAAAAGAGCACAATTTTTGCACCGTGCATGCCGAAAAATAAGCTAAAATTGGGACTGCACCATGCAATGAGCTTGATTTGTTGCACAGTGTAAAAATTATGATTTTTCAATATACTTTTGCTCTTTCCAGTGTCAGTAGCCTGTCCACACGACATTCTCATCATTGTCGACTCCTCCGGCTCCATTCAAAAGACCTACGATCAGCAGAAGAGATTTTTCACCGAGATCCTCTCTCAAATGAAGGTTGGACCAAATGCGCATCGCGTAGCGATGATTCAGTTTGCCGGGGCTCGAATTCAAAAGACCGAATTCACTTTTGACAACTTCAACGATGGACGGGAAATGATGGACAATTTGAATCAGGTAGGAGGGATTTTTGAAAATTTATGTTTTCGTTGCGGGACCCAAACTAAAGACCAGACTTTGGTGAAAAGTAAAACCAAAGTTTCTGAGATATATACGACGCTATTGGCGTCGTGTGTACGACGTTTTAAACCTTTATTTCATAGTAAATACAAAAAAATTTTCTTTCGCGTTAGGACACTAAATTATGACATGCCATTTAGCGAGGGACAACGCTGCATTTCAGGCATAAAATCAAGTCTAATAATCTTTCTTTAGATCCGACATTTAACTGGCACGACTTATATCGGCGCTGCGTTGTCCAGCGCCCGTCATCTTCTGGAAACTCGCAGACGAAATGTCCCAAGTCTTGTGATTCTCAGCTCCGATGGCTACAGTCAAGATGATGCCCTAGCACCTGCTGAAAGAATCCGGCAGCTTCCGAATTCAGAGTTCTACGCCGTCAGTATGAGCGATCACAGCAACCAGAAATATTTGGCGGAAATTGTGGGCTCAACAGAGAAAGTCTTCCTGAACGATGAAAATAGGCTGAAGGAGCTTGTGAAAAGACGGTTAAGTTGTAAATAATGTCTCTACTAATAATTTATGACAATTGAAATCCATTTTCGATTTTTGTAATACTATATATTTATTAACTACTTTTTAACTATTTATTGTTTTAATAAACTTGGCTTTATTCAATTTCAATCTAACTGGAACTAGTAAATTTTCTAGCGCAAAAATCTGAACTAAACCTCAAAACACATTGTAATTATATTAGTCGACTCGCTTAGCGAGTTCGGCGATGACGTCATAGGCAAATCGAATATGTTTTTCCCTGGTATCTTGTGAGCAAACGGCGAGTCGAAGATAGAAAATATCATCTGTCTTCCCAGGGACCAAATGAATTCGATTATCTTGATTCAGCAGATTCAGCAAGGCTTCGGAACGTGAGTTGGGGCCCTATAAATGAAACTTTTAGAAAAAAATTTAATTTCTTCCATTTTCCCGAACTTTTTTCTCTTCAAACTCCCATACCTTCAATCTAAAGCACACCAATCCAAGATTTGGAGGGACGATCACTTCGAAGTCACTGTCCGCAGAGATGATTTGATGGAAAAGTTTGGCTAACTTAACTTGTAATCGTTGGTATTCTCTGATTTTCTCAAGCCCTAGAGCTCTGAGGACAAACCAAATTTTCAAAGAGCGGAACCGTCGGCCAAGGGCTACTTGCAGATGCTGAAAATAGGATTTTTGAGGGAAACTTTGAAAAAAGGGTTGGACAAAAGTGGTCATAACCTCGCTCAAGTAACATCATATAAGAGAAACCCCTTTTGTCCTTTTGTGGCAAACACAGAGGCTTCAATATACTGCCTGTACAACAAACTGATGACCAAAATTTTCAAAATCATTTTTTCCACCCCCACTCACTCTAAAATCCTGTGCAACTGCTTGATACTCGTGCTTCAGGTATTCGGCCTCAACATTAAAATGTTTGATAGCCTCTGTAGCGTCTTTGAACCACAACGGCGAGCAATCAAAGTTGACCATCAAGGCTTTGTGGGCGTTGAAATTAAAGGAGTCGACCATTTCGATTCCCTCGGACATCCAGCGGAATTCCGGGCACAAAAAGAAGCTGCCGGCGTACGCAGCGTCCACGTGCAACCAGATCTTCTCCTTGTTGCAAATGGGACCCAGTTCGGTCAGGGAATCGACAGCGCAAGTTGGAGTTGTGCCTAAAGTCGCGACGACGATGAATGGAATGTACCCATGGGCTCGGTCCTCCTGGAAATATGAGAATTTAATATGTAATTTGGTCAGAACTAACTACCTCCTATTTAAACCCTCATTACTATTATACTATTATTTCTCACCTTAATTGCATTTTTCAATGCCTCCGGGTCCATGCAAAAGTTGTCCATTTCATTCTGTCTTGTGGTCTTGATCTTTCTCATCCTCACCCCCGCCAACATGAAACCTTTATGGACTGAAGAATGCGCTTGATCGGAGCAGTAGCCAACGAATTTTGTGAAATACGAGGGATCATGGTTCTCAAAAGTCACCACCTCCTCCTCTTTTCCATTCTCCAAGATGTTATTGATCGCGTTTTTGATGTTGAAATTCTTGACGGTATTCGAGATCTTGTCCAACTGGGACTCACTGCCTTTCAAGGACTGAAAAAAAAGTTTTTTATATTCGAAAAGCTTGAATAAATTGTTTCCGCACAGTGCGGAGAACACTAATTTTTGCACCGTGCAAGTCGAAAAATAAGCTGAAATTGGCGTTGCACAGTGCAGTCAGTTTAATTTTTGCACGGTGCAAAATTTCAAAGCTAAAAAAATTTATGTAAATTTTTTCAGCTTTTTCTGCACAGTGCAGAGAACACAATTTTTTGCACCGTGCAAGCCAAAAACTAAGCAAAAATTGACGTTGCACAGTGCAGTCAGTCCGACTTTCTGCACCGTGCAAAAAATTAAAAAATTTCATAATTTGTTTAGACTTACAGCGACCGCTCGACTTCTCGCAGCCAAAATTGCGACCAGAGTTGCATCACTAGCTGTACATTGAATACAACCAGCCCCATTACCGGAGTGAGAATTCTTAAAATGTTCGGGAAGCCCCAACGCTTCCACCAGCCAATCCATCATCTTCATTTCGAGCTCAGTCATGGATGGAGATGATTTCTGCAAAAAAGTCGGTGAATAAAGAACCTTTCATTCAGCCCTTACCCAAGTAAACCCGATGCTTGCCATCGCGCCGCTCAGCATATCCGCCATAATCGAGGGATAACTGCAGGCAGTTGGGTAGTATGCAAAGAAGAGAGGGTGATGCCAGTTGGTGTTGTTGGCCAAAACAATTGGATCTACGTCCTTGAAAATGGTATTCCAGGTCTCCGGAGATTCTGGGGGACGATCCACCACCTAAAACATTATTTAGAAAAGCTCAAAAAAATATATGCGATACACAGTGGAAATTGTCATGCCTTACCATGCTATTCAAAAACCCAGGCTTACAATCGGGCATGGCTTTTCGGTCGGGCATTGATTTCCAATAATCGGCGATCAAATCGACCATTTCTTTACCGTGCTTTCGAAACTCTTCGGCGTCCATGGTAAGGGGATTACTAAAGACGAATAAATCATAGCCAAAAGATTCAAAAACAATGGACACGAAAAAGGGGAAAGTTTTCCTCCTAAAGTCATACAGTTATGGTTAATACATGCAATATAAAAATCGGTGAGCTAGATTAAAAACTGATTCGTGAATCTTTGAGATTTATAATATATGTGAAGATGAGCACACCCATCATGGAAAATGGCAAGAGAAAAATGAAAACAATTAGGAAAAACTTTAATTTTGATAAAACTTGGCACAAATTTAGCTTATTACATATGCCATTTCCCCAGGCATTCTAAAGATTTCTAACTTGCAATCTGCAGAACCAATCGAGACTTTTTGCCCAAAATTTTTCAAAAAATCAAAAATTACCTTTACATGCGATGAGTTAAAAATTTCAGAAATCAATACAGACTTCATATTAATTACAACTACAAAATTCAAAGTAAATCCGGACTTTGCCCCTCGAGCAACTCCCCTTTCTACTAAATTCTCCTACAAATTTTGGTCCCACCACGAAAACTTCCCCTCAAAGGCGCGAATGAACTTTGCCTTGACAAATCTCTTACAATTAGCACCTTAAATACGCCGATTTCATGTTTACAAAACTATATATGACTGTAATAAAATCAGTCTCAAGACAAAAAGTCGTTAATTCCGATATGTTTGTGGCCATGAAAGGGCCCATAAATGCAGATAATGATGACCATCGTTGCTGGGAGACAAACAGTTTCATTAAAGAAAAAGATTTTTAAGGGCGTCCTGATAAGGGATATCAGCGAATTTGAAGGTCGTAAAAAAAGTTGCGAGTAATTAACGGAACGCTATAAAAAATATGATAATCGCGCTGGTCACACCTTCGTCTGGTCGTTAAAAAACCATGAGAAAAAACTCTGTATAATGAATGATGAAAAAATCGGCTAACGGCTGGGGTGGCAGACGGGCGTTTTATGAAAAGAAGATGGTTACTTGAAGCCTCAAAAAAAATGTAAAAATGTTGTTTTTCAAGTACATGTGTGAATTTTTAGAAGTGAAATTCTTAAGGTTTGAACCTCCGATTTTCTTTAAATTTGGCCCAAGGGTCGTTCATAAGCAATATATTAATTTCAAAAAATTTCAGCATGCGCGTTGCAGTGGCACCCGAGATATTCAACGATCTTTGCCGGCGTCTGCAAAATAAGGAGAGCGGACAGAGAAAAGTGACTGTTGGCCGTCTTTTGCAAAATCGGGGCTGAAGAACTTTGCAAAGGAAAATCGTTGTCTTTCACAAATTTTCTTTTCAAAAAAACCACTATTTGACCATTTTTTGACCATTAAAAAAGTCCAAAGTTTGATGTGACCCTAAGCCCCTCATGGATTTATAAAAATATTCAGAAACTGCAGAACGCACGAGAATTCAACGCCTCTTCCCAGTGCCAATCGTGATTTGCATCTATTATTCACTGATTTTCAGATCACTTTTTAGCTTTTTTATCATCAAAAAAAGCGCTCGACTGTGATCGCTGATTTCATTTACATAATATATAATACTTCACGCTGCGTCATTTCCCATTCTGGACAGACGAAAAATGATCGATTGGACACGGACAGAATAAAAACAGAAATTTTATGAAACCCGATTTTTGCACTGTGCAAAAGATAGACCTCATTGCACGGTGCAGGCCATATTTTAGCCTATATTTTGCCTCGCACAGTGCAAAAATTAAATTTCGTTGCACAGTGCATAAAAATTTTTTGTTAAAATTCAAAATCAATTGAGGTTTGCACTTTTGGCAAGTTAAAATTAGCATTGGACTGGTTGCTCATAAAAAAACGTTTGCGACATTAATCATGCCAATAACAACATAAAATGATTCTTTGATAAAATATTTTGTCATATGTTTGCTCTTTTATGGTAAACAAAATTACAATCGGGGTAAAATACAGCGTATATCATCACGTTTTTGATTTATGAAGTTTTGAAAAAAAAAATGTTATTGCACAGTGCAGTTTAAATTTTAGCCTATTTTTGGGTGCGCACAGTGCAAAAAAATATGATTATTGCACAGTGCAAGAAACAGTAAAACATTTTTTTTTCATGAAATCATCCGCAAAAGTATGATATCTCAAAAAAAAACCGAGCCCATTTTACACGACCATATTCGCTGATAATTGAGACACAACCATTCTCGTCCCGTCTCCCAGCCACTTCTCCGCTTTCTCGATACCTAAAACCCCTCCGGGCTTCCGATGAGGTATGCCAAATCCGCATTCTTCAGGCATTCCAAATGAGCTGTCGGAAGTTTTCTCGATACGTATTCTCGTTTCCTGCGCTCCGTGGTTTCCGGAGAGGTTCAAGACGGGAAACGAGAGGGGTTCTCAACATATTCTGTTATTCCAAGTGGTATAGCATAGTAAAATACGCCATTTTCTCACATCCCTCGTCTTTTTAAAACCTACATTCAACTTCAAAAGCATCAAAAATCCATCAAAAGTTTGATTAATCTCGTTTATTATGCAAAATTTAGAATAAATTACATTTGATGGGTATCACAATATAAAATAAGGTTGTGTACAACATTCATAGGTCATATACAAGAAGTTTACAATGTAAGTTGATCAAAATATGACTGGACTTTCATAAAAACATAATTTCAAATTAGAAAGCATCAAAAAATTTTCAAAAAATCGACTTTTCTTACAAAACTGTCCAAATTAACCAGTAATATCAGAGAACAGGGGCCAAAACTTGAATCTTCACTGAATTACACAATCCTTTTTCTTTTCCTGCTGTGGATAATATGGATATTGAGGTGGGGCGTCCCCAGGAGCCTGTTGATAATCGCCAGGGGCCGGCTGATTATTGTAGCTCTGGTAGGGCTGCTGGGGATAGGCGCCGCCCGAGCCTGGGCCATACGATGTTGGAGGGTATGCGGCACCTCCGGATCCTGGATAGGGCTGCTCTCCGGGTTTCTGGTCGTAGCCTTGATTGGGATACGAGGATCCGGCACCTGGATATGGGGTAGAACCGGGATATGGTGGGTTATTTGGAGGCTGACTGGTGGGATAAGCGGCTCCTGAGCCTGGATAAGGCTGGTTTGAGCCTGGGTATGGCTGATTTGATCCGGGATAGGGCTGATTCGCTGCTGGGTAGGGCTGACTTCCACCTCCAACGGCCTGACTATACGGGGGCGGGGCCACCGTGCTGAGTCCCTTCACCTTCAAAATCCTCACATGAGTCTGATCCTGGGGCATTCCAGGCAACGGTTGGTCGAAGTCACCCCACACATACACATTCCCTGAGGCTGTCGTGCTCAATCTCGGCTCAATCAGAGGGATGGGCATCTGAGCTGGAACCTGATTCCACTTGAAGGTCTGCAGATCCAGAACCCAATAATCCACAAGTCTCTGAACATTTCCTTGCCCATAGTCAATCTCTCCACCAGCCAGGAGAATGAATCCAGCGATCGAGTCAAGGCCGGCTTGTTTTCGAGCTGGGGGATTTCCACGTTGGGGATCCGGTTGACAGTACTGAGTGGTCAGCTGCTGGGTGTTCAAAGAAAGGATGTGAACACGGCTGTAGTCGAGGTGGCCATCCGGGGAGGCACTCAGGAAGTAGACGTTGCTAAAATAAAGGAAAATTAGTAAAAAATCGCATAAAAATTATTAACTTTAGGATGAAGAACATATTAGTGGGGTACAATACGCTTAGAAATTCTTCGCGTTCAAATTTATTCCAAAATCTCATCAAAAATTATAAAATTTTATATTGTCCATGACAGAAATCTGCGATTTTTTTCTTTAAAAAAATAGGAAATCTATCTCAAAATGCTACATAATGCCTTTTTTAACCCACATTTCAATCAAAAACATCCCTTTCCCCGTGTTTCAACCTTAAAAATATCAACTTTTAAACTAAAGTAATACCACCTACCCTTGGCTAAGAAATCCATCATAGAAATGCGAAACCTCCGCTCCGGGTACGCTGAATTTCTTTATGGGATCTTGAGGACTTTGAGCAAGAGCGTTAAGGCAGGTTACAGTCATTTGAGGTCCAGAAATTACAACAATTTCCGGAACGTCTTCTCTTTGGGAAACAATGTAGTCCTCTCCCACTGGAATTGGTCGGGAAACAAGAGATCGAGGTTCGCCGGCGATTGATAGTCCATCAGCAGTAAAGTCCACTCGCCAGAAATGAAGCTGCAAGCATTCAAATTAGGGAATCAACAATAATTATGTTGTAGTAGGCCAAGAATAAAATAATTTTGATCATTTTTCTGACCACAACGGACAATATGTCAAAGCAGACAAGGTAGAGCCTAAAACAAAGAACAAACAAGACAAAAGACTTACAACGTATTGTCCATAATCTTCGGAGTGGGTCACTACGACAACGGAAGTTCCGCCAACAGGTGATGGCTGAGTCAACGTAAACAGAAACTTCACTCTGCCTTGAACTCTCAACGGGATCTCGGCTATAAAACATTTTCGAATTGTGTCGAAGACAGCGAAGCAGGTCATTCCTTTTCTTCCACCACTAAAATTAGAAAAATTAACCATGGACAATAAAAAATAAAACTTACGTAGTAATGCAGGTATCATCAGCCACTGGATCGTAAAGGAAATACAATTTTGTTTGATCCAAGGATTCTCTGACATCCTGGAAAACGGCCAATCTCCATTTTCCATATTGGTGATCAGCTGGGTCGGGAGACTGGCCCCAGGGCACGGTAATATCTTCAGTCGTAGCTTGCATTATCTGAAATAGCTAAGAAATAGTCTATCAAGTGAGGTTTTAAAGGGTCAGCGCGAGAAACACGAAGATATTTGGAGAAATGGCAAAATTAGATAACACTGGTCCTATATTTCATAAAAGAGATGGCTAGAATAGTAATAAAAAACTTGAAAAGCCCGCACAAAATTTGAAACAGTATTTGAAACACACAGCAATCACAAATAACCAAAAAATCTCGAGACTTCCCTCATTTCTCATCAAATTTTATATTATCCATGAGGTCTAAACAAAATCAGCTGAAAAACCGCAAAAACAAAAAATTTCGAAAGGAAAAGAGAGTGAATAAGACGAAACACACCATTATCCGCATGCAAACTGAAACTACTTCAAGAAATTTCGAAATTTATACTACATTTGTCCTTCATTTATCTGAAACACGTCACTAGAACGGAGAATTCACCGCAAATGCCTTGAAACTGGGAAGGAACGGGAGAAAAGTTACACGTAAACAACTGTTTCGCGAAAGCGAAGGTCAGTAAGGAAGAGGAAAGACCAAAAACATATGAATTTATATTATTCATGAGCATGGAGAATATAAAAAAAAGTTCGAGAAATGTGCAGAATATTATGGAAGAAGTTCCATGGAGCTTTACATTGCCTTTTCGATCAGATTATAGTGTTTTAGAGGGGAAAAAGACGGAAATCGAGGGCTTTTCATCTCTTTGTTTCGAAACCGAACGCTTTTGAGAGCGCGTCAAGAGGAAAAAAAGGAGGAACGTGGGTGACTCATAGGTTCTCCTTTCTCCGAATGGGTAAATATAGCAACGAAAAAGGGTAATGGATAAACTTGGGTGGGAAGCCCTTCAAATATCGCCATTTTTAGCCAAGAAATCGACCAAAATCCGGTAAAAACATCAAATTTTAACCCATCAAAATTTTGGAAAAAACATTCTAGAAAATCGGTCAGTGCGACGATAAAAATAAATTGGCCAAAGAACACGAGAATTTATGCCACGATTTTTGGCACCTCTGTTTTCGCGGCGAAGTGCACAAATGTCGCCGGAACAATTGCGATCGTTCGCACAGTGCGAAATGCACTCGGAATTGCTCACTGTGCGACCAGCGAGAATTGACCGCACCGTGCAATTTTTGCTGACCTCCGTTTTCCCGATTTTGGGGAAAATCCGTTCAATTTGGAGGACAGAAACAGTGCGAAATCGCCGCACAAAACGCACCGTGTTTCGTCGTTTGTCGCTCATTTTGCATTGCGAAACCAAAAGGAAAGACGGCGTTCGGTTTTCGCACAGTGCAATTGAATGCGCTCTTCTTGCACAGTCGTAATCGTCTCGAAAATATGCATAGAATACCCTATACAATTTTGTCGCGGACCCCACTTGTGCACGGTGCGGTGCATTTTCAGGATTTGCACTGTGAGAGGGAATTCGGGCTGGCTGCACAGTGCAAAATCGGTTCTTCTTTGTTTTAGGGTCGTTAGAGTCGGGGTATGGCTGTTTTTTGAGGAGAAAAATATTAAACGGCTGAGATTTAGGCACTGAGTTTTCAGGAAGGTGCGGTGTGGCGGGATTTATTCAATTTTGACTTCAAATTAAAATTTTCCAAAATTTTGCCAAAAAAATCTATGCGACGACAAAAACAAGTTTTTTTCCAGTCGAGAAATACAGTCCAAAGTAGAGAAAGAAGATTGAATCAGCTGGTAAAGTCGAGGTTTTTCTGGGAAAACTATATTTTGAAGTTCAAGGTCATGTGTAATATAAGTGAATGGTCTAAAAATTGGTTCCTGCTTGATGGTTGTTATTGTTTCTAATAAGTTAGAAAATAAGGCCAACACAATGTAAATAAAATTGTTTTACTGAATCTGGGCGACATATTAAAGATTATAAAAAATGATCTTTCATAGTAAAAGAATATGTCCTTGAAGCCAAAAAAAAAAATGTTATGCAAGGCCAATATTTTGGATTAAACATGATATTAAGCCTACTTGGTTTGCTTGAGATCTATCTACAACGTTCCACATTACCTTATTTCCGACCTTCAACATCAGCTGGTCATGGTTAATATAAAATCCTTATATTTTCTTACGTTTTGTTGCAACCCATCTTCAATGGCAGAGTGAAATTGCATTCACTTTCTTCGACCGTCTTACCGACCAGTTCAAACCGGATTTGAACTAGTTTACAAAAGAAGATGAGCGAAGTTTTCTTTTTTAATGTTATCGGATGCCTCTTTTTGGAGATCCCAATCACTTTCGTTTATTTAAAGATCGCCGGAGGGTTTAATTATCGACGTTGAGAGATTTCTGTTTGAAGCGTTCTGAGCACTTATTTCTGCTTTTAAATCGAAAAAATGATGGGCGATTTTGAGAGGATAATAACGGCATTGTTAATATCCTTATGGAACTGGGACGATTGGGGAAGCCAAAAAGTATTATTTTTTCTTCGATGTCGAGGTGTCGAGTTAGTATAATCGAGAGTGCTGATTTCGAAAATGACATTCATTTTTTTGATCGCTACTTTTTTCCTTAAGTAGTACTGTAAAGAAGTAATTTTTTGATTTTTTTTGTGAATATTCGACTTTGGGGGTTTTCGGTGGTGCTGCTTACAAATCAGAAGAAAGAATAAGATTTTCGAAATCAGCAAGGTCGAAACCCCCCAAATCGAGTATTTGTGAAAAAATTAAAAAATTACTACTTTACAGTACTGCTTAAAGAAAAAAGTAAAGATCAAAAAGAAAATGAATGTGATTTTCGAAATAAGCACCCTCGATTATCTAAATTTCGACACTTGCATCGAAGGAAAATAATCCTTTTTGGTTTCCCCAATCGTCCCAGTTCCCGTCTGAAAGCTCCACTTTAGCTTCAAATCCTATTGAAGAATTTGAAAATCCGCTTTTATACGCTGCTGAGTTTGTATGTAGGTTTTTACACTCAGTATATGCCCTTACTCGTTCACCTTTGATAAGTGATATTATGGGTCATCCTACATTTCAAAGACCTCACTTCCGCCTGTAAACGGTCATAAAACTGCTAAATCAGTGCCTCATGGACTTTAAATGTCTCTAAACACTTCTAAAGCTATTTCAAACCTCGATTTTTTAACTGTCACCACTATATTTGACCTCATTTTCCACCAAGAACTATTCTTTTGGCTAGTCGATTGGTACTTTCCCGTATTTTCAATTCTGTCATGTTCTGTGCACTTTAATAAGCCCCCATTGAGGGTCTTATCATGCCCGCCGCGACTTATCATTTCGGTTTTTGTTTCGAAAACTATGTAATTCCATCCACGAGGCTTTGCGGGAACGCTTTCCTGGCGGTTTATGACATTTTTATTGGTTTTAGCGAGGGTTTTAATGTTGCGAGGTCAAAAAGATTAGTTTAAGACGAAGTTCAGAGTGTTACCCCTGACTAATCTGATATGACAGCTGAGAGGCTGGTATATAATGAGGGAATTGGATTGTGTTTGCCATCAGTTTTTATCGAAATGAAAGCTGTATACATGTGGCCTTTATTTGCTTTAGGACACTATCAGTAGAGTATAAAAACGTGTTTTTTATTATTGAAATGGACCAGGGTTGCTCATGGTATAGACATGAGGTTGGGGGGTAAAGAATGAAGTTTCGGTGGTATGAGATAAGCCTGAACTACATTAAATTAGTTTCTTATCTGGGCTAGAATACACTTCTGTCTTGCGCTGAAATACTCACCGCGAAACGTCTCTAAGACTCGGTACAACGACGCCTGCCTATAACGAAAAATTTAGGGTTTTCAAGCAGAAATTTTTGGTCAAATTCAAGTTGCGTAACCGGCCTATGGCGTATAAAAATATGGTCTCTTATTCTGTTATCTATGGGTTATAGAGTAAATAGGAAATTAGGTTAAGGATCACCGAGATCAGAACTATTGATAAAAGTGTTTTGTTTTACGATAGATTTCGTATCAAGGAATAGGAGATCAAAAATCGCGGAACAAGAAAGTGCAGGCTCCGCCATTCCGACTGTTTTTAGAAAATCAGTGGGTTCAAGTTTACGATATCTTATAGATTATATAACTTCCTATACATATACATAAAGATGGTCAAGGAAGTTCTCGGCTTGTATCTTTGCTGCTGGGTCGAATTGCGGTGCAGGCGAAGACACAAAAAAAGGTTTTGCGAAGTGCCTACGAGGCTGGCTAAACCGTTGGATACTCGGATGGTCGGCGAAGCCCCGGCGGAGAATTGGCGAAGGTTTTCAGCATGGCTGCTTTATCTAACTTTAGCTATCACTAACTTTAGTTTCCTTGACCCTGAGTTATTGTAACATAGAAAAAAGGAAAACTTGTGGCAAAAAACGAAAATCCGTAACTTTTATCTAGATATTATTTAGATGTAAAATACCTCAAAATAGGTGATAAGCTATCGTAGGACCCGATTTCAGGGCATACCCCATGTATGCACCTACGAACCGATTCATAGTACCCGAACTGTGGCTAACCTGAAAAAATGTAGCGCTTAATTTTCGAGCTTTTTTGGCAACGAAACTGAAATTCGACATAAAAGCAAAAGTAAATGTCTTCTGTGGGAACTTCTGTGGCCATCTTTACATAAATTTGCTCCTTTTTTAAGCCAACCACCTGTCTAATCTGCAATCTTATTTTTTCAAATTTTTAAATTTCTTTGAATTCCATTATTACGTCGCCATATTGTCTCCAACTTAGCGTTGGGTGGTCTACATGTTTTTTTTTGCTCGTCTGACCTTTACAATCATTTCTTAAAAGTTCAAGTCGTCTCTTGCAAAACGTGCATATCATCGTCTTTATTACCGTGTTTACTACTTTCGCATAATCGTAAAATGTCAGGACCTATAAAAGTCTCGGTCAAAACAAAGGAATCGCCGTGTTTTTTGGGGTGTTTTCAGCGCATTTCATTTCCTTTATCACGTTAAGAGGATCACAAGCGACCTGCCTGCTCGAAACTAATACCATTGGTGATGAAAAAGTGGCAAAGGCGCTTAATTTTATCAGACAGAATAGGGTATATATACAATAGTTTTTGGGTACCTTCATTAATTCTAACAGGGGAAGTACCCCAAGTGCGACGCTCAGATTTCGATGAAACTTGGCACAAATTTAGAATAGTTTTTTCTAAGATATATATATAATCTTAGCTCGCGCTTTGCAGAAAGAACCGAGATTTTTAGACCGAAAGTCGGCGAAGATATGACACTTTTTGCAGAATTTCGACACGAAAAGTTTCATGCTTATTTCTATTGTAATGGGTAATGCTTCCACAAAAAATGAATTTTTTCCGTACGAAACTAGCGAAGTTATGGCCAAAAAGTGTTTTTCTCCCTGACCGCTCTCCGCGCTTAGCATGCTCTCTCGGCGGCAAAGATCGTTCAATATCTCGGCGGCGCTTGTAAAGCGCGAGCTAAAACTTTCAGGAATTGAAGCTTAGTCCATGCCCGACGTGTGTGCAAAATTTAAAGAAAATCTGAGCGTCGCACTTGGGGTACTTCCCTTGTAAATTCTCTGTTAGGAGTGTAATTGCATAGTAGGAAAAAATCAAAATAATTTTTTTACGTTGAAAATGTATTTCGTTGGCTTGAAGTCAGCGAAAAAATCGTTTTTTTTTTGCACATTGTCATCCCGGGTTTGGCCTATTTTTTGCCCCGCACAGTGCAGAATTATGGGGGCTAAGGTAGTACAACCCCCCAGTCCAGTTCAGCCCCCCTTGACCCAGTATAAACCCCCTCATCCAATCTGAACCGCCTACTCGGGATTGGGTTCTCTCGGCTACGATCATCGCTGCCTGAACCACAAGAACGAACTTGGACGGTAACTGGGGGTTTGAGCTAAAACGCCGGGGGTCATTTCACTCTAATTTGCATTTTTTGTATTATTCTAATTTTTTAATTATGGGGGGCGTGAAATGGACAAAACATTGGGGGTTTGAACTACCTTTCGTGGGGGGCTGAACTACCAAAGCCCCGAATTATGGAGTCTCTGCACTGTGTAAAGAATGACACTATTTGAAAAATGGAATTATCTTAGCTGGGGCTGTCTGGGGTCTTCCCCGTCGACGTGATTTCAGTCATTTCAAACCCAAAGTGGAGATCGCGACGCTGTTTATTTCAGGCGTGTCGCGTGTTTTTCGCTTTCAAACCCTTCAATTTCAACTTGCCTTTTAAGCATCGTTTCAGAGAGATTTTTGGAGAAATGAAGGTCGCGCGAATAGACAATTACAAGGAATGCGGCTCAACTATACATTATAGTAAGTCGAGTTTTGTTTTATTGTTTTGGGTTGGTTAAAAATTAATATTGACCTGATTCTGTGATAATTCAGGAAAGAAATCGAAAATTAAAAATCATGTTTTATGGTCAGAAAAAAGATAAGCCGAGAGTGATTCAATTTTTTTCATTGTTTTTAGACGAAACTTGATGGAAAGCAAGGCTAGGATTTTCCAACGCTTATGCGAAATTTCTACTTTCCTAATCTTTGCAAAAATAGCCGAAAAAATGGCCCTTCTCCCGAAAATAGTCGCCGCAAAAAGCACTGTGCATGAATTTAAAAAAAGCATTTCGCACCGTGCATCCGCCCAAAAAGTGGGTTTGCACAGTGCAATTTTTTCTTTTGCCTTACGTCGCGCGCGATTCCTCTTTTTCGCAGCGCAAAAAATTCCCAGGACTTTTAGCGCCGACTAGGCCACTCTCCGCATTTGGCGTTCACTCTCGGTGGCAAAGATTGTTGAAAAACACGATCTCAAATTTTCTGAAATTGATAAAGGCCTGTGCGCAAAGTGCGTGTTAAATTATAATAGAAGGAATATGAGGGACGCATCACTTCCTTTTTCAATATTTTTTTTGTTGATTAAAAAGACATGAAATGCTGCTGTTTCGCGAGAAAAATGATGGAGAAGCATAGTTTTGACCTAAATCATCATAATTTTTTTTAACCCTGTTCACTTTGAGAAACGTATTTTTGACCTAAATCATCATGAATTTTATCCCGGTTCACATTGAGAGACATATTTTTGACCTAAATCATCATAATTTTTTTATCCCGGGTCACTTTGAGAAACATATTTTTGACCTATATCATCATCATTTTTCATCCCGGTTCACTTTCAGACACCTCTCTGCAGCCCCATTTCCTCCATTCAGCTCCATCCACATCCAAGTTCAAAACATATGCAGACATCTTCAACACCGACCCCAGTCCCTTGTACGACTCTTCGCGGCCGTGTTGCTATATTTGCTTTGACGTCACCCCCACTGTAACCTGCCGGTACTGCGAGCAAAAGGTCGGTTGCGCGGAGTGCATGGAGACTTGGGCGAGGTGCAAGTGGAACAGTTACGAGGAGACAACGTGTCCGCTGTGCAGAGTGGAATGGCCCGGGTATTACGAGGATCTGTTGAAGAACAAGAATTGAAAAGGAATCGGAATGGTTGGAGTCGATTTATCCGTTGAAACACGATTTATTTATGATCATATTTAAATAGCGAATTTAGTTTGCATTGTTTTTTTAATTTTTTGGGTTAGGTATTTCAATGTACATATACGTAAGTGAACATATTTGTTTTTTTTTTTGAATAAATTACAAAAACTTTTTCGGCATTCTGCTGTCGCAAAAGGGTATAAAGGGTACTGAAGAAAGCTCGGGTCGACGATAGCATTTATTTTACATGCACTCACATCAATAATATCAAGATAAGGGTTACCGATCTTCGTTTTTTGCCGCAAATTTTGGTCTTTCGTATGTTAGAATACCTCATCAGGGTAAAGAAAACCAACCTCACTAGTAGTCAAAATTAGAGAAAAATAGACATCTTGCAAATCTTCCAAATTGCAAATCCTAGTCTTCGCCGAGCGTCCGCCTACCATCCAACGGCACTGCCAGGATTCGTAGGCACTTCCTACAACCTTTTTTTTGGGCGTCCAGCTGCTCTACAACCCGTATTGATCGATTTTGTGTTGTCGGGACGCGGCCAGAGAACTTGCAGCAGTGAAACCACAAATTTGTGAAATCTTTCGGGACATTACTCACAATTAGACTTACAAATTTAACCAACGTTTTTTTCGACTTCTAAGGATTGGAAAATGACCTTATTGATAACACGCGTTGAGACGAATCTAAATAAAGCGTTCTTTCTTTGTAGGGTCCATACATTTGAAATGCTAAGTTCAAGAAGCCTTGTTCTTTTATCATTTATTCACCATTGCTCTGCCAGCATTGGAATTTTTCGTCTATACGCTCGGTTCAACGATGATCCCGACCTAAGTCGAAGTTTTTTGATCGATTTAAATACCTCGGAGAGCTTTGTTCTCAATGCCACTCCATTTGAAGCCAAATATGGAAAGGACAAGGTGTTTGATCCAAGGAAATCCACAACATTCAAAGACCTGGCCATCCCCTTCTCCGAAGTTTACAGTGACTATGGCAATGAAAATTCTGGACTTGCTTCGGGTCGAGTTGCCGAAGATCAAATCGAAATGTTCAGTGTGAACTTCCCCGCGTTATTTGGTGTTGTAAATTTTGTGCAAGGAAGTCCAACCGAATTTTATGGGCAGAAATTTGCTGGAAGGATTGGCTTTTCCAGGAAGGAACATAAGACGAATTTACGGGATAAATTGTTGCGAGGAACACCTCTGCAAGTCATTTGTTTGGAAGTCAATGTTCCTCAAGCCGGAGGGTAAGTTGAGGTAGCAAAATGAAATCGCAATTCGGGGCAGTGACAGTTCGAGTCAACGGTACTATGGATGCTGTCGGTTTGTCGTCGTCTGCATGGCGAGGCTAGGGGAAGGTTTAGTTAGTATTAGGAATATTTCATAAGATTTATCGGGCCCTAAGTTAGCTTATCACTTTTTAGGCTTAGAAGTATGATCGTGCCGTTTTTTGGAGGTGCATTTTTTACAGGTAGAATTAAAGTTTTGGCTCATCTGTTAATATCACCTGAAAGAACGTTGAAAACGCTGTCGATTGTTATATGTTTCGTGTGGCTAGGTTTATAATAGCGGTTTTTATAAAGCCTCGAAGATGACCAACTTTCGCCCAGAAAAATGCCATTGGCGGGAAATTTTCCCTTACGTATGTAAGGTGAGGAAAGGCGCCGTTGACGCATGGAACTATTTTGAGGTATTTTATATGTGCCCACGAAAATAATATATAGATAAAAGTTACGGGGCTTCGTTGTTTGTCACAAATTTTGGTTTTTCATAAGTTACATTAACTCAGGGCAAAGAAAACTAACGTCAGTAATCGCTAAAATTAGAAAAAGCAGACATATTTTAAGTCTTCGCTAAGTTTCCACCGTGCCTTCGCCGGGCCTCCGCCAACCGTCCAACGGCTTTACCAGGCCTCATAGGCACTTTCTACAACTTTTTTTTTGGGTATCCACCTACCTACGCTCCGTATCGGTCGATTTTGTATTGACCCGAACTGTCGTCGAAAGTTGGGACACGAGAAAAAACTTCCTCCCTGTGCTGTATTCTTCGTCTGATATCTAAATCATCACCGTCGATAGAAGACTACATACATTATTCACAAATATTTTCAGCCTGGTCTACGCTGTCATCGTACTGGGACGCTATCATTACGACGAATATAACTTCTACACTAAAATAAAGGCCCTTCCAAGTGTTAATGGCGACTGGGAAATGCGTTTGGATAAAATTTCGATTGGAAATTCTACGCTCAAACTCTCGGCCTCCTCCGTTATCTCCTCTACCTACGATGGAATTGGAGTGCCGTCGAGATATTTCAACTCGGTTATCCGCATGCTTGACGCCAAATTTGATCCAAAAAACAATCGTTTCATCGTGGATTGCGCGCAAAATGTGCCCATTAAGATTTCCGTTAATGGAATTGAAATTCCCATTCAATTTGATGCATTTACAAAAAGAATCCAAGGAAATGAATGCGTCTTGAATATCCGCAATGTTGGGCAACCTCAGTTCATCCTGGGATTACCGTTTTTTACCAACAATGGAATATGCTTGAATTTTGATGGCGATGAAATTCATTTTTACAAGGCTCGAGGGCCCACAGTTAACTTGGAAGCTGGTAATTTCGTTGAAGAAGATGGATCAGTTAGAATTGTTACTGTTCAGTGATAATATAATATTAGGTTGGATAAAAGGTTATTACTATTTCCTTGCAAAAATTTGAAGTCGATTAGTATTTTCTAGATCGGATCCCTCCGCGGAAGAGCCGATTTTGGCAGGGTATGAAGCAGCTCAAGTTGCGTCCTTTTGTCATACATTTTCACAAGTCTTCTGCCAAGGGAACATTTTGTAGTCTGCTTATTGCTTATCGAACCGGCGAACAAATGTTATTATTGCTCATAAACAGGTTGTTTTTTGTGTGAAATTTTGTACGATTTATAAGGAAATGGATGCCTCGAAAATTTATGTTATGTAAATATATTTGAGGTCGTTCGATCCTTTTCCTGCAATCAAAATTGAGGATTCAAAGAATATTGTAAAATGAATGAGAGGTCAACGGACCACGACAAGCCATCGGAAATTGTTCCGGATCATGATACCGTAAATTATTTGGTCGAAATTCCAGAGGATGCTGAAAGGGAAAGCATTTGACAGTAATCTAGTCTAGCTCTCACAGTTAACTTGGAAGCTGGAACCTTCTTATTTCCACGTAGTTATAGACTAATAGAGCGTTTATCAAAGCTTCATTTTGGCGTATTGCTAATCCTTATGGCGTAGCCGAGATTTTCTATTGCTAGAAACTCGGAAGAGCCCGGATTTTGGCTGGGTATGAAGCAACCCAAGTTATGTCCCTTTGTCGGCCGCTGCTGGTCTCGGATTGGTGTTATTGTAGTCAATAAAGTGGTAATGAATGATAAAGGTGGAAATGTGAAGGAAATGCGATGTTGAAAATCATTTTTATTAATTTTTCAACATTTGATTCTAATCAGTCCAAACTTTAGGAAGAAAAAAGATAAGGAAGTTGAAGAGGTCAAGGCATTCTTCTTACGGTCAATTTTTGTCAAAAAAGTTAAGGACTCCAAAAAATATTAGTTTCTCGAAATGTTGAACTTAGGAACATAATCTTTAACTTTTTTGGACGTCTCCTTTACTCATGTCATAAACTTTCCGCGAAAAACGACTCCCCGGTTTAACATCAGGCCAGAACGAACCTCACTTCGTATTTACAAATGTCGAAAACGTGCAAGAGCGGACAAAAAAATAATGTGCAGTACATTGTGCTTGATAACGCGAATGGCTGATCGAGATAATGCGTTCTTATTTTTCATGAGCAATTTTGGTCGGAAATTGAAAAAAGATAATTAAAAGTAAATTTGTCATTTTTTGCAAGACAAGAAGGCTCGTAGGCAGGTGCATTTGAAAATTATGATTATTTATTTGATTTCTTTGTAGATGGCGGTGGATAGCGAGGACAGAAAGGGTGATGAGGATAAGGAGAGCGAGGAAATAATTGCGAATGATGAGACGATACAGTATTTGGTAGAGATCCCGGAGGATGTGGAGAAAGTAAGTAAAAAAAGGACGACTTTTCGGGTCAGCGATGCTATGGATGGTGTCGGTTCGTCGCTGTATGCATGGCGGAGCCTAGGAGATGGCATAGTTAGCAGAAATAATAAGATTGGTCTGGATAGCTTGTCGTTTATTTTGAGGCTTTTTACATGTGCCACATCAATAATATCTAGAAAAAAGTTACGGATCTTCGTTTTTTGCTGCAAATTTTGGTTTTTTATATGTGACAATAACTCAAGATAAAGAAAACTAACGTTAGTAATAGTTAAATTTAGAAAAAATAGACATATCTCAAGTCTTCGCCAAGTCTCCGCCGAGCCTTCTCCGGGCGTCCGCCGACCGTCCAACGGCTTTGCCAGGCCTCGTAGGCACTTTTTATAACCTTTTTTGGGCGTCCACTTGCCATACGCCCCGAATCGCTCGATTTTGCGTTGACCCGAACTGTCGTCGACCCGAAAAGTCAGGACGCGGAAAAATTTACAGTTGTCATTGTGTTGACTTCACATGTTTTTTTAGACAGGATTCAGTTTTCGCAAATTATGGGCCTTTACTGGACCAGGCTTCTTGATGAGCATCGCGTATTTGGACCCCGGGAACATCGAGAGCGACCTTCAGTCGGGCGCTACGGCCCGTTATCAGGTTCGATCTTTGATCTTTGTTGAAAAATTGAAGCCCTAATTTTCAACGTCTTTTTTCGGCGATTTCAGCTGCTGTGGGTATTGCTCTTTGCCCATGTCCTCGGCTTTGCCCTACAATTACTCTCCGCCCAATTGGGCGTGGTCTCTGGCCGTCATATGGCCGAGGTAAGTCGAGAGCTGTATCCAAGATGGCCAAGATATGCGCTGTGGATCATGGTGGAGATTGCGATTATTGGAAGTGACATGCAGGAAGTTATCGGTACAGCGGTAGCTATTTATATGCTGTCATATGGAAAGGTCTCGCTGCTGTTTGGCGTGCTGATAACAATGCTGGACACGCTGACTTTCTTGTTCATTGATCACTTTGGCTTCCGGAAATTGGAGGGATTTTTTGCATTTCTGATCGCGCTGATGGCGATAACCTTTGGATTTGAAGTTAGTATTTCATTTTTAACAGCACGTAAAATTTTAAAAAAATTTGACAAAAAAATAATTTTTTTTAAAAAATTTGTTATTTTTTCAGTTTTTTATGGTCCAACCGGACGCCGTCGACCTTGCCAAAGGGATATTCATTCCATGGTGTTCGGGCTGTGGCCAAGAAGAATTCCTCCAAGGCGTTAGTGTTGTCGGCGCTGTCATCATGCCCCACAATTTGTATTTGCACTCAGCATTGGTGAAGAGTCGGAGAATCGACAGAAAGAGGAAGAAGGCTGTGGAAGAAGCGACATTTTACTATGGCGTCGAATCTGGGATCGCCTTAATTTGCTCGTTCATCATCAACATGTTCGTCGTGGGAGTTTTTGCTCATGGACTCTACGACAAGTCCAATTTGGAAGTAGTAGGTTTTTAATATAATAGAAAATATGGCAAGTTCCTTTCGTAGCACGATCTTTATTATTGAGAAAGAATCTTTCTTTTGAATTTGATTTTTTTGAATTAGATAAGAGTTAAAAAACGTCATAGCCATCTCAATCGCAAGTGTGTAGTTTAGTGGTTGCAGCATTTTCGGGGTTTTTTTCAACGCATATCTTGGACTGCCGGGAACGGCCAAAAAAGAGAACCGACGAAAAAAGTAATAGACAGGGCTTGAATTTGGTATCTCAAAGATTATGCCCTTAAGCCATACGTATTTTTGGAGAAGGTTAGAAATAAAGAAAACGTGCTGAAAATAGTCAAGCGTCCAGAAAATATTGATTCAAAAGACGGGCTGGCTTTTATTCATCCTCTTGAATAAAAAATGTTGCGAAATTTTGAGTTTACTTTGCTCCTTTTATTATACATATAAAGGTACTATTTACATGCCCTATAGCTCTAGAAATTACTTTTTGCGCTAAAGGGCGTATGAAAATTAGATTGATAAGCTACAATATTCAAAAAAAGAACTTATCTCTGTGCCTTACATGTTTATATTAGTAAATTGTGGGTTCGCTGACTGTTCCTGTTTTACTTTTCCAATCCCTTTTTCAGCGAGAAACCTGCAACAATCGAGATGTACTCGATCCCACTCTCTTCCCCATGGACAACTCTACTGTTGAAGCAGATCTCTATCGAGGCGGAATCTTTCTTGAATGCACTTTCGGCAAGGCAACCCTTATTGTTTGGGGAATTGGAATCTTGGCCTCCGGGCAGTCCTCAACAATGACCGGAACTTATGCCGGCCAATTCGTCATGGAAGGATTTCTGCATATGAAATGGCCAAGATGGCGGAGAGTTATGGTCACTCGGTTGATTGCCATTATTCCGACGGTAGTTGTGACGTTGTTTGCTGAGGGAGTTAGGTCGTTGACTGGGATGAACGATCTCTTAAATTGTGTTCAAATGATTATTCTGCCGTTTGCGCTACTGCCGATCATCACTTTTACTGCAAATTATAATGTAATGTTCGAATATAAAACTGGAAAGTAAGTGAAGCCTTCATCTACTGCTTATGATAAAGTTTACAACTATATAAAAAGGAATTTTCAGAAAAACGCAATTTGCTGCGTTAACAGTGTCGTTAATTGTGATCGGAATTAATTTGTACTTCTCAACGGGCATGATCTTCTCATGGTTTGGGACATCGTGGACAATCTACCTAATGTTAGCACCGCCTATTATCGTTTATGTTCTTTTTGTGATCTACTTATTTATTGTGTGCCTTCAGATTATGGGCATTTGCTCAACAAGAGTGTTAAATGTGAGTTGAGGAAGAATGACGTTAAAACCTCTATTATTATAAAATTCTTAAACATTTTGGTGTGGACCTTGCAGAGATGGCTGAGATATTCAGTCATTTTCGTCGACGAGAGAGTTCGCTAAATGAGGAGAGTAATCAGAGAGAGAAAAATTTTTGCTATACATAATCTCCGCCAATTTCTCGCGGAAAAAAGTGACTTTTGATGTTGACGTTGTCTTCTCCAATAGAAACAAGGCTGACGTTTTTTATGCATTGCACTCGCCAAGAAATGCTAAAAATCTCGGTTGTTTCTGCAAGGCGCTGGCCACATCATCTCGCCTAGAATGTTTATTCTCGACGATTGCAATGCAGATAGAATTACAGTAATTGTGTTTCTCCTTTCAGTTCAACTTCCTTCGAGCCGAACTTGGTACCATCTCGATAAAACCCCTTTGGCAGCCAGAATCACCGAATTCCTGCAGTGGAACAGCAATTGTTCCAACCCTGGCATCTCCTATTTAATATTAATTGCTATTTCGGCGTCCATATACTACGTTCACAAATGTTGTTTAATAAACGTGTACATTTTTATGTTTTTGGCTCAAATTCATCCACAATTTCTTTGAGGTTCAAGCAGCCGCACCTTGTACCCAGAAGATATTTAATCACTAGCTAAACAAGTATTATCAATGACCTTATCAGATGATCAGCTGCAAAGAACCGAATATTTTTACATTTTCACAACTCCTCTTGCCAAGGGAACATTTTGTAGTCGGCTTATTGCTTATCGAACCGGAGAAAAAATGTTATTATTGCTCATAAACAGGTTGTTTTTTGTAAAATTCTGTACTATTTAAAAGGAAATGGATGCCTCGAAAATTTATGTTATGTAAATATTTTTGAGGTCGTTCGATCCTTTTTCTGCAATCGAAACTGAAATTTCAAAGAATACTGTAAAATGGATGACCGAAGGAGATCAACGGACCACGACAAGCCGTCGGAGATTGTTCCGGAAGATGATACCATAAATTATTTGGTCGAAATTCCAGAGGATGCTGAAAGGGCAAGCGTTTTATTTTATCGACCTTACTTATTTTATATATACTAAGCTTGCTCGAAAATGGAGTGAGCCAGAGCTCTCAACCAGAGATTGCCACGGTCAAAATTTTGGCTCCGGCTCTTTGCTCCCAGAGCCGGAGCCGAGGCCGAATTTGCAGCTCCGGCTCCGGCTCTTGGCTCCGCGCAAAATTTAAAAAGGCATCCGGCTCCGAATACCGGCTCCTATGCAAAATGTTTTTTTTTTAATATTTTTCCAAAAATAAAAGTTATTAGTGCAAGAGATCACACGGCCAACATTTTTGCAGTCAAGTCACATCCTCCGCAGTGTTTTTCAAGCAATTTGGTTTAACAAGATCACGAAATTTTTACTTTTCTGACCGCTGGGAAGCCTGGCTCCGACTTTGGGCTCTGGCTCCCGGCTCGGAGCCGGAGCCGCTCAGAGCCGGAGCCAAGAGCCGGCTCCGGAGCCGTGGCAATCTCTGCTCTCAACATTACATTGTGTGGAAGGCTTTCAATAATACGTCTAGCAGAGATCTCATTATCGTCTAACACACCAAGAAAAACTCATTGTTTTCTCTTCTAGAAAGTTGTTAATAATTTTATGCACGAACAAACCTTTTTGGATGCTTGACATTCAAAAGTCACCAACTTCTTCGCAGTCAGATTTGACTCTTCCGTTTTCAGCCTGGGTTCAGTTTCCGAAAGCTATGGGCCTTTACGGGGCCTGGCTTCTTGATGAGCATCGCCTATCTGGATCCTGGCAACATCGAAAGCGATCTGCAAGCAGGAGCTGTGGCTCGATATCAGGTAAAATTCCAAGCAAACCCTCATAGTACTGTAAATTTCTACAGCTTCTCTGGGTCCTTCTTTTCTCCCACGTCCTTGGCTTCACCTTGCAAAATTGCTGGCTGCGAGATTGGGCGTGGTATCCGGCCTTCATATGGCCGAAGTTAGCCGAGAATTGTATCCAAGATTCCCGCGATATTTCCTTTGGATTATGGTCGAAATCGCGATTATTGGAAGCGATATGCAAGAAGTCATCGGGACCGCAGTAGCTATTTACATGTTATCGTATGGAAAGATTTCTCTGATCTTTGGAGTTCTAATCACCATGTTGGACACTTTGACATTCATGTTCATAGATCACTTTGGGTTCCGAAAACTGGAAGGATTTTTTGCTTTTTTGATTGCTGTTATGGCTGTTACCTTTGGATTTGAAGTAAGTTTACAACTAGTCGAAAAGTCATAAACTTTCAAAAAAAAAATTTTTTTTGAAAAACAAATTTGATCGTATAAAATGTCTTCAACGCCGAAAAGTCAGATATTTTTCCTAGGCATCTTTTGGAATGTTCCGAAGAGGTTTTTGTGTTTATTTTCAATCAAAGCTCAAATTGACGATAATGTGACGAAGTGTTAACAAAATTATTGATTTTTGAAAATAGCAAAGCTTCGACAAAAGAATCATCAAATTAAATATATTTTTCAGTTCTTCACAGTCCAGCCGGATGCTGTCGACCTCGCCAAAGGCATGTTTATTCCATGGTGCCCGGGCTGTGGTCAACAGGAATTCCTGATGGGAATCAGCGTAGTTGGCGCCGTGATTCAGCCACATAATTTGTATCTGCATTCCGCGTTGGTTCGGACTCGAAAAATCGACCGAACAAAGAGCAAGGCCGTGGAAGAAGCTACATTTTATTATTCGATTGAATGCGCAGTAGTGTTGTTCTGCTCGTTTATTATCAACATGTTTGTTCTTGGGGTCTTTGCTCATGGATTGTATGACAAGACCAATTTGGAAGTGGTAGGCGGGATTTTGGCAATAAAAGTATTGAGATAGTACTAATCACGACAAAAATTAACTAAACAAATATGTTTTTAAAATGTCTCTAGAAGGGTTTTGAAATAACGTATCAAAGCCTATAACTTAACGCTAATACATTCAGCGAGAATCCTGCAACAACCGAGATGTCCTGGATCCCACTCTTTTCCCCATGAATAACGAGACTGTCAAAGCGGACCTCTACAAAGGCGGGATCTTCCTAGAATGCACATTTGGCAAGCTAGCCCTTATTGTTTGAGGAATTGGAATCTTGGCCTCCGGGCAATCCTCAACAATGACCGGAACTTATGCCGGCCAATTCGTCATGGAAGGATTTTTGCATATCACTTGGCCACGATGGCGTAGAGTAATGGTCACTCGGCTTATTGCTATCGTCCCTACATTATTCGTTACTCTGTTCGCAAATGGCGTTAGATCGTTGACTGGGATGAATGATCTTTTGAATTGCGTCCAAATGATTCAACTGCCATTTGCGTTGATTCCAGTGATCACTTTTACCGCAAATTCGAACGTCATGTTTAATTATCGGATTGGAAAGTAAGCGGTGACGCATTCTGACTAGGTTGATTCAGAAAAACACAAGCTGCGGCGTTGGCAGTGGCGGTACTGGTTATCGCTATCAACTTGTACTTCTCCACTGACACTATTTTCTCATTCTTTGGGACAGCGTATACTATTAGGTCTAAAAGTATGACTCCGCCGTTTTTTTGTTTTGCATTTTTTACAGGATGGAATATAATTTTGCAATTTCTGTTTATATGCTATAAAAGGACGTTGAAAACGCTGTCTAATGATATATGCTTCGTACAGTGAGGCCTTATATGACGGTTTTTATAAAGCTTCAAAAATGATCAACTTCATCTTAAGAAAAGGTGACTTGCGGGAAACTTTATTCTGCACGTGTAATGTGAGGAAAAACGCCGATAACGCATCGAACGTTTACAGAAGCTTGTGCTAGTTGTTCCTTGAGTGGAAAAATCCGACGGGAATGGCTTCAACGGTTCAAAACCGGTGATCTTCACACCCATCCAAAAAATTTTAAGATGGAGATTATGCGATAAAAACAATCCCCAGACGCAAAAAAAAGTTAGCCGTGAAGCTAAAGCTGACTCAGAAAGCAGTTTCACAGAGTCTGCAACAAAAGTGAAAGACGCAGGGAGCAAGGAGTTGGGTACCATATTAATTGACCTAAAACAATATGCAATATTCTGATGGAAAGACAGAAAAGAAATTCTTTTTGCCTCAATTCGTGACCGGGGGCAAACAATAAATGAATTTTGACAACAGTTACAGCCACCGGAATAAAAAAAATTATCCTGTTTTTTGGTCATTTCAGACTCTATGTTGAAAAACTGGCCAAGGCACGCTAGAACACCTAAGGTTAAAGGTCCTACCCTACCCGCTATACTCTTCTGACACCACACTTTCAGAATAACACTTGTTTCGACCGATGAAACCCGATCTGAGGCAGCAGCGCTTCGCTGAATACAAAAATGTCCAAAATTGGCCCGATGAATAAATTGCCTCAAAACAAAAAATCGTTTTCACTGATGGTATTGAAAAGTTGCTCAAATTGTGGGAAAATGTCGTAGTTAATAATGGTAATAATAATTAAACTTTAATGTAAAAATTTTTTGTTTTGATTAAAATTGTCAAGCCAAAAAAACGGCGGAGTCATACTTTTAGACCTAATACTTATCTTTTAATGGCTGCCCCAATTGTCATCTATGTTTTAGCAGTGGCATATTTATTTGTCGTTTGCCTTCAAGTCATGGGAGTCTGCACAAAGAAGATCTTTAACGTGAGGAAATTTACATTGTTGTAGTATTTTACACAACTTTTCAGTTCAATTTCCTTCGAGCTGAGCTTGGATCCATTTCTGTAAGGCCATTATGGCAGACGGAGTCTTCGCCAAGTGTCCATCTAGGAGCTTCATATAAATTGTAAAAAAATATATGTTTTGTAGGGTCAGGAGCATCTACCAAATTTCCTACATTTTTCTACATGGCAAGCCACAATAGCGGACTTGATCCAACGGCAAAAAAACTTATTATTTTGCATCCGGATAGCATCAAAAAATGTAGCAAAATGCCTCCCTCTCCAAGTGAAAAAACTCCGATTTCAAAAGCGCGCTAACTCTTTTTGTGAGGGAAATGGTGCGCCTTTCAAAACGGAGTTGTTTAGTTGAGGCATTTTGCTACATTTATGATACTTCCCGGATGCAAAATGATACGTTTTTTGCCACTGTATCAGGTCCGTCACTGTACAACGATAAAAAATACACGATTAATATTTTTTCCAAGCCAAATTCAGATGCAAAAGTTTCTGAATGTGTGTACTTTCCTTATTATTATAGGATCCTACAACCAAATAAGACATCCCTAGACTTCTCAGAACATATCCAATAAATTGTAAATATCAACTGATGCTTAACCCGTCAGAAAATTTTTCCTCATCGTTTAACTTTTTTCCGCTTTCTTTAAATACTTTTTCGTTCGTTGTAAGCAGAGACTCAACAAGTTGGCCTCGGGGGAATTGGAACAAACGGCACGATATCCTCGCAGAAAAATCGCGTATTTTTTATGTCGCTGTTTTCTTGGGGCCTCGTTTATTTCCGGCGCGAGAAGGAATTGCCTGGCGTCATTTGCTCGGGGAGGAGTTTGACCGGTCAATAAGATTGGATAATACGGTGAAATCTTTGTACATGACTCTCTTACAGGTGAACATGCCGATAAGAAATGATTTCTGGAGGTGCCAAGGATCATTGTTAGACAAAAATTAACCCCATTGATAACGAAAAGTTTATGACAATAAACTCTTTGGTACCTTGCGGTTTGTTGTATAGAAGTTTGAATAGATTTTACTGCTGTAAATCTCATAAAAATTTATTTTTGACTCATCCTTGATTTCAAAGTAAACGTCCGCCATCCCTTATAACCGTAGTAAATCATGCTCTCTATTACCGCCAGAAAATCCAATAAAATCTCTTTTAAACTTTCCAAAAACGATTAGTAATCTGATCCAGATAAATATTCATCAATCATGCTTCTCATCGCATTATTACGAAGCTTCAAAATATTTCTTTTTTAATTTTGGGCACTTCAGAAAGCTTGTTTTCAAAGTGTACATGCCCCAAGGCACATGCAAGATAATGACCAGTGGCCATTATGGCCTCTAATAACTTTAGAGCCCATTTTGAAGGGATTTTCCAATTCGCCAAATGAGTTGGCCGAGGAAAAAACGAAGGATGTTGGTAGGTTTGAAGGGCACTTACTGATATGAAAACAACGTGTAAGACGTGTTATTTTTGTACAGACAGACCTCTGTAAAATGAAGCACAAAGTACCAAAAAATTATTTTTTATAGAAAGTGTTTGTTGTACGATAATTTTTGCCAAAAAAATGACTCTTAAAACCTCTGAAATTGCTCGTTATAGACAGGTTTTGTTGTACAGGAATTTTTTGCAAAGTGGTTATTTTTTATTGTAAAATTTACCCCTATCTTTGGCGTTACATCATCCATAAAAGTGCACAAAGTTTCCCTTTGTCGTGAAATTACTGTCCATAAATCGCTTCTGAATTGTTTTTTGGGTTCATTTTCGCTGTCCAGGGACCCTTTTTCGCGGATTCAGAAACAAGTTGGAGGAGGGAAAAGAAGAAGATTGACGGATTTTGCCTTTTTCGACTACAGAACTCGAAAAGTCAGCCGAATCGGAGAGTTTTTTGTTTCTTCAGCCCGTCCTCCTTCCGCGGCACGTGACTGTTTATTTGCAGGGTTTTTCGAGGTTAAAGAGGTAATCGAGGGGATTCCGGAGGATTCAGAGACAATAAGAAGTTGGGGCTTCAATTTTTTGTTGTTTACAAATGGCTTCAGTTTTTGTTGTTTACGCCTAGATCCCTTATCTGAAAGGTGATGAGATTATTTCAAGCACTTATATAACTATGGCCAACATAGCGCGAGGATGAAAAATTTGAATAAAATGAACTCGTGAGCTCGCATTTTGAAAACTTTCTTTGTAAATTGACTAGTACAAAAATGTCCTTTTCTGAACGCCTCTCACCTCTGATTTTTTATAAACATCCCTTGTTGTAAGCAGACACATTTTGGCCTCGGATTTATTCTTGAGACTTCTGAAATTGTTTGTCATAGAAAAGTTTTGTTGTACAAGAGTCTGTTGTACTAACGTTCCAGGGTTATCGTTAGCAAAGGGAACAGCTAAAACTTTACTGTAGAACATCTTCTCTTCTTTCGTATTTTCTCGTATGAAAAACGCTAGTGAATTTATTTAGAATTCTAGTCATGCAACTTCCGAGATTCTTTTTGATACACGGGCAGCAAATAGCGTCTCGCGAACTTGCCTCAAATTTGGTACTTTGGCGTACCATGTGGTTAAGAACTTTGTTTTTTTATGCTGATGAGCGCTTGCTCTAATTTTTATATAACAGATTCTTATACAAGATTCTTATTAGCCCTTTCAATCTAATTGTAGCGCTCGTTTTTTCCTCGGCCAACTCATTTGGCCAATTGGAAAATCCCTTCAAAATGGGCTCTAGAGTTATTAGAGGCCATGCGGAGAGATGAAAAGTAATGGCCACTGGTCATTATCTCTCGCATGTGCCTTGGGGCATGTAAACTTAGGAAACAATCTTTTTGAAGTGCTAAAAATATAAAAAGAAATAGTTTGAAGCTTCCTAATAATGCTATGGGTAGTATGATTGATGAATATTCGTCTGTATCCGATTACTAATCGTTTTTGAAAAGTATAAAAGAGATTTTATTGGATTTACCACCGGTAAAACAGACCATGATTTACTACACCAGCTGAAATGGAAAACTTTTTTATGATTACTATGATTTTGCAGTATCCAGAGCCCTTTTTCCCCGTTCTTGTGACAAAATCAGCCCTGTTTTTTGACTTCGAACCTCGGACTTTGCAAATCTTCTTGGATCTCATTAAAAATTGAGTTGAAAAAATTTGCCGAGACCAAAACATCTGTGTTATAACGACACGAAAAGAAGAATCGGCTTCATTTCGTGACGGCTGAATACAATTATTCAAATTGGGGTGAGTGAAAAAAATGAGTGGTTTTAGATTTATTGAATTTGTATACAGTTGAGCTGGATTTGGGAGATTTTTGGGATACAGGGATTTTCGAGATTTTTAAAGAGTTTGTAGGGTTACTGTAGGTGAATTTAGACTTTTTGGGCAGTTTAATAATTCTTTTGGCATGGTGGTCTTATAAATCGTCTGCTTGTTTATAAATTTGCATAATTGGGATAAATTATGCAAATTTATTGTTCTTATTTTACAACCTCAAAGGCCATCTTATTTGAAAGAAATTTTCATACTCTCTAATATGAAAATCTTTAAATTTGCATAGATTATGCAGATTCGCATTTTTTCTTTTAAGACATTAAAATGTCATAAGAATTTAATACCCCGTATTTTACAAACTTCCAAGATATTTGTTAGCCTATAATAAGTTTAGTTTTAGTATGCACAATTTATGCAGACTTCTCCAAATTTTCATTTCCACATTCATTTATTTTGCTGACAATTTGCTCGCCATTTTTACGGTCCATTAAAATGTCGGGGCGACGTCGTTTTTTTTAGGTTCAATTTTTGGAAGCGATCCTTCTGGGAGGTCACTTTCCGTGCTCCAATTGCGGCGAGTTATTCTCGGTTATGTAAACCGCTTGGTCATTTTTTTCACTTTCGTTTCGAACCTAGAACTAATATCATGTTTTATGATGATGAAGGGAAAATAAAACGGTTAAATTTTTGCCCAAATTTATGTAAAGTCATTTTGCGGAACTTTGGTTAATTTTGTGACGGTTTTTAAAAATTTGAATAAATCCATTAAATAGGAGTGGACGTATTTTAAAATGACTCTTCTATGCGCGGAAGATATTTCAGATCTCGAGAAACAAACTTTTTGTAGGTTGCAAACAACTACATTACAATTTTGATGCTTTGGAAGCGAATTTTTGGCACATAACATCGGCTTTCTTTCACTTCACAATTTGGAATCACAACATAAAAATATTATTTTCTTGTCATCACAATGGATTGTGCAGTAATATGCGTTTTATCCATGGTAGTGCAGATGCAACCTCATGTTGAAAATCTGGTATGTTATATATACATAATATTATGTGAATATAGTTATATTAAAATTTGAGCGCTTAATTATAATATAAATTACATTTACAAGCAATTTTTGAAATCAAATAGGTAGATTGAAGCAATCTACAAGTTCATCAAAAACATAATTTTTATAGAAATGCTCTTACTGTATGAATGTCGACGCCCTCTCCACAGACTGCTACAATGACCCCCTGAAATGTTGGCACACTCAACCGGAAGACCTTCTCTACTGTCTAACATCAATAGAATATCGATCAAACATGGCGTTAAAGTCCCGCCGATGTGTTGCCCAACCCACCTTCCCCATGGATAAGCATATCCTCCAAATGGCTATGCAGCAGCGCCCTGTGTGCGATTTCCAGTCGGCGCAAGCCTGCAACTGCACGAATTGTGTGGCCCCACCGCCAACTACACCTAGACCTTTCAGACCACAATATCCACCGCCCAGATTATGTGAGTTTTTTATTTATTTTTTTATTTTTTCGCATTTTTTCGCATAATTTTTATTTTTTTATTTTTTTCGTTTCAATTTTTGCACATTGCGGAGAAAAAATAAGGGAAAGTTAGGCTTGCACTGTGCAAGTAGACAAATTTTTTTTCAGTGTGCGGACGGAAACAAAATTTTTTTTTTTTTGCATTGTGCAAGGAAAAAATTGTCACTTGCACAGTGCGAAGCACGGGAAAAATGAAAAATTCACCTTGCGTTGTGCAAAAAAAACCAACTTCTTAGAAACATGCAAAAATTAAAAGTAGTATGTTTAATTTTTTGATTTTTTTCGAACACTATTTTTCAAACCTTTCGCAGAGTGCGCAGAAATTTATTTTTTGCACTGTGCAAAGCCTAAAATAGGCTAAAGTCGGCCTTGCACAGTGCAGTAAATTCCTCTTTTTGTACAATGCAAGAATTGAGCTGTTTTATGACTCTGCTTTAAAGAGAAACCTCTGGAAACAAAATCTTAGCCTACTAGAAACTAAATTTCATTATTTTTCTCATTTTATTTTGCAATAAACTGCAACATTTACCCAATTACAGCTTCCATACCCCTTTGAATCCAGTTTTTTCTCAATTTTATAACGTGTAGACGGACCAATAAATTTTTGGGAACACCAATTAATCTTGGTTGTTTCAGCACCCCCACCCCGGAACCGTCCCAAAACTTTGGCCATTAATTTGGGTCGTAAAGGAGACAAATATCTGATGCCCAAGAAGCACGAGCCCGTCGAAAAGGCCCATAAACTTCGCGCACTCTCATCGCAATCGTCGTCATCGGCCGTCTTCCAATTGAGCTTGGCCTCAATTTGTGGGGCGGTTATTTTGAAAATGGTTTTCTAATCGAAAATATGGTCAAAATATGGTGAAAATGATGATTTTGGGATTTTCTGTGATCTCATGGAGAAGAATTTGGAAAACGCCGACTGTTTTACATTAAAGAAAAAGCAATATTATGTATATAAAAGTATGAATATGATGGTAATTTATCTTGAAACCGAATAAAAATTGAAAAAATTTGTCTTGCGACCTTTGTAAATTATAAAAGTTGCAGTATTCAATGGGAGATGCTTATATTTTCTTGTAATTTTTCCTGCAATGCCTACATAGGACACGTTTAAAATCCTGAAAATTTTTTATTTGCTTTTTGCAAGGCTGCCAAGATTTGAAGCTCTTTTTTATCTTAAAATGGAAAAGGCTTATTTTTTGTATGCCAGACATACACTGTAAGAGCCAAGTCTCAACAATTTAGATTTTGAAAACTTTCAAAAAATTCCGAATTTTTCCTATATTCAGGCCTAAAAACATCGGTATTGTCTGAAAAATGCAAAAACAACCATCTTCAATTTGTCTTGGCACTTACATAATCTAAGTTTTTGCTAAGTTACATTACAATCGAAGCATCACATTTTAAGCATATATCGAAAAATAAAATCATCATCATTCCTTTTCTATATGCAAATTTGCTTATGATATTTATTTGAAGATTCATTAAAAAATCTCAAAAACTAAAACATAAATATTGAAGAAAAGAATAAGTATATGATCAAAAACCGGGTGCGTATATATAGAAATGGGATCAAAAATTGTAGGATTATTGAGTGCATTTGTCCAAACAGACTTCTTGCCGGATCGGGAATCGAGTGTGCTTCGAAACGTGGGACGGCGAAGCCAAACTGAGGCCAGTCACGAACTGAAAACGATGTTTTACATGTCAATGATCACTTCTCTGTGCTATAGAAGCAAAACAAAAACGAAAAGTGTCTAGTTTTTAGAGCTATGTCCCACCAAATTCCTGTTTTCTTTTCCCTAAACCTACCTGCCAGGGAGTACAGCCATTTAGCGCGGCATCTTGTCCTCTTTGATTAGTCTCGACTGGCTTTGTGAACTGAACTCTGAGGACTCCATTTTGAATGGATCCACCGATCATCTTGACGTCCTGAACTGAATCTGGGATTGATGGGCCGTAACCTCGAGTAAACTCGTCCGTGACAATAATCCGGCCACCCAGAACGCGGACAATAACGGCATCAAGTCCAAACTGAAAATATTTTGTAAGCTTTTTGATATTTTTTTGTTTTTTTGCCTTAAAATAAATACCAAATCAAGATGCTTATCATCTTGATTTGCTATCGGAAATTTCACTGTAATCTTACACTCCTTAAACTCTATATTTATTATTTTTTAAACTCTGATTACATCATTTGCCCTTGATTCGTACCGCTGCAGAGTTTTCGTTTTCTTAAAATTTCTCTTCAATTTTTTTTGCAAAATGACCTTGAAGTCATCATAAATACTTCCCGGTAACCTCAACTTACCATCGAATTTCCGAATGCCACTCCAGTCCACACATCGTATTGCTGAGGGAAATTATTGTAGGTCAGGTCGAAATGAACACGGCCAGTTTTGGAATCCAAGAAGAATTGGAGCTTGTAGTCCATGTCCGAGAAACTACACACATTTCCGTCGGCTGAAATTATCAGCCGCTAATTTCAAACAGTTTTTCAGTTTAAAAATGTTTGCACTGTGCAAAAAAAGACTCTTGCTGCACAGTGCAGCTTCGATTTTAGCCCATTATTGAGCCTGCACTGTGCAAAAATGCAGTCCCTTTGCACTGTGCGGAAAAATAGGAAAGTTAGAAGATTGAAATTTTTTATAAATCTGAAAATCCTGCATTATGATGAAAATCTAACCCACCGCACAGTGCAACCTCAATTCTAATCTATTATTGGCTTTGCACAGTGCAAAAATAATATTTCCTTGCACTGTGCAAAAAAAAATTTTTTTCAAAACAGACATTTCTAATATTACAAATTATTTTTTGTTAAAATTTCCTTACATTTTCTCCGTCTTGGAGTCTCCCTTCGCACATGATGAACAGGCATTCGAGATCTGGGCATGTCGTGAACTGTCATCATGGAATGCCTGCCAACCACATTTATCGTGGCTTCATGGTTCTCGCCGTAAACTGTAATCATTCATAGACACCATACGGCTGTATCTTACCATTAACAGCCAATGCGAGCAAAGAGAAAACCACGATGAGTTTGAACATGATGCTGTGCCAAGTTTGAGAGTAGCAAGCTGAAAAAATCACTTGTAATCGATGGAGAACTAAGTTCAGACTACTTTTTAGTTGATCGTTTTTTCAAAGGCGTCACAAACAACATACAAACTGAGAAAAGGGAAGAATAAGCCGATTCCTCGAAGGACTAATACGATTATGCAACGAAATGTCAGAAGAAATATTTAGTTCAGTATGACAAGGTCAAAGTGGAAGGCAGCAAGGGAAGAGGGGTTTTTTAAGTCTTTGAAAGTACAGTATGCCATTGTTTCGTTGAATTTGGAAGGTATAGTTGAAGTTGTAGTTTTAGCAGGGAATAAAATACAAAGCAAACTGTTGGGCTTGTAGTGAGCAGTAAGAAAAAGAGAAACTGTAATTGGAATGATGAGAAAAGTAAGAAAAAGTGGATTTCTGCTTGTCGAATTTCGATTTTACCTTAAAACACTGCTATTTTCATACAGGCTATAGATATTTTGCCCCTTACCACAAATTAATGAAGGTTACCAAAAAAAATTACTGTGCAATTTTTCGAATGTTTTGGTGTTCAAAATCACCTTCTGAAGACTTGAATTTATTGAAAAGAAGAAGTTCAGACCTCATCGCAATATCGATAAATTACAGCTCAAAAAACAGTCATTATCGCTTATACAACATCGCGATGACCACGGCCTTACCGGCAGGAAGCCCGGCCCATACTTGTCATTCGTTTCATACGCAAAAATTCCAAAACTAAAGCCATGATAATTGCCAGCAAACCCTGTACCAATTCTCGGAAAACTCTCTACCAAACATCGCTAACGCCCACTCAGTTTCGTTCTGTAGAAACCAGTTTTTAACTTTTTTCTCTTTTTACAAATTTCCTTCTTACTTTTCGAAACTAATCGTCCTACTGTTAAAAAAATCGGAGAGTTAGCTAAATTGTCACCACTTTATATAAATATAAATAAAACGCAGTTTAAAACACCAAATTTTTTTATTTCTTCTGCTATCTATACGCTACTACTCGCCAAATTTACATTATCATAAATAGTTTAAAACAGGTTTTACGAGAGACTCGAGCTTTCAGATATGCCTTGTGCACAAAAAACAAGATGTTACAGTAGAGACTTGAAATACCAACCGTAGTTAGCTAGTTACCAGTGTATTAAAATGGGCAGGTCAAATTTTCAATTTTTGGCTTACTGTAGGTATACTGTAACATTTTCATATTTTTCGTTTCTCCTCGACTAGTTGCCCGATTGACTCCGGACCTTTTCAGGGTTATAGAATGATTGATTCTAAGCAACTTTCATATTGACACCTTTTTGCTAGGACTTCTGGAAGTGTGAGAAAAATTTGCATATTTAGCAAAAAATTTAAAATTCTTGAATTTTCTTAAAAAATTTGCAACCTTGTACATCCTTTTTATTGCTGTAAATAACACTCTATGATGTGGGGATTCCAACGGTGGCAAAATCATGGCTGGGCGGCCTGTCAACTCTGAGAACGAGGCCTCTAAACATTTGGTCATCACGAAATTTTTTTGCTTCAAAGTTGGATACGTGAGATATCGGGACAAAGTTTAGTTCCATTATAATCTACATAAAATTCTAAGACTTTTAAACCCTATTACCATGAGTCTCAGACCGACCGGTCGAAAGATACGACCAATTTTCGAGATTTTTTTTATTTTTTTCAGTTTTCGCCATGAAGATGACAGAATTGCAGAATTTTTATGGTCACAACTGAATCAGTGCCCTCGCTGTACCCTCGTACTATATAGTTTTAATCTTGGTCGCTTTGGGTGCTGTTCAAAATTTTTTGAAACCTTGGCAAAGTCCTCAACTTTTGAATTTCTTTTTTCACAGACAAGGTCAAATTCGTATCGTATGTCATATTTTAAAAAATACGGCGCGGGTACCACGCTAACTACCCCACAACTACCCCTCTAACTTTTACAACCTTTTATAACCTTACAACATCGAACCTAAATATGTCGTGCAAAGGCGACCAAAGCTTTGCCCTATTTCTTTGCACAAAATAATAGAATTTCCACTTTCATGACGAAATCTTGGTATTTTGATGGCACCATTAAATTCAGAACTTATAATTTTACCTATATGTATATGTGCATAAATCGCTACAATAACGTTTCGTATTTTGGACATTCAGATTTTCTCGAGATTCGGGAAGTCCCGAATACCGATATTTCCATAACTTCCTGAAAATTATGGCAAATACTTTTTTACCAACCTAATACAACTTTACTCAAAACTCAAAAAAAAACGAAAAAGAAATTTTGTCGATTTTATGCGACCCTTCGAATATGACTTCCGAACGGTTTCAGAATACGAAAGACATACAGGTGTACGTCTGAGTGTTTCTAAAAAATTCACGTAACTCTTTTTATGAATTTTGACCTTGTCTGTGAAAAAAGAAATTCAAAAGTTGAGGACTTTGCAAAGGTTTCAAAAAATTTTGAACAGCACCCAAAGCGACCAAGATTAAAACTATATAGTACGAGGGTACAGCGAGGGCACTGATTCAGTTGTGACCATAAAAATTCTGCAATTCTGTCATCTTCATGGCGAAAATTGAAAAAAATAAAAAAATCTCGAAAATTGGTCGTATCTTTCGACCGGTCGGTCTGAGACTCATGGTAATAGGATTTAAAAGTCTTAGAATTTTATGTAGATTATAATGGAACTAAACTTTGTCCCGATATCTCACGTATCCAACTTTGAAGCAAAAAAATTTCGTGATGACCAAATGTTTAGAGGCCTCGCTCTCAGAGTTGACAGGCCGCCCAGCCATGATTTTGCCACCGTTGGAATCCCCACATCATAGAGTATTATTTACAGCAATAAAAAGGATGTACAAGTATGCAAATTTTTTAAGAAAATTCAAGAATTTTAAATTTTTTGCTAAATATGCAAATTTTTCGCACACTTCCAGAAGTCCTAGCAAAAAGGTGTCAATATGAAAGTTGCTTAGAATCAATCATTCTATAACCCTGAAAAGGTCCGGAGTCAATCGGGCAACTAGTCGAGGAGAAACGAAAAATCTGAAAATGTTACAGTATACCTACAGTAAGCCAAAAAATGAAAATTTGACCTGCCCATTTTAATACACTGGTTACTAGCTAACAACGGTAGGTATTTCAAGTCTCTACTGTAACATCTTGTTTTTTGTGCACAGCTAACTCGAGTCTCTCGCAAAACTTGTTTTAATAGATAGAGGAGAGAAACCAAAATCTAAACTCTCTGAACGTTTGATGTTTTACATTAAACGACTCTCTTCAATAAACTCCGTCTACTATCAAGTGCTGTAAAGATTCACAACTTTTTTTGTCAAGCCTTTTTAGAGGAGAGAAAAGGGAAAGTGAAAAGAAATCGTACAAAATCGGGAAAAACGAAACTTTTCCCAACTTTAGTAAACTGTTGATAATTGAGGCAAACAATTGGAGGAAAGTAATGTTAACAATCAAAAAATGATTTTTTCGTAAAAGTGAACTTCAAAGTTCTCGCTGTATTACATGTATAAAAGAAAAAAAATTGAAGCGTTCTCTGGTTGAAAGAAATAGAAAACATGATTCTAAAGATACAAAAAAGTCTAAAGTAAAGTATAGATTTCCAAGTCCTAGGCAAAAGTGGCAAACTCACAATTAAAAAAAAAATTGATAAAACAGTGCCCCTTATTTCCTCAGCAATTATTTTGACCGCAAGAAATTCCAGATATGCCTTTTTTCACAAGATTTTCAATTTGAAGCTTTTTTCGAATTTGCTTTGCCCAAAAGCTAGTATAATATAATAGCTTCTCTTTAAAGCCCAGTTCCTCAAATACTGTGCGTTATAGGGGTCAGTTATTGCGTCATTTACCCTCTAACCGGCAGCAGTAACCGTCGAAGCGAGCTTTGCCTCCTAATATGTTGTGAAAGCTGGCCTGGCCAGGCCAGCTTTCTGGCTCTTTCGCGATGGGGCCAACTTCTCTAAAAGGCAGCAAGAATCGTATTGAGCAAGCTTTAAGCATTGCAATTCGATTCTTTAGGTCAAAAAAGGCAACTCGGTTAGTTAACTTAACTATTCGCCCAATCTTTACTACGAAGCAATCTCTCGTTTGCAAAATTGTAAACACTACTTGTTTACAAGTTCCATTCCTAAGTTTAACATAGCAGTGTAAACCCAGCTCTACTATATGATCAATGAATTTGATAGAAGCTTTTTGTACCAAAGTTTACAGAACGCTTACTTTTGGGCAAAACATTCCCACGCTTTCCCATCAATTATAACTTCTTTCTCAGAAAGCAAATTTGTTTGATAAAGGTGCAAATTGAAGCAAGACAAGTAAAAAAATCGATGTTGCACAGTTCTGGGGGCCCAATTTCTTTTTTTTTGTTGAAAAAATGACAATTCTACGGTAGCTTTGTCAACAAAAAAAACGAAAAAATGCAACACCAACTCGCTCCGGCTTCGTTAAATAATAAATTCGCTAGCCAGTTTTTTTCCTCCAAATTTTCTACGCGCATTAATCATTTCGGAGTAAGTTTTAAAAAGTTTACAAATTGTTAAAATAATATTTTTTTAGACAATGACCTCATTTTTCACCTCGACCTGAAGGTTTAAAAAAAGCACGCGCGACAAAAAAAAAGCAGACGAAAAGAAGAGTAATTACTAGGATACCAGTTATAGAGTCAAGGGTGCAAGAATTTGTAAGCAATTACGCAACTTTTCATAATTGGGCTGAAATTTAGTCCAGGTTTTGACGAAGTCTATCATTTTTAAAAAAGATGGCATCGATGTAGATTTTTCGTAATCAAAAATTAAAAAAATTAATTTTTTTTTAAATTAGTTCTGCACTGTGCAGAAAGTCGTACCGTCTGCACCGTGCAAGGCAAATTTTAGCCTATTTTTCGATCCGCACTGTGCAAAAACCTCATTCGAGTGCACAGTGCAAAAAAAATATAATAAAAAAATAATAAATAACAGAACATTTTTTCAAAAAAAAAAAATATTTTAATTTGAAATTTTTTGTTCATTTTACCTTACTTTTATCTCAAAATCCGGTTGTTTTTGATGACCGATGGGCAATTTTTTCGCAACATTGGGGCATGAGTAAGTTTACCGTAATTTTTGACATTCTTAATCCATGTTTTTTACAGACTCGACAAGTCAAATTGCATAAAATCTCAAAATTGGACGGAATGCCTCATCATAAATCGCCAAAACATCCTGCATAAGAAATATACTGACTTTATTCTGATCATGTGCCTGTTCATCGTGTCTTCCCTCGCATCCGGATTCATTATTTATACCATTCACTCCCGCACTGCAAATCCAGTAGATCCAAGTCGAGAATTTTATCGAAAAAAGAGAGAGAAAAGATGGCGCGAAGTGAAAAATCGAAGAAAATTGAGGGAAAATCGACTGATAAATGGAAACAAAGGTGCTCAAGTGAGTCTTACTGTCTTTACAACAGATTTTAAATTATATTTTAATCTTGGTTTTACAACGTTTCTCCGCACTGTGCAAAGGAATTTGATTTTTGCACTGTGCGGAGCCAAAAATAGGCTAAAATTCGGCGTGCACGGTGCAGCCGGTTATATTTTTTGCACAGTGCGAATTATGAAAATTTTTCTATTTTTTCTCTTTCAGCAGGCTTCCTCAGCATATGCCAAATCGACCATATCAACCACCACTCCAACTAAAACACCGTCCCGTTCCGCCTTACATTCTCCAGGTTCAAAAAATCTTGTGAGAACAAAGGGAAAAGTTGCAGTTTTGGCGGAAAACTCGGGAAAAACAATTCAAAATGCCCTGAGGAAACGTTGGATAATCGAAATGGAAGATCAGCAGGCTTATGTAGACAACATGTTTAGACAACAAGTAAGAGTTTTGAGACAATACTTTAAAAAAATTAATTTTATTTTTGCACTGTCAAATACGTGTGATTTTTGCACTGTGCGACGGCAAAAATAGGCTGAAGTTTGTCTCGCACAGTGCAAAATGTTTGAGTTTACGCACTGTGCCGGTTCTTACGTATTTTTATTTGATGACGAAATAGCAATACTTTGTGTTATTTTTCAGGTGTACCTCTACCGAATGCACAATAAAATCATGGACAGAGGAGCTAAAAATAAATAAATCGACGTTGAAAATTTTTGAAAATTTATTGGTACGGAAATCATCAAAAAACACAATCGAGGTCTAAAAGTAGAGCATCATAGACGCCATTGACGCCGCTTCAAGATGCGGCGTTTTATGCTAACTACAAAAAATCCTACTGCTATAGAATGTAGCCGTTCGGCACCATTTGTCATCAGGCTCGTTATTTTATGATATCTCTGCTCTGAAAGAGAGAAGATTTTAGGTCTGCACCACGAGCGCTCTCAGACTATGCAGTTTACAGTATCTGATCAAAGGTACTCCTTAAAATTTGTCATCTTGCTCGGCTGAAAATCAGATAACAGGGAATTATAATAAAACCAAAGCAAACAACTCGTCACTGTCAAATTTATCAAGCCTCTAAACGCCACGCGGTCCACCTATATAGTTATATAAAACAAAAAATTGTTCTAGTCTGTTACAGCTAGAATTTGCAGCTTCTATTCGCTCAGATGAATAGAATTGTAGGGAGCAGACCTATCCTTGAACAGTCATTCAAAGAGTATTATACATACTACATATAAGTTATCAAATTTCTGGCATAATAATGTGCTTATATAAGGAAAACAGGAAAACCTTTCAAGCTTTTATCATCAAAATGAATCGTATTTATTCTTGCTACTTTTCTTTGGCCTTTTATTTACCACGAATGGATATATGGTACAATTTGGGCTGGAAGTAATCTTTGCTGATAGCCCTAATAAAAAGTCCCTTCAAATTGATCTAACGTCCGCTGAAAGTTACGTTCTTGACCATCGATATTTTGGCCAGCTTACTCGGAGAGAACAAGACTTTGATCCCACGAAATCTCCGACATTTACGGAGGTCAACAACAACTTTTCGAAGGCTTATTTCAGACCTTACGATAAACAGGATATTGCCGTTGGAGGAATTGTCGGCAAGGACAAGTTCAACTTTATTTTTGAAGATATCGAAGGAGAGTTTGCGGTGATAAATAAGACCGACAATAATAAGGTTGTGCAAGGACTTGATGGGCGTTACTATACAGGTCGAATTGGATTTTCAAGAGCCGAAACTAATGTGGCGGATCTGAGAAATGCAATTTTTGCGTCGCATGTCAACCATAGCTTGTGTATGTACGTGTCGCCGCGGCTAGAGTAAGTTACATTTGAGTCCGTTTAAAAAAACATGGTGGATGCTAAAAAACCACTCATTCGAACCTTTGGAGTGCGGTTTTGGTGACTTGTGCAACATGAGAGCAAGTTGACTCGTGGAGGAAGATGACTTGGCTTGTCTTTCAGTCGAATAGCCCCTTCTTGAGGTGTAGTTGGGCATCACAGAGCTCCTTGCTGACCGTGGCGTTTTTTTAAAAAGAATTTCCCAATGCACCACGCCGGCGGGCGCACACTTGCGGGCAACCACTTTGCGGGCAATTAGTTTGCGGGAAATTTTTTTGCGGGCAGCCACTTTGCGGGCAGCCGACATTTGCGGCCAGCACCGGCATTTGCGGGCAGCCTGGGACATTTGCGGGCAGGGTCGACAGTTGCGGGCAGCCTGGAAGATTTGCGGGCAGCCGACATTTGCGGGCAACCGACACCTGATTGTGAGGTCAACAGGGTGGGCGTGGAAAAATTACTATGATATTTTGGAAATTTGCCGACATTTGCGGGCAGCCGACATTTGCGGGCAGGCAATACTTGCGGGAAACCGAAATTTGCGGGCAACAGTTCCAAAAGTTGCTATACAGTCTGTGTGATTGTTTTTTCGTATTGCCCGCAAATGTCGGCTGCCCGCAAGTGTCGGCTGCCCGCAAATGTCGGCAAATTTCCAAAATATCGCAGTAATATTTCCACCTCCACCCTGTAACCCTCAGGTGCCGGTTGCCCGCAAATGTCGGCTGCCCGCAAGTGTCGGTTGCCCGCAAGTGTCCCAGGCTGCCCGCAAGTGTCTCAGCTGCCCGCAAATGTTTCAGCTGCCCGCAAATGTGGCCCCCCAAATTTTGCCCGCAAAGTGTTTGCCCGCAAAAAATTTGCCCGCAAACTGGTTGCCCGTAAAGTGGTTGCCCGCAAGTGTCGCGACGCCACCACGCCTTCCCAGTCCCCCAAATGCAGATCATGGCCTTTTTGGGTGGTGATCTTGCTTTACTGTTCCCTGGGGTCACCCACTCCAGGAAATAGTCGACATTTTGCTTCATATTGGCGTACAGACACCATTTCTCATCCCCCATGATGACTCGGTACAAAAACCGCTGTTTGTGTCCACTTGTTGCTCGGCGAAAAGAGCAAGTGTCAAAAACGCAAATTTTTGCCTCCTGGATGGTTGACTTTTGAGCCCAAAAAATAATAAAAAATTAAATTTTCAAAAAAGACTAAAAGCATAGTTTTGTAGAGGGGAAAGAGGTCTTTCGAATGTATATACGCACTTTGCCAAACAAACAACTATCGTTGTAAAACAAAGCAATAAAAAACCTACGAATTCTCGAATTTAATAGGGCCGTCATCATCGCGTGTTTTCAGTCGCAGAGGAGCTATCGTCTCCGTGAGTGTGGGTGACGAAAGTTATGGGAAGGGAAGCGAATTCATCACCAAATTTGACGCCGAATCCAACGACCAGGGCCATTGGCAAGTCCCTGTGACCTCCATCAAAATCGCACGTTACGTTTATCAAGCCCACTTTCCCGGAATTTTGAGTACTACAACTGACAAAATCGGCGTTCCGGCGCCAGTTTTTAATGGACTAGTCAGAGCAATGAATGCGACATTCGACCGAGAGGTGAATTCCTATGTTCTGCAATGTATCGACGAGTTCCCTGACCCGTTGAGAATCAACGTTAATTTTAAGGAATTGGAAATCCGTTTTGACTCGTACACAAAGAGGGTTGTTGACAAATGCGTCTTGAATATGATCCCCTTGAAGGAAAGAGTTGTCATTCTTGGCGCTCCCTTCTTCAACGAGCATGTAATTTGTCTGGATTTTATTAATGAGACGGTGACCTTGTTCTACGTCCCTCCATTCGACTATTAAGTTAAAATGCTTTTGGAGAGCAACAGAACTTCGTCTTTTGATGGAAGAACAGCCCAATTTAAGCGTAAAATTTATGATGTTTGAACGTCAATTGTAAAGGAATAAATGCAATGCAAAGCAATCTTTCAATCATTTCTAGAAAGCCAACAGTCTCCCATATGTCTCGCAACAAAATTCATTTTTTCGGCGATGCGGCATTGCGTTCATTATTTTCCCGACTGACTGTTCATTATTTTCCCGACTGACGGCATTGCGTTCATTATTTCCCCGACTGACCGAGTCATCTTGGGAAAAACTTTGGAAAAAACTTTTAGCGCATTTCTCAAGAACTTTGCTCTCAAAGATAATAATGCTTTTTCCGAACTTCCTTGCCACCCAGGACTTTCTGTTTGATAAAATTAAGCCCATAGTATCATTGTTTATTTTGATGATAAGACGTTAAGCCTACCCTTGAGCTATCACTGCCACAAAAAGCGGTTCTCGAAACGTCAGCAGTACAAGTTGTTCTCATTCAGACATGAGGCATGGTCAGTGTTTATTGTTTCTATCAATTATTAGTTACGCTTCCGGATACGTTGTGCAGTTCGAAGTGCCCGTCAAATTTGCTGACTCAAATTTGACCGTCAGATTGCTGTCGCTTGATCTGACGACCGTTGAGAGCTTTGTTTTCGACTATCGATCCTTCAATAAGTCAAGACTCAACGCCTTTGACCCTTCCGCATCCAAGAAGTTCAAAAACAAAGGCGAATTTAAGGGGCTTTATTCCCCACCGTACAACAAAGAGTTCGTCTCAACTTCAGGAATTTTGGGAAAGGATAAAATTGAATATCACGGGCATGTTTTCAAAGGAGAATTTGGAGTAGTTGACCGGGACAATAATAATTACATCCATAAAGGAATTGATGGTAAAGAACGAGCAGGAAGGCTTGGATTTTCACGTGGCGATGAAACTTGGGCTGACTTGAGAGAGAAGTTCTTGAAGGGGAATGAGAATAAAAGTCTCTGCTTGGTAGTCAGGGAATATCGAAGGTAAGCTCGTATATCAGTGTTATAAAACAAGTAGAGAGCAATTGAAATTTATTGATTACTGCAAAAAAAATTAACAGGGGGGGGGGGAGTACTCCAAGTGCGACGCTCAGATTTTCTTTAAATTTTGCGCACACGTCGGGAATGGACTAAATATAAATTCCTGAAAGTTTTAGCTCGCGCTTTGCGGGCGCCGCCGAGATATCGAACGCTTTTTTGCCGCCGAGAGAGCACGCTAAATGTGGAGAGCGGTCAGGGGGAAAAACGCTTTTTGGCTATAACTTTGGCGGTTTCGTGCGGAAAATTTTGATTTTTTGTAGAAACATTATCCTTTATGGTAAAAATAGGCATGAAACTTTTCGTGCCGAAATTCCGCAAAAAGTGCTAAATTTTGGCCGACTTTCGATCTAAAAATCTAGGTTGTTTCTGCAAAGCGCGAGCTAGGATTCTCGCATGTATCTTAGAAAAAAATATTCTAAATTTGTGCCAAGTTTTATAAAAATCTGAGCGTCGCACTTGGAGTACTTCCCCTGTAAATTGGAAAATAATTTTAGGCATTTTATTTTTTGGTGCGGGATTGTAATTTCTGCGCTTTCTGCACAGTGCAAAGAAAACCATTTTTGCACAGTGCAAAGCCAAAAATAGGCTTGTTTTATTCCTGCACAGTGCAATGAGGTCAAGTTCTTAGACTGTCCAAAAGATCAGAGCCAAATTTATAAAGCGTTTTTTCATTACATAAAGCCTGCAGTTTTAACGTAAATTTTTTTTCTTTTACCCGTCTAACCCACCCTAACTCAACTCCAAAAATTTCCAGCGCAGTCGAAGCTACCGTCTCAATTGGCGACCCAATTTACAAACCAGACGAAATTGTCTCTTACTTCAACGCTTCTTTCAACAACAATGGTCATTGGCGAGTGCCACTGACTTCCATACAAATCGGTGATTATGAAATTGAAGTCGACACACCTGGAATTCTAAGCACATCAACTGATGAGATTGGATTTCCAAAGCGTATATTCAATTCGGTTATTGCGGAATTAAGAGCGGTTTATTACTCGTCTTTGAAGGCATACATTGTGAGCTGTGCAAATCGGCAACCGCTGAGAATCGGGGTTAATTCAACCGAAATTACGATCGATCCCTCATCGTACATGAAGAGGGTTGGCCTACAATGCGCGTTGAGATTGAGCCCGGTGGATCAGAGTATCTTTATTCTCGGTGGCCCGTTTTACAATAGACGTGGAGTCTGTATGGACTTTGAGGATTATACTATTACGTTGTTCAGGCCTGTTCAACGGATTTATGACGGATCTCAGCAAGCCAAAGAGATGGTTGATGATGGTAGGAGATACATGTATACCCAACGGTTAAGAATTGATGAAACCTTTGAATAAAAAATAGACAAACTGAAGATATTTATATAGCATTCTAAAACAGCTCTGTTTGAGCAGAGAGATATACAAAAATTTTGTTTTTTCTCTAGCCGCTCTCTGCTTATCGCATGTGCCCCTCTTTGTAAAGATTGTTGAATGCCCCGGCAGCGCCGCCAGACCGCAGGCTGAAGTTTTCAGGTGTCTACACCTGATCTTGACCCTAATCAACTATCATTCTGGGGGTTCGCCCTCCAAAAGCCGATAATCAAGGCTTGTCCTTTATTAAAATTTATTAAAATAGGTTTTAATAAAATGCCATGTCAATAAACATAATACGAAAAAACTCGACAAATTTATTATCAAATCAAGAAATATGTTTTTTTTTCAACATAATAAAGTCATCATCAAAACTTACGCAACCTTAACTCTTCTAATGTTTTGAATTCCTCTTCTTCTTTGACTTTGATTCATATTGCTTAATTTCTTGAGGTTATAATCCTCCGGTTTATACAAAGTTACGGTAAAATCGGCGTAGTTCAAACAAACTCCGTTATACATAAAGTAAGGGCCTCCAAGAACGATGGCTTTCTGGGCGGTCGGGCTAATTCTCAACACGCATTTCTGGCCAACTTGCTTTGTATAAGATGCAGGAATAATCTCAAACAGCTTAGAATTCACCCCAATCTTCAATATTTCCTTATTCGAACAGTCCACAACATAGGCGTTTAGCGCCTTGTCCAACGTCGCTTTCAACGCCCGTACAACTGAGTTGAAGATTGGTGTTGGGAAAACGATTTGATCCGTTGAAGTGCTGAGAATTCCGGGCGTCCCAACTTGATATTTGTAACCGCCGGCTTCGACAGAAGTCACTGGCACTTGCCAATGGCCATTGTTGTTGTCGGCCGCTTTGAATTGGGTGATGACCTCTTCCGGTTCGTAATACGGTTTACCAAATTTGACAGCGGTCAGTATTTCGCTGCAATATACTGTAATTAGAAAAACTTCTGATTGTTTTTACAAGGGAAGGTTTTAATTTTGGACAAACATAATTATGTAAAGGTCGGTGAGACATTATTTTCTAACTTCAGACATGCACAACAACATTTGCAGAAACCGCCAAAGCTTTTTATCAATAGTCGAAAAAGATATGGTAAAACTCGTGGATGACGTCATCGACAAAAAATTCGAATCTACAGCCTTCTTATATCCAAAAATTTAAGCAATTTGTGCTGTTCTACATTCCAGTTTTCATATGAGACATTTTCAACGTCTTTGAGTGCGAGTTCTTTTAAATTCCCCACAAAACTTACTCATCAAACCGGAAAATAGCCAAGCAGAGGTTTTTCTCCTTCTGTGCTGCAAAGATGGCGGATCTCAAATCAACATGCGTCGCCTTGGCACGCGATAGCCCAACTCTTCCGGCTTTTTCGCTTCCATCAATTGAATTCAACACTCCCTTTCCGTCAGCCCAATTTACAACCGCGAAATCACCAATCAAAACTTTGCCAGTGGTGTTGATGACGTCCGCCCCTAAAAATCCTTGTACCGTCATGTTCTGACTGTTTGCTGGGGTAAAATAGGATGCTTTGAAGGAGTCGGAGATCTTTTTGAAGGTTTTTGATGCAGATGGATCAAATGCGTCGACGTGCGATTTGTTGAAGGCGCGGTAATCGAAAACAAAGCTTTCGGAGGTTGTTAAATCAACGGCCAAGTATTTCGAGCGATCAGAATCCGAGAATTTGACTTCCAACTCGAATTGAACAACATCACTGGTAATGGAGCGGAGTGAGAGTAGCCATAAGGCAAAAGAAAATAAAGTAATCATATTGAAAACTAAACAATATAAGTTTTTAATGTTTTATTCGAAAAATCCCTTTTAAATAGTCAAATATATAAGGATAGCCGCAGATTTTTGAATTCGTACATTAGCTAAACAATAGAATTAAGTTCTTACAAGGGTTAGTTTGCCTTATCGAACAATGACTTCCTTTTTGGAAGTCTTATGAACCATGTTTCATAAACATTGTGAAAAAGAACAATGTCCAGCAATAAAAAAACAACTCTGACATCATTCTAAACAAATGGCAATCAGTTTCTCCTCCAATTTTCAATTTCATGCTCTTTCGTATAAAATGACGCCGCACTGCGCACAATCCTTGGGCGCAGCTTGCAATTTCATCACATGCAAAAAAATAAATAAAAACATTTCCGATTGACATCAAGTACAAGATGGGGACGTCAGAAATGGAGGAGTCCATTTCTTTGGCCGACTCAGTGAACGTTGACAAGCTTCTGAATCAGTTGGAGTGTCCAGTTTGTTATCAATATTGTACTCCGCCCGTTTTTCAATGCAAAAATGGGCATCTGCTGTGTAATTGTTGCTTAGAGAATGTGCGAAATTGTCCATTATGCAGACAACCTCATGGTGAGTAGAGTTCTAATTGGTTTTTGGGATTTTTTTGATGTTATCCTTGGGATTAAAAGAAAATTCTTTTTTTTTAGGTGTGAATCGAGCCTTAGCCTTGGAAAAGATGATCGATATGTTCCAGTTTCCTTGCGAGTACAGATCCAGAGGTTGTGGAGCCGTAATGAAGTTGAATGAAAAAATTATTCACGATGAAACTTGTCCGTATATTAATGTAGAAGATCTTGGAGAAACTTCGAAGAAACTGATAGAAGAAGATGAAAATGGTAAGATTTTTTCTCTAAATATATTCTCTGATGTTTAGACAATGTTCCGCTGAAGTTGCTCTTCCGTCGACAGCCTGGTAAGGTGCCAGTGGTCTTTTTGCCTTATTTCGCCGAGAAGAATATGGCTCAAATCAAACCAAACAAGTTTCTAATCGATGAACGACATCCAGTCTCATACTTGTATGCCATTGTGAGATCACGGCTGAAGTTGAAAAAGAACGAAGCCATCTTCTTGATGGTTGGAGGCACGAATTTGGTCTTACAATCAATTCCAATCAGCTCCTTGTATACTACAATGAAGGCGGCGAATGGTGTTTTATACGTGACCTACTGCTCTCAGCCGACTTTTGGATGAAAGGCGAGCCTTGTAGAGGCATTTACAGCACTTTATATACAACATTAGTCGATTTTTGTCTTTTAGCAAAATATTATCCATGATGGGTAGACAATTTTGATGGCCTGAAATTTCAAGGGATCCGGTCACAGTCGTATTTTACAATCTCTGTCTAGTTGTGCATGTTCTGGATTAAAAATATTGGTATTACAAGACGAAACCAAAACGAAATCCATAAATTTTCTCATGGGTAATATAAATTTGAAAAAATTTCTGGTTATCATAGGACCTCAAGTCTTTTTAGACGATGTAGACCATTTTTGACCTTTCTATTGCATTTTTACCGCATTTATAGTCACTTATAAATTGTAAAAATTCCATTTCTATCTTACTTTAGCTAAAATAATATCAGAACTCCTCTAGGTTTGCGAATTCGAGCTATTCATCGAACATCTCCACGGTTTCCCGTTGTGTTTAGTCTTAAATTTTAACTTTTTTATTGTACATAAAAATTTTTTTTCTTCTTTTTGGGAACAGAAGACTCATTTGAGGATAAAAAATATTCTGAAATTAGAGAAGGAAGAGGCGAGTGACCTTGTCCGTAATGAGAAAAGCACTGAGACATTAGGAAAAGCTGACAGATCATCCATTTTCGGGGTGTGGGGGGCTTACTGATCAAACAAACGACGGGTTTATGACTTGTTTTATGGAAGGTGTTCAATATGACATTGGGTTTAGGCGAAAACTTGGCTTGTAAGAACTTCGGCTACCGTAATTTAGCCTGTAGAATGGCATGCTTGGTTTTTAAATCCCAATTTTTCATTTTACTATCAAATAAGCGAATATTCGTGAAAAAAGTTGGAAACATTTTTGTTTCTTTGTTTACCAATGTTGTTTCGAAATTTTAAAGCCGTTTTGGCACTAAAGAAAGGGCTACTCACATAGTTTACAACTATGTTTATGATGTGCACGTTCCTCACAAATTTTGCAGCTATTTTTTGAGTGCACTGTGCAAAGAAACAGAATTTTTGCACTGTGCGAAGGCAAAATTAGGGTTAAATTGGCCCTGCACTGTGCGTTGAGTTGATTTTTTTGCACAGTGCGGAATTTTCAGAAAAGAAAATATTGCAAATTCGGTTGTTGTGCAATTTCTAATTTTTTTTTGTTTCTCTGACGAGAGATATTTTATGAAACTTTCGAGACTAAAATTTATAAAAAAAAAAGACGTTCGAGTTGATATTCCGAAACTCATAAACTTGTAATGAGTTCTCCGAGCACCAACAAAAATTTTAATTTCAGTTCCTAAGCATTTTTTGCCAACCCACTCCATTTTTATCCACATTTTTTCATTATTTTTTACTTTTGAAATTTTGCACTGTGCAACGCTTATTTTAGCCTATTTTTTGCTGCGCACTGTGCAGTCCGCTTTACACGAAAATTTACCTCATTCCCCCCATTTTTGGCGAGTGAAAAAGGAATATTCTTGGTCGAGAAAGAGCCAACCACTCATCGAGGTGGACAGGTACGCCGGAGAGAGTGCGAAAAAGCGAGAGAGGGCCCGAGAAAAACGCGTGGAGCCTCAAAAAGGGGTTTTTGCGGGCGAAATGGAGGAGTTTTGGTCAAAGGATTGGAATTCGAGTACAATGGGCAACAAGTTCGTTACAAAACGTCTTTACAAATCTGCATTCCTCCGTCACTCCTGACTTTTCGGGATTTTGAAGCAGTTTTGAACGTGGAAAACGGGGTTTTTTTTTGTTTTGAGAACGGTTATGTCAGAAAATTTGGGAAGAATGGCGTCTTTGACAACATTTGCAACGTTGCAAATGATAAGATGACTTTGTTTTGAAATTTGTTTTTGATTTTTTCGGAATTTTTTCAGTCTTATTCTCGGTTTTCCTTTATAAAATTGGTCGAAAATGTGGTTTTTGAGTTTCTTTTTGATGTTGGAACAAAATGTAAAGCAGTTTGGTCTACTTTACATGTAAAGTAGTTTTTTCTTTGCAGGGAAGGCCTTTATCACAGTGGGATATGAAAAAGTTTTGTGTTTATTTCACTTCTCGAAGAGAAAATTGCATTTTTTGGTGAACTTCTGAAAAAATTAATGACATTTTTTGGAAATTTGATGCTCAGAGTTGATGCCACTTGGCACAAATTTAGATTAATTTTTTTTCTCATACTTATGCGACCTTTTAAGCTCGCGCTTGGCCATAAAACGCGGCAAATGTCATAATTTTGAACTTTCTTATGTCCCGAAAACTTAAAAAAAAACTTTACCTGTTTTCCGAAGCCCCACAACGTCCTGGAAGATTGTTTTGCACAAATTACGCTTCAAACCCAATCTTCCACGCAAATGGCCAGCAAAAAAACATTTTACCGCTTCAACTCTTTCTTCGATAAGTCCTCAATTTCCTCCCCGCGTTTTGTCGCTCTTCCTTAAAAGTACGCTATATACTTGTTGTTAGGCCCAAATCGTCCGCCCCGAAGTCAGTGGGGAATTATTTCGTTTTTTTTTGCGAAAACTTGGCCAAAAACCTTTGCGGCTTTTTGCGGCCGAATAATTGCGAAAAATGGGGGGAAAAAGTTTTTTGTTTGGGTGCTAAGTTGGACGGGACCTTAATGATTGTACTTGAGTGTTTCCCTCGCCCAGTCATTAGGGAAGATGAGCGTTCCGGAGGAGCCCAAGAAAGAAAAGGAATGACTTTTATGCGAGCAGCACTAGTTTTTGAAGCCTGGAATTGATGACTTTTTGGCGCTTGACACAATAGTACTCAATTTGTTTTGTAATTAAAAGTAAAAACCTACTAGTCCTTCCGGAAAGTCGCCGGACTGATTTTTGGCGTTTGCACTGTGCGAGAAAAGTCAGGGTGCGAGCGACAGCCGAAAAAAGCCTATTGCACGGTGCAAAAAGCAAGAAATTGCACGGTGCAAAGAAAAGTTTTGTTTTCGCACAGTGCGTGTCGCCGATTTGTCCGGCGATTTTCCGGAAGAACAGACAAGTCCTCCAAAAAATTTTTTTTTTTTAATTTTTCCGTACGGTGCAAAGAAATAAATTTTTTTGCACAGTGCGAAGTCAAAAAAAGGGTAAAATTAGGCTTGCACAGTGCAATCGGTCGATTTTTTTCCAGAACGCCAAAAAGTTTCATTCATGAAAAATTACAATTTTTCTTTCTTACACCCTACTTGCGCATAGGGGGAAGCACAATTTTCCCCAAGTAGCCTCGTTTTCCAATCAATTTTATATTTTTATAAAGTGCCTTGAACAAAGCCGGCCAAAACTTATAATTTTGTTTTCCCATCGTAAATTTATTTAGTGTTTGTCATACGTTAGACCGGAAAGTGTGTCCTAGTACTAATTATTTGATACTATTTGTCAAAACACAAGTCAAAATGACAATTACTTTATCCATGACACCTTTTTATTTTTAAAATATCTATATCAATTTTTCTTTTGTATTTTGACTTGCGAATAGCTTGCATAGGCGTACTGTGACCCCAGGGATGTAAGCAAATTAGCCTTTTTAACATAAATTATCTTTAATTTTGTTTCACGACTAGCAATTTGTAATGAATTGTCATCGTTTTCATTTAATCCGTTATTCACTTTACATCAAGAAATTATCGATATTACTCATTTCCGAAAGGGAAATAAACCTCTTTTAGAGGATCTATATTATTTTTACATCAATTTAGATATTGTTGTTGTTACAAGTTTCTAGTAATTCACTCCAAAATGGTCCCGTTTCCACTCATCGCCCTTTGAATTTCGGGGTTTTAGGTTAAAAAGAGGATGAAGAAATGGTTGTTTTTACGTTGTTTTTACTAGTGCGACATCCAGTCCTTCCTTCTCCTGACATTTCCCGTATTTACACATTTAGTGCACCACTTTTTTACCCAAAAATTGTTCAACGTCGGTAGAGCTGGGGGGAGTAGAAATTTTTTTTTGTTATAGAAATTTTGGAGGAGCTCAAAAGTTCGGCAGAGCCAACAAAATTCGATTATACACAGGTTTAATCTTATTTCTAACAACAATGATGTTTTGCACTGTGCAAACCTATTTTTCCATTTTTTTCCCTCTGCACTGTGCAATCCTCTCTCTTTTTTTTGAGTTTTTTATCGCAAAAAAAAGTTTATTCATCCCATAAAATTTTGAAAACCCGATGGGAAAGTTATGCACATAAAGGAGTTTCTCCATCCGGAAGCCCTCACCCACTTGTCATAACTCTTTCCCCGTCTTTTTCGATATTAGAGTAGACATCAATTATTCCGTTCCTGAAAGCCTCGCCTAAAGCGCCATTAATGGCCGTTTTCCTTGATGTTTCATGCATTTTCGAACGTGTTTTGATTCCCTACGTCTCACAAAATTGTCAGTCTTCCTCAAACTCCACGCTTTTCCCGACTTTTTTCGCGGGGATTTTCATGTTCCCACTTTTCGAGGAGTACAATAAAAATTTGTGGGAAATTCGCGATTAATCTTTGAGTTTTAACCTTGATACGTTGTTTTTGAATTTTTCGGAGCTTTGAGAATTAATTTTACCTTTTTTGGGCAAAATATTTTTTTAGGTATCAAACGCCTATTTTAACAAAATCTTTTATAATTTTTAGCTAGATTGCCAAAATTTCTTTGTTTTACACGAAGCTCTAGGCTTTTTGCTGGGTAATCTTTTAGTTTTTCTTGATTTTACATCGAAATTTTTATTTTTTCAACAGTTTTTTGATCTTCACCTAAAATAATATAATTTTTATAATCTTTGATGTCTGTTGCTCTTGGTTTTATGTCCGATCTGCTCATTTCCACCTGTACGCTCGTGGAATTTGTGTTTTCTCTCAATTTTTCAATACTTCCCATATTTTTATATTATACTTGACATCTGATGTATTTTGTCGTATAAAATACTCGCATTTTAGTGGTTTTTTGTCCGATTTGATAAATATTCATCAGCTTGAGAGCCATGGTAACTAAGGACATTAAGTATTCGATGCTTTATAGTCTTCTTTTCGTGTTCTTGTTCGTTTTTGAGTCAAAAAGTAAGATTTTGAATAATAATTTGAATTTTAGGTGATAACCGGGCAACACGGGCGTCTGAAGGTCTACTGGCGGTAAAATGATGCCAGATACAGGCCAAGACAACAAACTAGACAAAGATCTAAGTCCGGAGCCGACGAGTCTTGAGGAAAACGAAGCTCAGCAGGTCGGCCATGATGAAGATAAAGATGTTCATGAAGATGGGGGAAATGACGAACCTCAAATGCCCGAAGTTAGAGTGAAGCATTCCCTCACTTTTGACAACGAATCCATGGAGTCTGTTCAATTGGGTGAAGAGTCCGGACTCGAACAGTTGGATGAACAACAAGAAGAGGATGAAAAATACGAGCAGCTTCATGGGCATGTTCCAGAGCATATTCCTGAAGGTGAATCAACTCCCGAGGCACAGTCGGAGGCCGCTGAAGAGCATGAAACGGTTAAGGAAAAGGTTGGTTTTTAAAATTATATTATTCTTGATGTTTAGAAGAGTCTTTCGCCAACTTCCAGTCTAAGTACTCATGCTGCTTTGAAGGAAAGAAAGTCAACAATTGACAGAAGTGGTGAGACACCAGAGGAGACATTCAAGCGGTTGATTGAGAGCATTGAATCAGGAGAATACAATAATAACACAGTTGTTGATGGAGTATTTAATGTGGTGAGTAATTTTGGTTGTTTTTCTTTGAAGTTCAGAGTGCAAATGATGTTGTGAGGTAAAATCTGTATGGAGAGGATAATTTTGACTTTGTTTTAGCTGGTTGGAGGTCCATTCGACATCGAATCTCGCTTTTCCATTGAAAGTCATGAAACCATTTTGGGGATGCTCAAAGTTTTGGACGTAGCTCCCGTCGATTTGCAGGTATGCACTTACTACTTTGTTTTGTGTTTAGACGATGCTGTCAGCTTGAAAATGGGCTTACGTTTGAGAGCAATATCACTTATTCAATATCCGAATTAATCGGTGTTGTTTTAGATCCAAATTCTCACAGTTTTCGTTGGAATTTGCCGGAAAAGCTTCCGAAATTTGGAGAAATGCACAAGGATTGGGTTGATCTCACTGTTCCTCGATAGAATCCCAAATGACGATCCAAAAGTCGCGGATTTACTGGTCGATTTGCTCTCGATTCTAACGAATTATTCGATCACTGTAAAGGAAACGAAACATTTCTTGAGGGCTTTACAGGCTGAAAATGGCAAATGGGTAAGTATATTTGTTTTTGTTTGGTTTTTAGGTACATCGCACTTGATTCTCAAACTTTTTTGATTGAATTTGAAAGACGTGATGTCAAGGAGAATGTAATGTTTATGTTTCAGCGGCGAAATTCGGCAAAATTGCTCAAAGTTATGTTGGAAATGCCTAAACGCGATGGCTGTGATGTGTTTTTCTCATTCCCAGGGAATGCTGGAGCTGTAAGTACTCTTTTTTTGTCTAGTGTAGTATAACAAGAAGATTGAAACTGGAATAATTTCGAAGTTTTTTTGAAAAATTTTATGGAAATTGTACTAAAGTGATGTTTCCAGGGTATTGCGCTTCCTCCGTTGTCCAAATGGCCTTATCAGAACGGGTGGACTTTCTCCACATGGTTCAGAATGGATCCCCTGAACAGTGTCAATTTTGAAAAGGAGAAACCAATTCTTTTCGAGTAAGTGATTGTTCATTGCTCTTATTTTAAAATGAACTACCTGTTTTAGCCCTCAAATAGTAATATTATATTTATTTTTCAGTTTCAAAACCGCCAAAGGTGTCGGATATACGGCGTATTTTATGGGCGCTTGCCTGGTCCTCAATGTGAAGAGAGGAACAAGTAAAGAGCTCACAAAGTGTATAAAATTTGAGTTTACATCCCGTCGATGGCATCATATTGTCTTGTCATTCGTCTACGCTCGATGGGGACAAAGTGAAATTCAAGTTTTTATTGATGGACAACTGGTCGAAACTATTCATAATTCTTGGTAAGTTGTGGTGGAAGTTTTGAAAGTGGGAGAGATTAGAAATATAGCGACTTTTTGATGATTTCCCAAGTCATCAAAAATGGTAGTGTCAAGTGCAATATAAATTTAGTCTCAGGTTTGGATTTTTTCGTATTATTGAAGATTCTTGGTAGGTAATAAGGCATTTAGATTTCTCAGATGTTATTTTTAACGAAAAAATTGGGTGAATTTTGAGATTTTTTACATTTGATAGCTAAAAATCCTAGATAATATAAATTTTCGAAAATGTTTTAAACTTTAATGCAGATTTTTCCTTTATTATTAATGAGGGAAGATTGGGAAGACATTTAGATCCATTTCATCTATTTGGACATTGTTTTTTATATTATACTTGACATTTTCAGGTATGTCAATTCCTCCGAACACTTTGACCGCTGTTTTGTTGGCTGTGGCCCCGAACCCAACCCAAATGAGGCGTTTTGTGGCCAACTGGGCGCGGTCTACTTATTCTCTCAGCACCTCTCCCCGGATCAAGCCAATTGCCTCTACAGTTTGGGCCCAACATATCAATCTCTATTTAAACATGACGCCGAATCCAATCTCCCCGAAGGCTATAAGAAGCATCTGTTTGACGGAAGACTTCATAATTGGCTGGTGTTTGCATACTCACCCAAAAATTGTCATGGCCAACTCTGTTTGTACAATGGAGGGAGGTCCGATTATTTCGTGCAGATCCCCCATGCCGTCATGAAGGATGTAAGTGGAAATTTATAGCGGGTTTGAGAATTTCTGACGTTAATTTAGTCTTTTTGTTTATGAAAATGAGAATTTTTTGCAAAGAAATGAGGGTTTGACATAAGTTTATATTAATTTAGGTATTAAATTTTATTTCGTATTTTACATAAATTTTTTTAGCCGGTAGAAGTGATAACAACCCACTCCATCCACAACTCCCTCCATTCCGTCGGTGGAATTCAAATGCTTTTGCCATTATTTGCTCAAATCGATCTTCCACATGAAGGTGCACCAAAGTTGGATTATGAATTATGGTAGGATTTGAGTTTATAATGGAATGGTAAATGCAGATTCGTAGTTTTTAGTGGTTGTAGGGTATTTTTGAAAGATTTTTTTGTTATTTTAGGCGATTTTTTTATTTTTCATTTTTGAAATTTTTTGAATTTTTGCATAATTTATTTTGGGTTAGAACGTACAAGGTTGTTTTGAGACTTTTGAAGGGGTTTATTTATATATCTTTGTCCGATTTATTTGACTTTTTGTTAATATGAGATTTTTTGAAAATCTGGGAATTTGGTAGTTTTTTTTGAATGTTTTCGACTGTTTTATAAGTAGTATATCCTCGAACTTGCAGCTCATCAATGCTCTCTGTGATTTCCCTCCTCCTTGAGACTTCAGTCCGCGCTCAGCAGCAGCTCTTTTACTCCCAAGGCTTCGTTATCATCGCTCATGTCCTCCAACACGCCGCCTCCCCGGAACACCTGAGTGTGATGGTCCTGGACTCCTTTATCAACATCACCAAACTCCTCATCAACTCCTCGACCGGGATTCCCCTTCTGAAACAACTTTTCGAACATGTTTTCTTCGCTCCGCCCCTCTGGATCCGAGCCTCGGCCCTGATCCAAGTCCGACTTTATGAGTACATGGCGGTGGATTTGTTCACCAATCCCGTGAATTTGACGTATGTGAGAAGGACCCCGATTGTGGTGCAGCTGATGAATGCCGTCAAGAACTATTATTGGATGGTTCCGACTGGGAAATCGGAGAAATTGAAAGAGCTCAGATTTGATGAACAAGGTGAAGATAAATTGGATCGAAGCTCGATTATTCGGATTAGATCGGCGATTTTGCAGGTAAGTGGAGGTAGTAGAAGGAGTGAAGAATGTCAGTGTGAATTTTTGATTAATTTTACAATGTTTTAGCTGGTCAATCGGCTCATTTTCCAAACCGTCCCATCCAATTTCCAAGATGAAAAGGAAGCCAAACGAGATGAGGAATTGCAATGTCTCTTCAATTTTGTTGCCACGGAATCCGAGGATGAGAATATTTATGACGTACTGACATTTATTATGAGGCTGATGAACGATCAGCCGGCTGTGATGATCCCTGCCTATGATAAGAAAAAGGGAAATTGCGTGATTTTCAAATTGCTGGGATCGGCGAATGAAACTGTCCGGCTCACAAGTTTGAAGATTTTTGGGTCCTTTTTGTGTCGAAGCACGGCAAAGTGAGTTTTTTTTAAAATTTTGGGAGCATTGTTAGAGATTTTACACTTCTATTTTGATACGTGTTATGTCCAAAAATATCGTTGGCAAGTCTAGTGTAATATAACTTTTCCAATTTTTTGGTCAAAAATTGTTTGAAATGTAGAATAAATAATTTTTATGACATTCCAGGCGAAAATCCGAGGCCGTCAATCAAATGAATCTCCTCCATTTACTCACCACCCGCCTCATGAACAACTCCAAAAGTTTGAGTATGAAGACCTACAATGTCCTCTTCGAGATCCTTGTGGAATGCGTTACGTGCGACCCGAATTTCGCTAAACGTGAGGAATATCAGTACGAGAAATTGAGGTTCGAAAACTCGGCGTTGTTAAAAGTCATTGCCAATTTGTTGGAGGAAAGCGAACAAACCCCGGAATTGATGGAAGTGAAGCGAGTTTTCGTCATCGATCTGATCAAAATCTGCAAAGATAGCCGAGAAAATAGAAGAATTGTCCTGCAGATGTCGGTCTGGCAGGAGTGGCTCATCTCTTTGGCCTATGTTTATCCCAAAAATGACTTGGAAGCAACAATTTCGGAGTTGGTCTATGAATTGTTTGCCATCCTCTTATATCATGCCATCAGATTGGAATATGGAGGATGGAGAGTGTGGGTGGATACTCTGGCAATAGCTCATTCAAAGGTAATTTTGTTTTAAAATACGGGGCATCCGGTTGTGTCTATTTTATCGACCTTGTTTTAGGTATCACTGGAGAAAAACTCTCTGAAAAAGCTCCCCAAATCGAACGGCACGAACAGCGAAGCTGAGGAGGCTCAGAAAATAAACAACAAGGAAGATGAAGGCCCCACAGCGATCTATCGAACCCCTGATTTTGTATGGTCAGAGGTTCATGTTAGACTTCTAGATGATTTGCTAAAAAATATTGAAAAAGTGGTCGAAGAATGGGCTCAAACAACAACGCCCTTGGTGGATCATGTCAATAGTAACGATAATCAGGTGAGAAGAGGTGTTTTAGAAGGGATTTGGGAACAAAAAATTGCGCCAGATACAAAATTTTACCTTAAAAATTGCAGGTATTTGTCTCCAACACGGTCCACGTCCTCTCCCAACTCTCGGACAGCTTGATTATGGCCTGTGGCGGGCTTCTCCCCCTCTTGGCCGCTGCGACAAGCCCAAATTCGGAGCTGGAAATCCAAGACAACACTCATCAAGACATCTCCATCAAAACTGCTGTTGGCTTCTTAATTCGCTTTGTGGAGTTGGCAGATACATTCATCTTTATCTCCGGAGTCAGCTTCAGCGAATTGGAACAGGAGAAGAACATGCCGCCTGGAGGGATTTTGAGACAAGCCCTGAGATTGGGTAAGTTTTAGTGGTGGATTTTTTGCTGGCCGGATTTTTATTTATTTTTTTTGAGGTAGTTGTCTCGAAAATACATTGTAAATTTTGGCACTGTGCAAAGAAGCTTGAATTTTGCACTGTGCGATGCCAAAAATAGGCTAAAAATGGTCTTGCACAGTGCAGTCAGCTCGAATTTTTGCACCGTGCAAAGTACAAAGTTTTACAAAGGATTTATTTTTGATTTTCAGTGTCCACAATGGCCGTCCGCAACATCCTCGCCTGCCGTGTCGGCCAAAAGGAACGAGGTTTCAGCGAGAACACCGTCAAACACCGTCAAAAATACATGGCCATCCTGGAATTCATCGACGGCGCCCTGGATAATGTAAGTCCTCCCCAAGCCCCCTACTAACCCTGAAGGTGTTGTGCGAGATCTTATGCAATGGTGTGCTTCAGAAGGACCCGGCCAAAGGCATCTCCAACATGGACCGCCTACTCCAAGAAGTGGATATGCAGCGATTGAAAGGGGTGATTTATCGAGACATGGAGGAGAACCGACAAGCTCAATTCTTGGCTCTGGCGGTCGTATATTTCCTGTCGGTTCTGATGGTATCGAGATATAGAGATATTTTGGAGCCACCCACCTCACCCAGCCCGTTCTTTGACACCAACTCGGATAGCTCGGCCAGGAGAAAAAGTGGTAAGAATGAGGTTTTTTGGAGGAATGGGGATTTGTTTGAGGACTAGAAAGATTTTAGATGAATTTTGAAGATTTAGGATGTATTGTTTTTACTTTTTATTTTCAGTTGAATCTCAATCCGCCCACTCCTCAGTCTCGAATCAGCAGACAGTCGACAAGGAGAGCGAAGACGGAAGCGTCAAAGATTCGGAAGACGCGAAGCCAACGAACGGCGTAGAGAAAGTCCCAGACTCCTCGGAATCCTCCGACGAAAAAGAGAACGCCGACAATCGGAATGGCGGCGAAATTTCAGCCATAAAATTCGACAACGAACAAGTTGCCTTGGACGACGCCGAAAAATACGATGAAAATCACCTGCAACGATTCACAGCCGGAAATGTCAAGCAGTTCGACGCAGGAGAACGACGAATTTATCTGACGGACAAACTTCAGAAGTCCCTGGAATCGGTCTCCCCGCTCTTCCGAGAGATTATGGCCGATTTCCGATCGTTCTTGCAAAAGACTTTACTTGGCACACATTCTCAGGAAATTATGAACGATTTGAAGGTGATGCAGACCCTGAAAAATCAGAATGGATCAGTCATTGAGCTGGTCATGTTGTTGTGCTCGCAGGAATGGCAAACTTCGCTGCAAAAGCATGCCGGCCTGGCTTTTATTGAACTGGTCAATGAAGGTGGGTAGGATAATATGGAATTTTAAATTTAGGGGATTTTTGAAATTTTGGTCTACAAAATTTGTTTGATATTAGTTGTTATAGCTCAGGGAGAGCGGACAATCAATATTTTTTTATCTGACCGGGGTTTTCTTTTGTTTTAATTCAATTTTTTTTGCACGGTGCGGAGAAGCAGAATTTTTGCACTGTGCGACGCAAAAAATAGGCTAAAATCGGCCTTGCACAGTGCAGTAAGCTGGACTTTTCGCACAGTGCAAAATTTTTGATCAAAAAAAACGAAGGGTTTATGTTTGGATTTTTTTTTGGTTTATCGCTAAACGTCTGAATTTTCTTTTCAGGTCGATTAATGGCTCATGCCACTCGAGATCACATTGTTCGAGTCGCCAATGAAGCTGATTATATCCTGAAGAGACTCAGCGCGGAAGATGCCCAGAAACACACAAAATTCAATGAAGATTCATCCGAAGAGCTTGAAGGAAGACGAAAAGAAACCAAAATTACAGACCATCTGATACAGTCGGCTAGACGAAGGGACTTTGCAATTGCTGCCAAATCTCTGGAAAGGACGAGAAATGTATTGGTCAGCCCAAGTGGACCATGGGCAGAAGGAGATGCAGCGAAAAAGTTAGTTTTTTTTTAAATTTGAAGGGTCTTTGGGGGTTGTTATTTGAAGGGTCTTTTGGGGTTTTTGGAAAGACGGTATTTGATATGGAATTGGTGAAAATCTTATATTTTGACATTTTGCACCCAAATTTATTACATGTTTTACATTTCCAGACAAACCTTCTGGCGCCTCGACCCCTGGGAAGACGACTCTCGCCGTCGAAAGCGCTTTGTCCCCAACATTTTTGGATCAACCCACCCGGAAGCGGTTCTCGATAAAGAATCCGATGCCGTCCAAGACGCTGAAGCCCAGTTAGAAAAGCTCTCCGAAGATGAACGGGAACAGATGCTCAAAGACCTGGCCAAACGAATGATCACGACAGGAAGAACGAATCAACTTGCCGCCGAATTGGTCGATGAATCGGATATTGATAAATGGGCCACGGAAGAGCTGGAAACGAGGGAACAAAGAGGAGGTAAGGCAGTGTAATGTAATCGATGTGATGAAATTGAAAACTAGAGAAGTTTTTAATTCGAGTTTTTTTTGCACTGTGCAAATAGACCAGATTTTTGCACTGTGCGATGCCAAAAATAGGCTAAATTAGGCCTTGCACGGTGCAATGAGCTCTGTTTTTCGCACTGTGCAAAAATTTTCGTTTTAAAAATTTTGGGGAGCGTTAAAAAAGGTGCTATAATAATTGATGTTGGATTGCAGAACGAGCCTCATTCAGCACCCCAGCACAACTGATTGCGTCTGTCGTAGCTGTCCCAGGCACAGTAAGCATCACCCAATCGGACGTCTACTTTGATGCGGATGAAGAAGATCCGACCTTCAAAAAGTTGGATCCAAAGGTAGGTTTGGAAGCTTTGAGGGGTTGCGGATATATGTGGGATAGCTTGAAAACTCGGCAAGATGTTAGAAATCTTGTGAAAGCATTTTTTGTCATGGATAATATGGAGGGCTAATTTTTAAAATTTTGGGTTTACGATGGACTTCAGTATTTCGATTTTGTTCCCCGTTCATAAAAGCCATACAGAGAAAAACGAGCTGAGATTACAGTAGCCTGTACCTTAAAAATTGCAAATATAACGTCTCTTTTTCATGGGAATGCAAATTTCTCCCTCTGGCTCGGAGCGAAAACGAAATTTCAAAGAAAGAAGCGAATTTTTACTCCAAAAAAAGTTTGATCCAAATAAGAGCTGACAGCTCCCGCCGCCTGATGCACCCCTAACTCATTCGGAGGAAAACATTCAAAGAGAATACGGTGAATTTATTCTCTTTTCATAAGCTCATTCAAATGGTTATGACTAAAAATGGAATATTACGTTAATGTAAGGGTTAAAAACGAAGATTACGATTATGTGACTACTTGATAAGACCAGAAAATGGAGAATTATTTGAAAATTTGGCAAAGATTATGCTAATTTAGTTGGTAGACGCAAAGCTGCCGAACATTAGGGAATAAAACGGTGATTAAAACGAGAAACAACAATAATAATTCAAATACGAGAAATTACAAACATTCCAAGGCTCGACTTGACAACAACAACTGTCGAACCAATGCCCAGACGGCCTTGGCCGAGTGATCCAATAAATGCGCGGAATGGCCGCGGAACAAATCCAATGAAGGTATAAAGTAATGAGGACATTTGTGACATTGCAGGCAGCTCACTAGTTGAAGAAGAACACCTAAAATGAAAAAAAAATTATTTTTGTACTGAAATACAAGATTCAGGGCTAAAATAAGGTCAAACGCCAGTTTTTTGCCAAAAAAGTTTGCTATTGAAGAGGAAAAGTGCTGAATTTGGATGGAAAGAAAGAAATAGATCAAGAACTTACCGATTACTCTGTCTCCCAAACAAAACTCGTGCCATTCCGCATCACTGATATGTTTCTCACATTCATACAACACCAAAGTCTTGATTATGTAACTGCTGATTGGAGATCCACTGAAATTCAAATGCCGATCCCTCAGTGTCTTCAGAATTGAATAAACCATCCGCCGATTCACATGCCGCAACAAATGGTCTTCAGCATTAATCATGGAGATTCCCCAGGCATCGCTTTCCATCGAACTCTGGGCCGCTTGATTCTTTGCTTGCTGTTGTTGAGGCGTTGGATTCGATATAGGAGTTGCCATGTCTTTGGAAAGCAGGTCGAAGCCTTCATAATGAACTTCTTTTACAACCTCTGGAGAGGGCCAGCTAGATGCAGGGCTAGGCCAGTGAGACGCCGATCGAGGCCAGATTCCATTGCAGCGGAAGGCGCAAGTTATCTAAAAAAGATGTTAAAGATAAGTCTCTTTGACCTAAATACAGAAGAAAACAATTGTAAACGCTTACTGTTATAACAAATTTGTCGTAGATTTTCAACCGCACGTCGCTTGTGTCGGTCAAAACTTTGCATTTGTCTCGAAATTGTGGCTTCTCACAAGACTGCATAACCAAGGCTTGAAATCTTGACCTGATCTTTCGAGCCGACAAATACCCAGAAGCAGTGATGAACTCAACCCATAGAGACATACTCCGTTTCCTTCCGTCACTGAGTTTCAACACGGCACAGCCTTGGATTGATCCGTCGTCAACAAAGTTGAATACCCCCATTTGGTTGAGGTAAAGGAAGACTTCATACTCTTCTGGAGTGTGTACAACAAGCTGAAAGTAGGTAATGAGAACAATACGATAATGCACATTTCGACTTGGTATTGGTTGTATCGAAAGGTTATGTGAAGAAATTACTAGAGGTTTGGCTTGTCAATAACAAGAATTCTTACAGCTCATGTTAGCCGTTAGGTTGTCTTGTTATTCCCAGGTCATTCTTTTGGAATTTCTTCGCATAGCCAGCCTAGGGGGAGGCCATGTCCAAATTTTTGAAAGAAAAATTGTCAAAAAATCCTTACCCCTTCATATCGTCCATTGTTGTCCAACAAAGTCGGGATAAATCTGGGTTCCTGCAACTCCACGTCCTTCAAGACGTCTTGCACCACTTTAACGACCTGATGGATCGACTGCTGGATCTGGGTCCGTCTCGCATGGACCTTATCGTTCAAGAAACTGTTGATTTGCTGACACGTCGCCGCATTCTGACCCAGCATCTTCGCTTCGCCACTCAGCTCGCCATACACGCTGGAAGCCGGCATTTAACTAATAGTTCACTAGTCTGTAAAAAACGTCTCGGCCGTTCGAAACAAAAGCCCCATTTATTTAATCGGGCAGCCGACGACAGGAGTTATCAAAAAAGAAAAAAATATCCACCTCAGGCCAAACCCTAAGGCTATTTCGCCGGTGGAACGCATAAATCAGGGAGCAGTTTTTTGCGGAGACCAGATAACGGCTAAAAGTAGGAAGAATGGAAGATAAATCAGGTGGGGAAGGATGGATACAGAAGAATTATATCCTCATCAAGTGTGGGCAATATTATAAGGTTTTTGAGAAGTAAAGTGTCCAAGAATTTGTAAAAAAACATCGAGAAAAGTAAATCAAAAAAGTGATAAAGCGGAAATTAAAAGAAAGCTGTTTAGTGTACTAATAAAAACCAAAAAAACTTTAAACTGCACACACTATTTTTCACTACAATTTCGCCGCAAAAATATTTGGGTGAGATTTTTAGACCTTGAAATGATGACTTGACGATTGCGCTTTTCCAACGGGAAATGGCGTTAAATTGAAATAATCGAAGGGGAGATTGATACGTGAATGTTTGAAAGTGAAATTAGAGGGGATTAGGGATAATTTAAATTTATTTTTTGTGAATAAAAAGTAAATTTGAAATTAAGGAAAGTTCGATAGTAAACTTGATTTTTATGAAAATAAAGAAGGATTTCGGCAATAAAGATGGCGTCTGAAGCCTAGAACAAGGTCCCAGCTATCATAAACAACCCATTTTACTCATTCAACCATCTCATGTAGCAATTTACATCGAAAAGAATGATAAATTATTAGCCCGTGGAAATGTCTCGTTTCTCGTCGGGGCGGAGTCGCCGGAGCGAATCGCGGCCTCGCACTAACCGTAGTTTTCTCTCTTCCCCCAATTTTCGATGTCTTTTTTACCCTCGCTTTTTTGCATCCGACTTGATTGACAGAAACCGGGCATTGGGACAAAGCCGGTAACTTTGAGGTAAAGTTAGGGAAAAGTTGAAAAATCTTGGGTTTAGAAGTTAGAAAGGGATTATTGGGTAGATCAAGGGAGATTCGGGATTGTATTTGTACAATTTTATGAGCATGGGGTCTTCTGGATTACTTTTTAAAAGGTAATTTGCACTGTGCAAAAAATGGAAGTCATCGCACTGTGCAGACGAACTTTTAGGTTATTTTTACCTTCGCACGGTGCAAAAATCCGGTCCCCTTGCACAGTGCGAAAAATAGAAAAATTATTTAAAAAAAAGTATGCCAGAAATTCAGTGAACGAACAGAAACAATATTGTCCCACAAAAATCCCTTTGAGGATGAGAAAACTCACTCGTAACATAAAAAGTGCCTTCGGCCACAAAATTAATCGCTCTGCCCAATATAAATATTCTCTCAATGGGAAATTTATAGCGAAGATGTTGCCATTAAATGAATGGAAATGAAGAATTGAAAAGGCATGAAAATTGTGACTGGCCTCCCTTCCTTGAGCGATGTGAGTTTTGTTATTGACACTTTATTGTGAACGGCCCCAAAAAACCGATCAATTTTTATCACGAAAACGGATTGGTTTGGAAGATAAATAACTCGTCGCCTCTTGTTTCGTATAATTTATCACCAGATATCATGGATTTTTTAGTTTTTTTCTTGGCTAAAAATATTGCACTGTGCAGACGAAATTAAAATTTTCTGTTAAATATAGCCGTAATGAGACGATAATTACACCGGGTTGACCTAGATTGACCTGACATGACATTGACAACTGCGCTGAAAAGTTGCGCATTGAACAGGTGATTGACTCAGATTAGAGTGCGAAAAAACGGAAGGAAATGCAGATTATTGCAGATTAAAGGGAGCTATTGCAATCGTTATATACGGCTTGGTGATACAGGCATGTTATTGTAAAAATTTAATTGCATTATTTTGCACTGTGCAGAAAAATTTGTCTACCGCACTGTGCAAGGCCAATTTTAGCCTATTTTTGGGTACGCACAGTGCGAAAATTTTTTTGTTTGCACGGTGCGGGAAAAATTTTGAAAAAAAATTGGTTTTTTGAACTCGATTACAAATGAGATTTCCACTATTAAAGCCTCAATTTTGTGTCCTCAAATATCCTCCACATGGCCTTATAACCGACATTTCATCGGAAAATTGCCCTGCGAAAGCCGATTTTAAGCGATGACGGAAATCCGAAACTCCTTTCGGATTAATAATTACCCTCAAAACCTCTTATGGCAATTTTATATCGTCGAAGGCGGAGAACGGATGTAGAAAGTGCCTGTCATAATTATCCGGTCATGATCTCGACTCAAAAGGTCAAATGTCAGAAGAAAAGGCGCGAATGAAACAAGATTTTTTGAGATTTGAAAAACAGAGATAAGGTGGGAAAGGCTTAGAGGGAGATGAATGTAAAATACGGGCTGGAGTGCATGAAGGTTCGATTAAACGGTAAATTCGATTAAAAAGAGTAAATAAGGAAACTATTTTTTTCTTAAAATTTGAAATTTTTTGTCCTTGAACATGACCTAAAGTAATATCAAAAATGGAAAAACGAAAGAGATGGCTAATTTCCATCATTGGTAATAAACATAATTAGCCGTTTATGACCTAATACGCCAATAATGACTCAAGATAACCGCAGAAATTAATCATGATACCCGTCTCAAGCACCGACAAAAAACGAAAAGTTTAATGCGGTAAAATACCTTTGGTGTGATTTAATGACCGAAAAATCGCATAGGCGATTAGAATCGGAAGCAAAACGAAAACGGAAAATATTTTGATGGTGAAGAATTTTTTGCACTGTGCAAAAAATCAAACTGACTGCACTGTGCAACACGTTTTTTGGCCTGTTTTTGGCTCCGCACGGTGCAAAATTTAGACTTCTTCGCACAGTGCGGGAAAAGGATCGAAAGATGGTGTACAAACATTATTATGATCGTAGTGTTGGTTATCAGGAGGTTCAAATTTCTCATTTACATTACAGTAAATCCAAATTTCCGGAAGAAATCAATTAAAATTTGGCCAAATGAATTATTATTTTTCTCCATAAAACCATCAAAGACCTACCGATTTACGACCCACCCCGCTTCTTCGCATTGTCAGTTGAGGTGAACCAGGCATAATGAAGAATAATGGGCGGTCAGCCGGCCATTGTCAGAATATTTGTCAATCAAATTAGAAAAACGAACGAGTTTTTGAGGGAAAAATGGCACGGTAATATGGGGAAAGAGTTGGATTGAAAATAAAGTTATAATAATAGGTTGGTTATGGCCTAAAATGAGAAAAAAATATACAGAAGATTAAAAATTGATAAAAAAAATTATATTATCCATGACATCTACTGACAAAAACTTTAACTTTATTTGAGATGCTTTCTAATTGAAAAACAGAAAGTAATATACACGAGGTCAATCGTTAAAGTCAAATTTGGGGCTCAAAATGCCGAAAAATATATTATCCATGACATTTGATGTGAAAAAATAGTTTGACCATAATTCCTCTATGGATTTGAAATAATTTTTATGTTTTTCCAGACTCTAAAATACTGCGATTATCTTCATGGCCGTTGGCATTTCCAAGAGATCCGAGCCATCTTCCTTCGGCGTTACAAACTCCGATATGTTGCGCTTGAACTGTTTTTGTCATCACGAAGTGAGTTCCGAAATGATTTTAGTTTGAGGACTTTTTATTTGAATTTGAGGACCTTTTTTAGCCTTATTTGATATAAAATTTTCCTTACTTTAGCTGCTGTGATGTTCGCGTTCCCTTCCCAAGATCTGGTCAAAGCCGTGGTAGATCATTTGCCTCGAGTTGGAGTTGGAGTCAAGTACGGACTCCCGCAAAGCCGCAAGACCTCGCTGATGCTGCCTCGCCAACTATTCAAGCATTCGGATATGCCTCAGAAGTGGCAGCGAAGGGAAATCTCGAATTTTGATTACCTAATGTTCCTAAATACGATAGCTGGAAGAACCTACAACGATCTGAACCAGTACCCGATATTCCCCTGGATTCTGGCGAATTACGATACGGAAAACTTGGATTTGAGTGAAGCATCGAATTTCAGAGATCTGTCGAAGGTAAGAGTAGTAAGAAAAAATGGATATATGATGATTTATAGGACATTTTATGCTAGGATATGTGTCTAAATATGACTATAATAGGGTTTACATGTCGTAAAATGATTTAGAATAAATTCGGGCCTATTTTTTGATTGAAGTTTTGGTGTATATTGTACTTGATACCAACGTGCCTAAAGCCATTTGAAGATGTTTCCAGTGTAATATATGTAAATATAAAGTTTTATCTCCAATTTCCAGCCGATTGGAGCCCTCTCGGAAAGCCGCCGCAAACACTTCCAAGAACGGTTTAACAACTGGGATGAGGACAGCGTTCCCGCTTTCCATTACGGCACCCATTACTCAACCCAATCCTTCACTTTGAACTGGCTCTTCCGCCTAGAACCATTCACCACATACTTCCTGAATCTTCAGAACGGCAAGTTCGATCAAGCCGATCGGTTGTTCCATTCAATTTCCGAGGCGTGGCAGCAATGTCAAAGGGATTCACACAATGTCAAGGAATTGATACCCGAGCTGTTTTATTTGCCAGAAATGTTCTACAATCAGAATGGATACAGTCTGGGTGAGTTGAAAATTTGTTAAGGGGAGGTGTAAGGATATTGGAGTAAAGGGAAGGGGAAATTAAAGGTGTGGTAAGGGGAGATTTTTGTGGATTTTAAAATTTTGGGGTTTGATGGGGTGAACAATATAAATTTTTTTATTTTTTGGTCTGTCTAGCGAATAGGCGGTTGTAAAACTGCATGATGGTGTTATAATAGAGAGTCAAGAGGTTATTAACAGATCTGGTGAATAAATTAAACTTTTGCAATCATGAAATTCTAGTGTTTTTGTATTTTGAAAGTGTTGACCCCTCTTGATAAAGAGTAATGTATTTTTTTTTTAATTTTTGCCGTTTACAGGAACAAGAACCGACGGCCAGACCGTCAGCGACGTTGTCCTCCCAAAATGGGCCAAATCCGCGGAACATTTCATCACCATCCATCGGCAATGCCTCGAATCAGACCTGGTCTCATGCCAGCTGAACCAATGGATCGACCTGATCTTTGGCTACAAACAACGCGGCCCCGAGGCCGTTCGCTCAACCAACGTCTTCTACTACCTGACCTATGAAGGCGCGGTGAATTTGGAGGCAATTGAAAACCCGGAAACAAGGAAATCCATCGAAGAACAGATCCTGCATTTTGGCCAAACCCCCGTCCAATTGATGACCGATCCCCATCCACCGCGTCACAGTGTCATGACAATTAGCCCCCTGATGTTCCAGCCATCCCGAGACGATCTGTGCATGCTCATGAAGTTCATCTCGAACAGCGCAGTGGTCCATTTGAGCGCCAACACTTTCCCTCAGCTAGTGAACCCTACTGTAATATCAGTAGCGCAGAATTTGGTGTTCGCTATGAATAGATGGAATCCAGCGACGACACGTGAGTTTTTTAGGGAGTTTGAGGGGGATTGGAAATGGTTGGGGGGATTTTTGAGGATTTTTTTTATTTTTTTTTTTTGAATTTTTGATGGGTTTAGTTATTTTTTGCAAAAGTTTTTTGATTTTAAAGTAAAATTCATAACTTTTAGAGCAAAACAACGCCACCCCTCGCATCGGCCAATCCCTTCCCGTCGATAAAAATTCCGAATCCGCCAATACCAACGACCTCCCACTGACGGTCGACCCCCTCCTGGCCGTCGGAAACCCCTCCCATCCTCCGCCAAAACGCCATCTCGGCGATGCCTTCGATCAACGCCTCCAAATCACATCCTTCAACTTTGTAACATCCGTGGATTCGAAGTCGATCATTGCTTGCGGCTACCCGGATTACAGTTTCCGCGTAATCGACGCCGAATCCGCGACGGTGAAACAAGTTGTCTATGGACACGGAGATGTGGTCACATGCCTGGCCAGATCAGAATCCGCTCTTTATGCTGATTTTTATGTGGCGTCGGGATCGTTCGACTGCACGGTGGTCCTGTGGCACTTCAATCAACACACACAGCAGATCGCCGGAGAGTATAATCAACCGGGTAAGAGTGGGGTAATTTGAAAGGTATAGGGGGGATTTTGGGAGGAGAGAAGAGCTTATGAAGCAAAGAATTGAAGTGAGGAAACCTGAAAGGGATAAGAAAGGCATGTCGTATATTGTTTTAGATAATTTTTCGGGAATTTTGAGGTAAAATACGGTGGTTTAGGATGAAAATAGGTGCCATAGGGTTTGTTATACAGGGTGTTCAGAGAATTATGGAAAAAACTATTCATTAATAACTTTGCGCTCGGTGGTCCAATCCGAAAAATTTTTTTTGCATTTTACAGAAAAACCTTGGAGTTTTTAGAATCTAAAAAAAAATTTTTCTTTTATCGGCGGAGACTTCCGTAATCCGCGTTGAATTCGGCGGAGTGTTTTTTTCACAAAATAAGGCTGTGAATCGTTGTATGTGTAAAGAAAATGGGCGGAAAAGGATCCAGCAGATACAATATGACATTTCTTTCAAATTTCTGCGCTTCGGCGGAGACATTTTTTAACCTCGGCGGACGATTTTTCTTCGACTCCGGATAGTCAAAATTGGCTAAAACCAAAGCGTATGGTATCTCTGGTGGTGCGGCGTCTAAAAACGACTTAATACGTCTTCAGCCGGCTGGCAGATGAAAAAACGGCAATTCGGCGGAGAAATCGGCGAAGAAAAAATTAACATATTTAAGAAATTATGCAAATTTATCCGCCGAGCATCCGCCAATAAGAAGAATCATATTTTTGGTTGATTAGGGCCGTATAAGACCTACAATTTTAGTTTTCTCATCATAACTTCTTAAATAGGTTAATTTTTTTCTTCGCCGATTTCTCCGCCGAATTGCCTTTTTTTCATCTGCCAGCCGGCTGAATACGTATTAAGTCGTTTTTAGACGCCACGCCACCAGAGATACCATACGCTTTGGTTTTAGCCAATTTTGACTATCCGGAGTCGAAGAAAAATCGTCCGCCGAGGTTAAAAAATGTCTCCGCCGAAGCGCAGAAATTTGAAAGAAATGTCATATTGTATCTGCTGGATCCTTTTCCGCCCATTTTCTTTACACATACAACGATTCACAGCCTTATTTTGTGAAAAAACACTCCGCCGAATTCAACGCTGATTATGGAGGTCTCCGCCGATAAAAGAAAAAAAATTTTTTTGGATTCTAAAAACTCCAAGGTTTTTCTGCAAAATGCAAAAAAAATTTTTCGGATTGGACCACCGAGCGCAAAGTTATTAATGAATAGTTTTTTCCATAATTCTCTGAACACCCTGTATATTGGTAAGGGATTTATTTTGATTTTTAATGCAAGGGGAAATCGAAATCGTAGAAATTTTTTTTTTTGATTTTTATAGGTTTTTTGGGGAATTCAGGAAATTTGGAAATGGTCTGATGATTTTGCAAGATGTCTATCGAACTTAATGACACTTTATTTCCCTTCCTTTCAGGTGAAGCCCCCGCCCCTCGAGCCATCCTCACCGGCCATGACTCGGAAATCACAGCCATCGCGGTGTCCGCCGAACACGGCCTCGTCGTCTCGGGTGCCCAAGATGGCACAGTACTGATGCACACGACCAATGGAGACCTTCTCAGGTCCCTAGTATGTCTGGAATTGAACCCCAATCATAAGGGACCAATGCCGCCGGCCTCCAACATCCTCCTAAGCCGCGACGGATTTGTCGCAGTTTTGTACGGACAAGAATATTTTGTAGCATACACAACGACAGGGAACCAGCTAAACCGTCCAGCCCACAAAAGCACGGACAAAATTCTGTGCGCGACCCTGAGCCGAGACGGAGAATATATTGTAGTAGGCACGGAGAACGGGAAGATCTCGATCATCCGATTGTCGTCGCTGCAAATGCTCTACACTTTCCAGGTAAGCTGTTTTATTAGGTAGTAGCAGTTTGGAAGTTTTTATAGTGGTTTTTGGTCAATTTTGAAAGGTTGAAACAGAATGCCAAGAATTTGCGGGAAATTTGAAAGTTTAAATTTCTTTTGATTTTTTCGAATTTTTTCCCCTTGCGGAATGCTAAAATAAACCAAAATACTTTTATTGCCGGTAAACTAAACTACTCTGATTGCAGCAAACGGACAGCGCCATCCGTTGCGTGGCCGTCTCCAACAACCAGCGCTACATCCTGGGCGGCCTGGAAAGCGGCGCCGTTGTCGTTTTCAACGTGGACTTCAACAAGTACCATTACGAGTATAAGAAGCGTTACGGTCATCTCTAACTCCCATAACTTATTCTACACCCATTTTTTTCAATTCTTCACACTTTTCTGACAATTTTATAACTTTAATTTTTAACCACCTAAATAGTATTTATTTTGTTATCAGTATACTCGAATTATATCATGAGAACGACAGGAAACATGGTTGTGATTATATTTTCTATCCATTACCTTGTTTTACACCCCCATTTTAGACTCTAATTTTGTTTGTCCTATTAATAATGTCACTTTTCAAATTCATCCAAATTTATGGGTACTACCGTTAAAATCTTTGAAAACACGACAGCTAATCATTCGTTGACAACCATTACTACAATTGTGATCATATTTTGGAATAAAGTATAATTTATTTTTGAATTTGCAGCGATTTTCTCTGATTTGATGATTAATGTTCATGGATAATATATTTTTAGCAAAAAATGTTAAGTTTTCTTGTGTTGGGGGGAATAAAAGGTGTCTATGGTGTTTTTAAAAGTAGTTGAGATCTAGAATATAACAGAAAACCGATAGGTTTTTGAGAAATTACCTTATTTTTGACATCAAATGTCAGGGTAATATGCAGATACGGAAACACGGTGATTTTTTCATCAAATCCTTGACTTCTTGATGAAAAAAATTGTTATACACTATGGAAATGAAATAGAACATAGAAAAATAATGTTTCTCTTGGAATTTGTACCTTAATTTAGCTTACAGTAGACATCAGATATGAAATATAATATTTTGGTCTCAAAAGTTTTGAAATTATAAATTTTCGTTCCTACAATCCGTCCGATTGACCTTGAACTATTGCAATTTTAGCCTATATGTCAGAAAAACTTACGTTCACGGATATTTTCTGCCCGGCTTATCAAGTCAAGCAAACTCCCACATATCATAATGTAAGTACAATATCTCCAAAAAAACCCCTATTATTTTGCAGTACGATATTGTGTATGGAGAACCCGACCCAGTGGACCGTGTTTTACCAAGCGAAGGCGCAAGTTGCTCACAAATTTTGGAGAATATTTGCACCAGAGAGTACGGAGAACGCCCGGTTTTCGAGGAGGAAGATACGGAGAAAACGAAAGTTGTCAATGGAGTAGAAGTGAGTAAAAGATTTTTGGAAGAGTCTAAAATACGAATGAGACTCGTTTCGAGCTTTATATGTTTAAGTTTAAGGATCAACTTACCTAGTGTAATATAATTTTTTTTGTCATTTCATTTAAAAATATCGATTTTCTTACAATCCGGTGAACACAAATAGGTTAAAAATACCTTTAAAGTATGTAAGAGACTATTACAAGAGTTTTACTTAACAAAAAATATGTAATTTCAGATGCCCGTCCCATATTTCAAACGGACATTTGTTTTCCTGGGCCTCAGAGGTCATGGCGAAGGTTTCAGCATCAACATCGCCACGCAAATGGCCGCAAAAGAAACCCTCTTGAAGATTATCGATGCAGGATGGCATACGAAGTACAGAATGGCAGGAAAAACCAAGGATGAGGCAAAGGAATGGGTGTGAGTTCAACTATGATATCATTATAGTCGAAATTGATCTTTTGGATTCACAAACTACATTTCCGAAATCAGAGATCATTTTTGACACAATGAGAGGTCTAATGAACACACAAGAAATTTTATCATATACCTATTGAGGGTTGTAATTAATTTTTACATTATTTTAGACGAAAACTGTACGAAAAAGTGTCAGAGACGGACAAACCAAGTACAGAAGCCAAACAAAACTGGATTGGAGATATTATCACACTGTAAGTGGAGTCAGCGCGCTTTTATTTCATTTTTATTACAGTCTTACGGCATGAAACACAATGCCAAGATTTTGCGGAAACTCAAAATTTCGACCAAAATTTGTGGTTATATTTTACGACTACACCGTAATTTACATATAACGTTCATTTACATTGATTTTACCTTTTCTGTTAAAATATAACTCCATTTTTTACCTTATACTTGACACTTTCAGATGCCAGCGAAAAAAACTGCCAAAAGTCTCATATTCCGAAGAATCAACTGGTCCTGATCATGAAAAACGGTTTATCGTGACAGCTAGATGTGACGAACTTAATCTTGTAGTGAAGTCCGATCCAATGGCCAAGAAAACGGCCAAAAATCACGCGGCCGAACGAATGTATGGGCAACTCGAAAAATGGATCCAAGACCACCCAAAACCGGATGAATCAAATTCTTCAAGTGGCAATACCTCTACCTAATCTTACTCACATTCATTCCGGGGTAAATCAACGCTATAATTTCCTGTTTTTTCATGTATAGCATCACTTTACATCAAGTGTAATATAAAAATCGTGCTGTAAATCAATTTCATCGATTTTCATGTGTTGGAATCTTCGTGGATTATTGCTTTCTTGGTTAAGATAAGTTTATTGACTACAAAATATTTCAAGTTTGTGCTAGATAATCAAAAATAATAAGCGAGTTTTGCCTGTAATTAGTTACAAAATTATTCATAAAAGCTAGAGAAAAGGTGGGCCGATAAGCGGATTAGTTGCTGAGGATAGTCTGGTACACCTCGTTGATGTTGGAGATGGCAGCGAGGTGGCGCGACTTCAAGGAGAGCTGGAAAAACAAAAGATTATCAATGTTGTATACTTGAAATTTTGCGCTGATAAGAGCTTTTTTGGGGTTCAAAGGTATAATAAAACACGCTGAAAGCACTTGGCAACATTGTAAAGCATTTTTGATGATTCATCGGTAAATATTTTCTACTTTTTTGATGATTCATAAGAAAAAATTGGATTTTTTGGAATTGAAAACAACATTTTCGATAAGAATAGGTCTCTAAATTCAACTCGGCGAATGCAACAATAACATTTTTGCGAAAGATTTTTGCGTATACCAAAAATTTATCGATTTTTCATCAAGAAAACACCAAAAATGGCCAAATTAATACAAATTTTCTATCAAACTAGTCTTCCGCTATCCTCTACTATTACAGCCTTCCCCTCTAAACATCCTATTTACCCCTAATCGCCTTTCGCTATCCTAAACTCACCGTCAAAGTCGGGTTTCCTTGTTGCATCTTCAACTCGGACAAGATGTAGATCTGGTTGGTGTACTTGATGGAATGATACAACAAATCCTGGCCGTCCACATTCCTCTGAGCCACAGTGAAGACGTTATTGCGTTGGAGCTTCTGACAGATGTCGTCTACAACAAAAAAACACATAAAATTTCAAATTTTATATTGTACTAGGCAAACTGATGACCAAAAACCAAATTTCTTACCGGCACTCAATCCTTGGCTGTTATTGATTTGGAATTGGACCTCATTCTGTTCGGGAATGTCCTTCCACATTTGGAGGAAGTCGCGTTTGTCCATTTGACCGTTCTCATCGAAGTAAACGTGGAGTGGAACCACGACCGCAAAATAAAGAACATCTACATTTGATTTGACAGCGACCTAGAAGGACCGAAATTGATGAATTTATTAGTTTAGGGCTGTAAAATAAATTTCGAATAGATTTTTTTATGGTCTACAGACGGTCTATGTACCCTACAACCTATAATAAAAATCAAAGATAAGCCAAGCAATGCATAGCAACAGTGCAATTCGATAAGCTCGACTCCCACAATTCGACAAAAAAAGATTTCAACCTCATCTCCCTTCAGCAACATCCTAAAACCTACCTAAATTCCTTTAAAATTCCCTTACACTAAAATCCGATCCATTGCATGACAAGATACGCTATGGCACACGGAATCACCGCAAATATTATCGACAAACCGATTGAATATCCATTAATCAGCATGGCACCAAAACCCAGCCTCACACAAAGATTTATTGGGGCATATCAAAACATACGTATTTCTTGAACAACGGCTATGATGAGGGTGTGGTATCGGCGGTTCCGATATTCCCTCTTCTCTCCGGCTTTGGTCTCCTCAAACTTTCGCAAATATTTTTTACAAATTTCCCCATTTTTTCGAGGGGACGTCGTTATCACGGAAAGCGCCGCAGGGTCGTCACTCTTTGTCTCTGAAACTCCTTGTATTCCATCTGAGGGTAAGTTGGCTTTATCATAAACTACTGCAAATCATCTGTACGATTTCAAAGTTGCAACCATCTCATCCAATTTATTACAGGGGTTGTGGGAGATCATGGGGCAGGTGTGTTGTGGACACGAGGAGCATTCGCCGGAGATGAAGAAGCACAAGAAGGTGAGTATTCACACATTCTAGAACACCGATACAAAACTTTATCTTGACCAAACAAATCCACAACAACTGTTAGCTACTAAACCTCCTTTCAGAAGCAAAACAAACTTGTCCGCTTCTTCATGACTGGTCTGGGCTCTGCTGGCAAGACCACCGTGATTCGACAGCTCTTGATCTTATGCAAGGAAAAAGATTCGTACAAGCTATGCGACGACCAATGGAACGAGTTGAAGGAGTTGCCAGAAGAAGACAACGCATTTTGGTTGTTGACTGTTCGTACCAATATTATCGATGCCCTGGACTTGATGATCAAGGTATTAAACTTCCTCACAGCTATCTACATTCTTTATAAGCAACTTTACTCCCTTCTTTCAGCAATTAGAAAAGGAAGGAGTCAAAATCCCCGAAGAGTTCGAGGAGACGGCCAAGCAGTTAGACGAGATCATCGAAAAGACCGAAGACGACAGCCGAGACCTTGGAATCAATTTAGATTCCGACGAATTCCGAACAAAACTGCTCAATCTGTTCAAGAGCGACTTGGTAAGTCACGAATTACTCTTCGACAGTAAAATACATCAGCTTTGAGATCTGTTATAAAAGTCCACCGGTCACAATGGCCTTATATAACAGCTAACAAAGTTAATGTATGGTACCGTAAAGGGATTTCTTATCTGCTTTCGTCAATATAAGTAAAGATTCATTCAATCTCCTTCTTTCAGATTCAAGAAGTCTGGAAGCGAAAGAACGTGATTCGAGTCGATAATCGAAAACTTTTCGACGGTTGCGACCACTTCTTGACTGTCGAGAAGATTGACGCAATTTTCCGGCCTGGATACGAGGTCACTCACCGAGACAAACTACATGCTCGCAAGCCGACAACAGACATGCATACTTATCGTGTTCGAATCGGAGATTTGGACTTGGAAATCAACGATGTCGGAGGTCAAAAGAGCGAGTTGCGGAGGATTATCGAGTATTTGACAAAGTTTGCGCTGGGAGTAAGTGTATTTCAAAGAAACAGCATATCATCCTCCAATAAAAAGATGATTGTTGTTGCTATTCTCTCATAAACACCCATGACAAAGTTCACATCTCACGTTGACGATTTAAATTTTCAGCACGACGGTGATGGAGTCTTCAACTACATACTTCTCGTAGTTCCAGTCAGCGATTTCGACGTGGAGCACGACGAATATGAGGGCACCCTGCTAGACGAATGCGTCTCCTACATGGAGAACATTATGAACGTGCCCGTGGCGCAACGCTGCGGCCTGTTCATCTTCTTCAATAAGAGCGATCGATTCTTTGCGAAGCTGAACGATCCAGAATGCCGGAATTCCATCAAATACTTGGCCGACCATCTGACCGCGAAACAAATCAACGAGTTTAAGGGGAGTGGAAAGTTCAAGAAGGAGGTGATGGAGTCGGCAGTGAGTGCCAAGTTCGGAGAGGTCATGCATAAGATTCCCAATCGAGCACATAACACTTCATCAAGGTAAAAATTCTATGTCAAATGCATTTCTTTTATCAAACTGCCCATGTTTCGTTCCTATCTGCCCCGTTAAAAACATTTAAGCCTCCAAATTATTTACAGATTCACCTGTGCTGTGGACAGCAAGATGATGGATGGGTTGTTCAGTGCGATTAGGTCAGAACTTATAGAAAAGGGCGAAGCCACGGATATTTTATAACCTTTTTTCGGTAAATAAACACTCTTTTGTTGAGAATTCTTGTTTACAGTTCTTCTTAGTATGTACAACAAATTTGGCTAACAAGGGAAGTACTCCAAGTGCGACGCTCAGATTTTCTTTAAATTTTGCACACACGTCGGGCATGGACTAAATATCAATTCCTGAAAGCGTTAGCTTGCGCTTTGCGGGCGCCGCCGAGAAATCGAACGATTTTTGCCGCCGAGAGAACACGCTAAACGTGGAGAGTGGTCAGAGAGAAAACCGCTTTTCGGCCATAACTTTGGTAGTTTTGTGCGGAAAAATTTGATTTTTTGTAGAAACATTATCCTTTACGGTAGAAATAGGCATGAAACTTTTTGTGCCGAAATTCGGCAAAAAGTCCTAAATTTTGGCCGACTTACGTTCTAAAAATCTCGGTTGTTTCTGCAAAGCGCGAGCTAGGATTCTCGCATATATCTTATAAAAAATTATTCTAAATTTGTGCCAAGTTTCATCAAAACCTGAGCGTCGCACTTGGAGTACTTCCCCTGTAAGAATTGAAACGATCGATTATGATACTCCAACCATATTCTTTCAATGTTACTTCGGCTTTACAATGGCGGGCCTCATCCAGTGGCAAAAAACGTACCATTCTGCATCCGGAAAGTATCAAAAATGTGGCAAAATACCTCGCCAAGTGAAAAAAACTCCGGGCGCGTGCGCCTTTTCCCTCACAAAAAGAGAGCGGGCGCGCTTTTCAAATCGCAGTTTTTTCACTTGAAGAGGGAGGTATTTTGCCACATTTCTGATACTTCCCGGATACAAAATGGTACGTGTTTTGCCACTGGATCAGGTCCATCACTGTATATTTCTCACTCTTCAAACGGCACCCCTTAATTTCTATAAAACAAACCAAAATTCGACCTCCTAGACTCCAATCTCTCCCTAATCCCCAATAAATTCCTCAAACTTTCCCATAACTCCTTGCCCATTCAAAAAATTCTCATTTCTCACCTGCAAGTTGGTCAATGGTTCCATTTTCGCGACTCCTCCTCCAGTTCCACAAGTAACAATAACTTCCGAGGACTCATTTGGGGCCAAGACTCTCAACTGGATTGTAGAAGTTGGGGTTAGACCAAAGGAGTTGGTGTTGAATTGGATGGCAAAGTCCGAAAGAGGCTGCATGGCCTTGTTGGTGAAGGTCATTTCCATTTGGATAATCCCGTTTCTTCTGGCGAACGTGCCGTCGATTTGAAGGCCTTTTCCTTTCGTGGCGTCCAACCATTGCTAAAATTCGGAACTCGGTTAAAAAATTTACAAAAATGTGTCAAATCCGCAAAATTTTTATTTTTATATCAAAGTTAATTTTAAAAACAAAAAAAGTCTCTAAATACTCTTATCTCATCTGAAACCTTATTCAAAATTCATTTTTCGGTCCAATCCGAGCAAAAATTATATTACACTTGACATCAACCTACCCATTTAGGTGGAACATAGCTTCCAACTGTCCCGATCCCACCACTCAAAGTCAACCCAAACAGGTCAGCTCCGGTTGATGTTGGGGTCGTGGTGCTTACTGGTGGCACAGATGGGGCAGTGCTGACCGATCCCAAGGCCAACCCAAGGTCGTCCAAGCCGGCCAGACCGGTGGAGACTGGGGCGGCGGGTGTTGGGACATCTCCAAAGAGCAGATCCACCGGGGCCTGTTGTTGTGGAGCGGGTGGGGTGGGAGTAGGGCCGCCAAAGTCGAGTTGAAGGAGGTCGGCGACGATCGAGGCTTGGGCGGGGATGACGGTGGGCTGAGGGGGGATTACAGCGCCGTTGGAGCCGGCAGAGATGTTCGCACCGGAGGCGGTGTCATCGCTAAAAATTAGACGAATCAATAAGCTAAACATTCATGAAATTGAAGCCAAAATTTCAAGATCAAAAACATGAAAAAAAATCGAAAATCAAATTCTTTCAAATTCTCGAAACCACTTACTTGCTCGAGCTATTAGCCAATCCCAACGCATGTTTTGAGGGGTCAATGAAAGAGCTTGGCGGTTTATGATAAACCGAGGCCAAACTTCCAATATGGCAAACCAATTTGTTCAACAGAGATGGTTCCAAGAGATCAGTTTCCTCCGAAATCAACGGTTTCTCGGCCAGAACAACTTCTTTGGCAGCTTGCGGGTCGGCGGACAGCAATCTCCAATAGATGTAGCCTCTGTCACGGAGATCGGGGTTATCACTTTCTTGGGTGGCCAGTTGAAGAACCCTTTGGACGAGCTGTTGAGTGTCGGATGGGCGCTTCAGGAAGAGCTTCACGACAGCCGTGAGGAGTTGAAGTTGGACCTGAAAACAAAGTTTTTGAAAAAAAATGTGAAATAAAAAATTAATTTTCTTCTTTGTAGGGAAGAAATACTTCAAAACATACTAATGTTTCTTATCACATGAAGCATTTATTTTTTGGATAAGCTCAAAAAAAAATTTTTTTTTATCCTCCATGCACTGTGCAAAAAATTTTAATTTTTGCACTGTGCAACGCTAAAAATAGGCTAAAATCTGGTTTGCACAGTGCACTAAACTGAACTTTTTGCACCGTGCAAAACTTTACACTAACCTCACTGCTCATTTTTTCATAACCCCTTACCTGAGTATTCTCATCATGGAAGCCCTCGACAAACGACTCCAACAACTCATCAGCGTTATCAATTCTTTCCGCATACTCCCCAATAATCCAAATCATCGAAGCTCGGGCCTCGGGTTCATCCAGAGTGTCCAAATTCTCACACAGAGTCGAGATAATGCCTTCATACTTGTTCGGGTACTTCCTAAAGATGTCTTTGATGACCACCACCGCTTCTTGAACAACATAATTGACTTTGGTCTGGATCAATTCGAGCAAGGTGGTGACACAACGTTCCGCGGACTGCTCGATTTTGATAGCGCAGCGCCCAATGGCTCGGACGGCCTTGCGGACAAAGTCCACATCCACTTCGGCGGCGTATTCTTTGAGTTCGGAGAGGACTTGGGAGATGTTGTTGGCCTGCGCCAAACGGATCATAATGTCCAATTTCTCCATTTTCACGTAGATTGGGTCGTTGTATTTGACGAAGAACACCTTCATCTCCTGCTTGAGGATATCAGGTCTAAAAAACGGGAAGAAATTTTAATTTTTTGTCAAAATTTATATTGCACTAGGCATCCAATAACCCTAAAATTCGAAAACAAAAAAACAAAAGCGCTTACCTCTTTTGAACAATAAGGTTGATATTCCTCAACGCTACATACTGAATTTCCGGCTCGGCCGACAATAATGTCACCATTGGCGGAGCCAACTTCTTGTTCAACTGCTGGATGAAATCACCGTTTTCCGGAAGCAATTGCATCAATTTCATGAGAACCTTGACAGTCGAAAGGACCACAGCAGCATTGGCATGAGCAAGACGGGGAGTGATACGCTCGCAGATACTAAAAAAGTTTTATATTTTCGAAATCATGGATAACATGTCAAGTAATACCTAAAATTCATGAAAAACATTAAAAAAACACTCACTTTTGGGCCTCCCGTTCATCCTTGGGCTGGTAATTGGCAAGAGCGTCCAAAATGAACACCTGCCCCCATTCGGTACATTCATTTAGAGCAGTGAGAAGCTTATTAACGGTACTGCCGTTGATCTCGATTAAAGGCTGAGTTTCGTTGATCTCAGTAATCGCAGCAACCGCATTGGCAACAACCATTGGATTGGCATCACTCAATAACTCGGTGAGCAGCTCCACAAAGCCTTGTTCTTCCACAAGTTGAGGGTTAATATCGTGAAGTTTGGCAACGCAAACAGCTGCAGTCTTCCGGACATACGGGTCCTCATCCTTCATGCATTTTCTCAGGGGCTCACAGAGGTACTCAGTGATCTTATCCACACGAATACAACCCATTGTGCGGACCGCCAAAGCTCGGATTAACGGATTCGGATCTTCGCAGTCCTACAAGCTCATGTTTAATATAATTTGATCTAAAAATACCCAATCTTGAAAAAATTAAATATCCTCACCTTGACAAACGTGTTCACAGCCATGATGGCTAGATCAGGCTGACTTTTGGCGTAGTTCATGAGATACAAATACACCAATTTCTTCAGCTCAACGTTGTCCGTTTGCATACAGTTGACGACGTCGGCAAAAAGGGCACTAAATCGAGAAAAATCAATTAAAAGCGACCTACAACTTACCTGACATCTTTTCCAACCGTCATACTAGCTATAACCTTCTTTACCGCCTCTCTTTTCTTCTCCTTCTTCTCGGAATTAAGTTCATTCTTGAGCTCGAAAATCTCACCTAAAATAATATAAAATCATAAAGAAGATGGAGGCTTACCTTTCTTTGTTGTTGTGAAATACTTAGAGTCAGTCATGATGGACTAGAAAAGTGAATAAATTATCTGAAAATCGTAAAGATAAAAGAGGAAACACATTTATATTATCCACGACGACAATCGCCCAATGCACGTAAACAACAAAGTGCATCAAGAAAAAACCGTTTAAGACGGAAGATTATAGAGTTTTAAGCCTCACAGATGCAAAAACTCCTTACACAAGAGGCTTTATATTACCTATGACATCAAATTGAACATGCATGGGCAAATTGACTATGAATAAGATAGAGTTCAAAACTCAAAAAAATGTCGATTACACATTACTAAGCCGTATTTTATTATTCAGTGCTATGGAAACAGAATTAAACACACCACAGACGGTTTATATTACCCTTGACATCATCCGACACATGGATAAGATAATGGATAAAAAAGAGAAAAAACATGAAAAAATTGTCAGAAAAGGCTAAAATAAGTTGATTCTCGACCTTGGCTCGCGCGAGAATGACCAAGAGTTATGTGGAAGAGACTTTTCCGATAAAAATTTTCCAATTTCCGAAACGACGAAATGCCACTATTGATTGAAGTGGGTTTTTCGAACAAAATGATGAAGAAAAAAGCAAAGAAGGATTGATTAGGTAATATACTGTACATATTTATTAAAGTCATAGAATTGGAAATAACAAACTTTTAAAAAAAAATTATCAAATTTATATTCACCATCCTACGAGCTCACAACGATTGCTTCAAGCCGTTTCCTATTATGCCTCCGTCTTCGTTTCTTCAATTTTCTGAATCCATTTGCTCCAACACTCTCTGGTTTCTCCTCTTTCATCACGTCGATTTCGAATTTGTCGAGTTTTGTCAAAGTGACGTCACTTTTTATTAATTTCAATGCTTCATCCCGCTGTTTCTCGACCTCCTCGTCGGATACAAACACATTTCTGATGGTCTTTACCAATGGGAAGGTTCGGTTTCCGCATTTTGCTTCATAATCATCCGAATCCAACGCGAAAATCATGACTCCGGCAACGCCGAGGTCTCGCGCGAACTCCGCTTTGAGACGGACACTTCGTTCTTCCTCGATGCTCAGCCATTCCCGGTCCTTGTAGAGGTAGGGCGAGGCGGCGGCGTCTTCCCAAACATAGTTGAATTGACCCGAAGCTTGGTATTTACAGGACTGCAAGTTTAATATTAGCTGAGATGGTATCAAAGGAAAGTTTTTACCCTCCGATATGGGATGTATTCACCGAGAGATGAGACGCCAACGGCTGGCGAATAAGGGAAATGAAACAGCTCCGTAAGAAGTTTGAATCCTCTTCCGTAGGTCGGAATTCCAAAAATCAGCTTGCTCCGATCGAGGCCTTTACTCAAGTAGTTGTTTGTGGAGTATTCCTAAAAATACAAAATTTTTTAGTCACAAATTTTTTGCACTGTGCAAAAAATTTCATTAGTCGCACTGTGCAGCGCTAATTTTGGCCTATTTTTAGCTCTGCACAGTGCAAAAGTCAAGTTGCTTCGCACAGTGCGGTCAAAACCGAAAAATAAGATTTCCAAATATGAAAAATTAGAGAATTAGAGATTTCATCAGGCTTACCGAGTTCAGTCGATCCAAAAAGAAGACTTCATACGGCAGCTTTCTCAACGGCGCATCAAATCCCACAAACGGCGTGATCATGTTGTAAATGTGATAATCATAGTTCATAATTTGCACTAGATCCACATACATGTTTAAAGCATTGATGTCATAGGCCTTTTCGAGGATAACGTGAGGGGCCCCAAGTGCTACGGAGATCAAAAATTTGTGACCGCTTTGGTCGAATTTCTCTCGAAGAGCCTGGAAATGGTAAAGAGAAAAATTAAGTAAATATAATTACCGACCAACAACACGATTTTTTAAATTATAATACATAGCTTCGATTACCTCAAAATTTGACAAAAATTTTTTGCTTTTATGCGCACTGTGCAAAAGAAACCAATTTTTGCACTGTGCGGAGCCCAAATTAGGCTAAAATTTGGCTTGCACAGTGCAATCAGTTCGATTTTTTGCACAGTGCAGGATTTTTATCAAAATTTTTTTGCTTGAATTTTTTTTTCAACAAGAAAAAGCTGAAGATTACCTTCAAAAGGAATGTAAATCCATCACGATCAGACGGTTTGGCATCTGGACTGAAGGCCGGGAACTCCCAGTCAATATCGAATCCGTCTAATTGATTGGAAATAAGATAATCCCTGACTTGTACTACATATTCAGCAAGTTTTACTTCATTTGAGGTCTGAAATTTGGGAATGTAAAGCAAAAAATATGCAAAATAAGCAAATAAAAATTTTTTTTAAAGAAAATGCTTACCAATTCTGTCATTTTGGGGTTATTTGGAGTCAACGAAATCAATACTTTTAACCTTGGATTAACAGTCTTGAGTTTGTTGTATCTCTTGATGTCCTCAACAGCCGGAAAAGTCGGCCCCGCATTACCGTAGTTAGTACTGCCAATAACAAGCAAATGTGTGCAGAGAAAAGGGTCTATTGCCTCAGGTTTCGGATTGTTGTGTCTGAAATTTTAAATAGAGCTAGTGCGACTCTAAAATTCCGGAAGAAAAATTAAAAACAAAAATTTTTTCGAAAACCTTACTTTGCATAACATGAAATTATAGTGCCTCTTGCTCGACTAACCATTAAAAAAATTACCAGTCCGGCTAATAACTGCCATTTCGGCAGCATTATCTGAAAAATTACAGATGACTTTTTCGCACTGTTTTCCCGGTCAACGTTTTTATTTCCAAAGCGAATCAAAGAAAAGAAAGAAGCTCGGCGCCCAGTCACAGATAGCCGAGTGGTTTTGCACTCGGGCTGGCGAGAAAAAGGTCGCGGGTTCGAGTACCGGCTGAATGATTACAATAGTTATCCCTGTCTTACAGAAGATAATGGTGACAAAACCGTGGTAAATAATGACAGCTTTTGCATTTTTGTCAAAATAAAGCTTTGTAAAATTCGATTTTTTTGATTAAAATCAAAAAATTACAAGATTTTAAAACTGAGACGACCTTTCAACCACCAAAAAAACGCAAACGGTAAACAAAAAACAGCGAGGATTGCGTGATCACGCGTTCACCTAAATAAAACGCCTCCGGAGAGATTCTTCGCACGATCCGAAGTAGGTCTGGAAGATTGAAAAAAACGCGCCGAAACGGCATGACGCATAAAAGTTTTATCGGAAAAAGGGAAATTGATCAATTTTCTGGCGAAAAATAGTAATTTAAACAGTCAAAAAATTTTTTGGGAAGTTATAAAAAGCCGGAAATTAATTATGCGAGCGGACTTTTGATGGGGTTGAAAGGGAAAGTTTAGCGATCTAGGGTTGGAAGATATATTCAAGAAAAATTCAAAAAACGCCTTTATAAATTTTTGCCTGAAAAATAATGTTTTCGCTAAAAATGTGAAAGAAATGACTTTATTAGTCAGCAAAAAGAAGAAAAAATCTTTTGGAAAACCAAAAAATGTCATTCGCTTTTGAAAGAATAAAGAAATTTAAATTCGCCTTTGAAATAAGTTTTTACTCTTTATGTGAAATTTTATGGCCAAAAGGTTCGGAGATTTTTGGGCGTTTGGCCAAACGCGTGGCCAACAAAAAGGCAGGGTAATTCGATTTGAGATTTTTGAAAGTTTTTAGAGCAAAAAATGGTATCAACGAGAAGAGCCAACATCGATAAAACTAGAAAATTTCATTTTTAAATGCCGTTTACCTTAAACTACATATCACAATACTTGCTGAAAATCTGCCTGCAACAAGGTACGAAAAGCAAAAGTTCAATTCTCGCCCCATTGGCGCCATGTTTATGTAGAAATTATGCGCCGAAGCGGCTTCAAATCGTCTCCTTTTGACAAGATTTTCCCCCTTCATAACTCGGTTATTCCCCCAAGGGATTCGATTCCCGACAAACGAGCAAAAGAAGTGCTGAAGGGCATGACAAATGAACTTTTGAAGCGTTCCAAAACTTGGCAAAAAAGGTTCTTACAAGGGAAGTCACTTTTTTCGCAGACGGACTTCGGAACGGGACCTAGTAGGTTTCAAACGTGAAGCGTCTGCGATCATAAAACTGATTTCCAAAAGTGTTTACGGGGCTTCTCGGCCGAGAAAATCGACCGCAAAGTTTAGCCGAAATGAGCGAATAGCCTCCACAAAAGAAACAGTTTATTTCATCTGCAGTGGTGGCCGAGTGGTCAGCGCGCTCGCTTTTTGCGCCAGAAGAGGCGGGTTCGATCCTCTGCGCAGTTTATTTTCTTTTTTGGTTCGTAAATATTGATTTAGTATGAAAACATAAAATGTATACACGTTTGTAATTTTTTACAGTAATTTAAACATAAATTCAAAGCTGAATGTTCATGAATATTGTAAAGTCAAAACAGGGCTGGGTTAATGAAGATATAGTTCCTAAATTTGTGTTTTATTAAAAATTGCTAATAATTAGCATATGTCATGTTAACGGCATCTCTCTATTTGATTCAATAGTCAAAAGAAATGCATCCGCAGACGACCGAAGTCGAACTCACGTCTTCTGGCGCAAAAAGCGAGCGCGCTGACCACTCGGCCACCACTGCAGATGAAATAAACTGTTTCTTTTGAGGAGGCTATTCGCTCATTTCGGCTAAACTTTGCGGTCGTTTTTCTCGGCCGAGAAGCCCCGTAAACACTTTTGGAAATCAGTTTTATGATCGCAGACGCTTCACGTTTGAAACCTACTAGGTCCCGTTCCGAAGTCCGTCTGCGAAAAAAGTGACTTCCCTTGTTAGTCTGAGCCACAGCACTACATTTGCTTCTGTCGGAAATTCCTTCAAAAGCAAAACAAATTGGTCCAACAAATTCACAGTCTTAGCTAATGCACTTCCCTTTTCCTACGTTGGTCTACTCGTCACTGCTTTTTAGGAAGAAAGTTAGTCCCCGCTTTACTATTTTTACATACTTCAGGGAGAGTTGGCTGAGAAACTCGATTTATAATTCAGCTAAAACCAGCCTGATGTTTAACGAGGAAGGAGTGTGGAAGATTGGAATACGGCATTTTTTTTGAAAATTATGTTTTGAATTTGAGCAAAATTTTATGCAATTTTTATTGTTGGTACCAAAAATTCGTTAGGGTATAGCACTCAAACATTTGCATCAAAAAGATTGAGGCGGTTATCATTATGGAGTTTATTCAAAACAAAACCATGTAAATAAAACCTTCTGGTTACCGTAGATGCCAAAGCCGTCCCATTACGCATTATTGGAGATCAAAGGAAGGCGAAAAACCCCGGATGTAAAATACAGAACTTACCATCAAATCCTACCAGAGCATGATTTTTTAGAAAACACTTTCCAACTTTGTAGGCGTAGAGAATGTTCTTTCTAGGGTATACTATATCAGCAGAGGCATCCAATGAAAAGACAAGGTGGTGGACGTAGACATGGCTATGGGACCGGGCCGAGCGAGTTTGAAACGATCCGGGGACCTGGCCACGCGGGGCCCACCTTGGTCCTACATCGCCCCCGAATGACTAAAATTCTGAGTCTCGAAGCGACAATTGGAGTTGCCAATAAGATCGCTTGGTTTTTCGAAATACTGTGGACAATAGATGGTAATTTTTTGTTTAAAATATTTATTGTTCATTCGATTTCCGGCTCGGCCTCACAGCCATGTCTAGGTGGAAGTGGTTTATTTAACAATCCTGACAACCAAATTTGCGAATCGATTTATGAAATCGAAGATAAAATAAGGTAAGTTTATCAATTCAGAACGTCTATAAACAAGGTCTCTATACGAAATGGTTGGCTTTAGAGTGTCACACCTCCATTCACATCGACAAAACTGGCGGTGCAGAAACTGGCCAGGTCCGAGGCAAAGAAAACAATCACATTCGCTATGTCTTCGGGTTTTGCCATCCGGCCTAACGGCGTTCCGCGCGCAATCTCAGCACGAGCAGCGTCGTCAAGATGCGCGGTCATCGGCGTCTCCACCCAGCCGGGCTTCACCGCGTTAACTCTGATATTGTACGGGCCGAGCTCCTTGGCCAACACCTTGGTCAGGCCATTTATTCCATCCTTGGTGGCAACATAGTGTGCGAGCTCGACCATTCCGGCGTTTGTGGTGATTGATGAGAGGTTCACAACTGCCAGCGGGCGTTTTTGGGCAACCGCTTGTTTGGCGAAGGCTTGGGTTACCTGATAATATATTATACAAATTAAATTACCGTGTAGGGCAAGTGGATGCCCAAAAAAGATTGTAGGAAGTGCCTACAGATACTGGCAAAGCCGCCGACGCTCGGCTGAGACTTGACGAAGGGTTGCAATATGTGAAAATTTTTTTATGTCTTTACCCAGAGTTATTGTAAAATACGTAAGATCAAAATTTCCGGCAAAAAACGAAGATTCGTAACTTTTTCTAGATATTATTTATGTGCGTACATGAAAAATATTTACCTCGAAACATAAGATATCATAGGACCGAATCAATCTTTTTATTTCTAAATACTAAGCCTTCGTAGCTCCCCCATGCATACAACGACGAACCGACGCGATCCATAGTTTCGCTGACCCGGAAAGTCTTAGCGCCCTACACAGAAGTGGAAAATCGCTTACCAGATGGACCGATTTCAAGTTTGTAGCGATTATTTTGTCCCATTCCTCTTCTTTGATTTCCAAGTATGGGGTAAACTTGCAGATGGCAGCGTTATTGACTAAAGCATCAATGCTTTTGGGAAATTGCTTCTCAATTCTCGCGACCAATGCATCTACTTCCTTTTTCTGAGTAACATCACAGACTTCCGCGACAATCTTCTGATTTGGGAAATCTGAAATCAACAGCGGTAAATAACATTTCGTTAGTCAAAGACTAACCTTTCTGAATTCCTTCCGCCGTCTTTTTCACAACGTTTTCGTTTAAGTCAACGAGGATCACGTTTGCTCCATGCTCAGCGAATTTTCTTGCCGTCGCGGCTCCAATTCCTTGTGCCGAACCTATAGAAAATTTGTGAGTAGATCGTAAAATGAAACTGCAACAATTGTCAGCGTGAAAAACAGCAAATGCTATCATAAAAAATGCCTTACCTGTCACCAAGGCCAGTTTTCCTTCTAATCCGAAGCTTGTCATTGCTGGAACTGAAAAAATTGGGTAAGTATTCTGAATGCGACGCTTAGATTTTGATGAAATTTCGCGTAAATTTAGGGCATTTTTATGAAAACATGTGCAAAATTTCGAGTTCGCGCTTTGAAAACGGCTGAGATTTTTAGCTGAAAGTTGGCAAAAATGCGACGCTTTTTCACGAATTTTGACACAAAAACTCCCGTACCAATTTCTAGAGGGGTAATGTCCAAAATATTTCTTTCCGCGCAAGGCTATCAACGATAAGGCCAAAAAGGATCGCTCTCCGTGTTTTGTGTGCTCTTTTGGCGGCAAGAATAATCGAATATTTTGGCGGCTTCTACAAAACGCAAGTCGAAATTTTCATGTAATGGCACCGGGCATATACCAAATTCACGTGCAAAATTAGAAATAAGGAAAGCCGCACAGGAAGCCTTTATCTGAAAATGAACCCAGAGGGGTCAATGAGAACAATCAGCAACGGTTTTTAAGTCGGCCGATAAAATAACTGCTGTTTAAACCCTAATTTGGTTTTTAAAACGCTCCTTTCTCTTCAAAAATGATGACGGAACTGTGCGAAATTCATACTACACAATAGATCACCTCTGACAGCTCGCGTTCTAATCAACTTAATGATGATAAGATTTGAAGACACAAGCTAAAAACACAATTCTTTCGTAAAAAAGGTAAACATTTTTTACGATGTTGATTTTTTTTTAATTTTGAACTTGATCTGGGGGCCGTAAGGGAGTAAAATCTCAAATTTACTGCTCAAAAATTTGGAGATAAAAATTGTGATGTAAAAAATTGTGATTACAGTCTTCGTAGCATGCTTTATAGCCTTTCAAAAAAATACAATCAACGAAAAAAACTTTGTATAATATAATATTATCAACGTTGAGGAGATGCGTGTGATACCCGATTCGATCCATTTTCATATGTACATACAAATTCACTCCTCTTCGTTTATGCTGCAGTGTTTGCTTAGGCATTGAGATTCGGGCGCTTCGATTATTATGTTCGGAGGTTTAACGCGAGGTGCAAAGGCAAGTAAATTGCGGTTCAACTCGACCGGTGCGGAGTCTGAAAATTGATAAATTTAAGGCGATTTTTTGAGATGGAAATGAGTGAAAACTTCACTTGTATGATAACAAGTAAAAGATTGCGATTTTTCGGGAAAAAAATAGATATTTTTTGATTTGCCTTCAGGCTAAAATGCTCAAAACTCGCCTGAAACCAGGTAGAATGTAAACTGAGCGATGTGGCCAACGACTACACAGACTACTACTGCTACCACGCAGTAATATTGATACGAGATCTTGGAGACTTCCAGCCAGATTCCAGAGCTGAAAATTGGGTTTAATTGATTCAGCTATCAAAACGAATATCGCAAAAAGTCATTTTCTGATGAATAAAGTAAAGCCTCTGTACAACGAAACCTGTGTTTAAAAACGATTTCAGAGGCCCGACGAGTCAACTTTGGACTTTTTTACATTGAAACTTCTTTATAACAAATCAATTTTTTGGTCCAAGGCTATTCGTTATACAGAGGTTTCACTGCATTTCCGAAAATCACAAAAAAATCAAAAACTTCAAACCCAAAACCTACTCATTATTGGCCATGACTGTCCCAAACCGTTCTTCCCATTCGAATTCCAGCGGACTGCTGCTGTTCCGGCAATGATCACTGAGCGGCAAATTGACGGGGACCACATTATAGACGAGCGAACCGGCCGCCACCCAAATGGAGACGAGCAATGTGCAGACCTGAGCGACCAACGCCGCATATGGATTTGTGATCTTGGGGCAGAAGAGGCCGATTACAAAGACGGCCAAAATGGCACCGCCGGCTGCTCCGAAGATTGAGAAGGCAATCTAAAGGCAAAAATTATATAATATGCAAAAAAACAGGCCTTGATCTTTTTGAGTTCAGCGTACAGAATTTTTCTATCACTTTTACACACTCATTTTATGGCCATGTATTTCTTTTTTTATTTCCACTTGGCCTTTAAACATCCTGTTATTCGTAACTCCAAATGTCAGAGGCATTTGAAAAATCTTGCATAACTTCCTAGTAGGCCAAACACCAGATTAATTATTCATTTCCAGCCGTGCTAACCTTTACGCCGCTACACAAATTACATAGAGGGTTGCAGAAGAAACAGGTGAAAATACGAAAAACTTAATTCACTAGTAAACAGGGTGTTTACAACATAAGGGCTACAATTATAAAATTTGTAATTTCTTGAAATTAAAGAAAGGAAGTTCCGTCTTGCTAAGAATTAATAATTAATTTGCAATTTGCTGTTATGAAAAATTAAGTTATAGCGAATGCCATAGGGTCAAAAATTGGAAAGGAATCTGTCCATTCCCAAAAATTTTAGTTTGCGCGTTGTAGCGAAGCTAATTGTAAGAGATTTGATGATCTTTTCCACCTAGAGAGTTTACGAAATGCGGAAAGCGCTTCGAGGGAAAAACATTTTTTTGGCCTTATTTTTGATAGTGTTGAAAAAAGCATTTTTTCGTGAAAAACATTACCCCCTGCGGAAGCAAATATGGCATTAAACTTTGCGTGCCAAAATTCGTAAAAAAGTGTAACATCTTTTCCAAGTTGCGATATTAAAATCTCGGTCGTTTTTACAAAGAGCGAGCTGGAAATCGCGCATGTGCCTTAAAATTAGAGAAAAAATAGTCAAAATTTGTGCCAAATTTCATCAAAATCTGAGCATTTAGATACTTTGAGCATTCTTTTGTCGGTTACTATAATATCTTTGCTTGTCAGCGCACCCAACATTTATTTTCACCAAACATACCTGTAAGACCATCGTGTCCAGCGACTTGACTGCCATGGCAAGAATTGTGGCAACAGCGGCAAAAACGAAAGCTGAAAAAATTGGCGACACAATATCGTATAGTGATAAATGCAACTAAAACAAATGGCTAAAAACAACGTGTTTTTAATCCTCAAAGTGTCCTTACGCAATATCTGAATGATCCGTATATGCATCTCCGAATTGATAATTTGGCCTTCTTTCTTCACTTTTGGCCACATTGTCTTAACAATATCCTCTAACACAACCGCCGTTAACGCGTTATACGACGCTGTTAGCGTGCTGATTCCAGCTGAATAAACGGCCGCCACAAAGACGCCTTCGAGACCGACCAGCCAATTCAGATGGTTCTCAACAAAGAACGGGAGCATCTGATCGGGCGCGCCGACTTTCGGATGACAATCGTAGTAGACGGCGTACATGGCCAGACCCATGAAGGTGTACATCACCGCCATCAACGCGTTCATGGGAATGTTGAGGAGAACCACTCTAAAAAAGCAATGTATGGTGGGGCCAATAGAAATATTTTGGTGGCGCTAGCTATGACTAGTCGTTCCTGAAAGTGCGTAGACTCCGTTGAGAAAAGCTTGCGTCGCTGCGATATTGGACTTGCACGGTGCAAAATGTCAAATGCACCCCGCAAAAAAGGGACTTGTGCACCGTGCGGCTCACGAAAAAAATTTACGCATTTTTGAAAAATCGCTGGTCCGTTCGCAAAGTCGCTGGAGTCATTCTTGCGACTTGCACTGTGCAAAAGGCAGGGTGCAAGCGATAGCCCGAAAAGCCTATTGCACGGTGCAAAAAGCCAAAAATTGCACAGTGCAAGATAAATTTTATTTTTGCACAGTGCATGTCACGAAAATTCGCTCCAGCGATTTTTCGAACGGACTTTTGGTCCTTCCAGAAAGTCGCCGGACTGATGTTTGGTGCTTGCACTGTGCAGAAAAAATCAAGGTGCGAGCGACAGCCCGAAAAAGCCTATTGCCGAAAATTGCACAGTGCAAAGCAAGCTTGTATGTCGCGAAATTCGCCTCAGCGACTTTTAAAATAAGTTCCCTAAATCCCAAGACTTGTCAAAGACTCAACTTACTTCTGCGCCTGCCGTAGCGTTGGCATCACCATATACCGCTGCAGAGTCAAATGATTCACAGCGAATAAGCTGAAAATATTCCCACTTCCGCCGATCAGAAATGCAAAGATTGAATGTCGAACTTGAGGATTGAAGCGAGTGTCTGTCGTCTCAAGCCTAAGGGCTTTCTTGGACCTGGTGTAAATTTCCATCGGCTCGAATTCGAAAAGGATTGCACAGCAGATTGTAAAAAGCGATATGAGAATCAGCGCCATTTGAAGAGCCGAGGTGTAGATGCCGCCGCGAGCACCACCCTGCAAATAAATTTTATTTGTATTTTAAAACGATCAAATTTTGTCTGGAAAATATTGAGGCACAGTGCAACAAATTGGGACGCATTTTTCATTGTGCACCAAAAAAAGTTATTGCACTGTGCAATTTTTGAAAAAATAGTTATTATTAGAAATTTTGAGGGTTGCAAAAAGTTACAGGTCGACTAAATTGTAAGCAAAAAACTGTGTGACAAAAACGAAACTCCGAATTTTTACTTCCATGAAATTTTTGCGTCTTTTTTTCAATTCAATTTTTGTTGCACAGTGCGGAATTTTTCAACATGTCAAAAAAGTGTTTCAAAATTAACTTAACGTAATGAAAAAACGATGAAAAATTTTTAATCGACGTCTACAACGATGTATAAAAACCCTGATTTTTTCTGTGAATTTTGTAGCAACGTTTTTGAAATTTTATTTTTTCCGCACCGTGCAGTCTTAAATTCCAAAACACCTTTCCAGAAACCTACCAACAATAAGTAGACAGCGGAAATCGACGAAGTAATTAAAATACTGAGAAAAATCGGGAAGTTTAAAGCTTGAGCCAACGCCAACGAAGGCGCATATAAAGCAACAGCCAAGTAGAAGATCGTCTGGAGGATGAAAGTTGAGGAGGCGAGAATCCGTGAGGCATATGAGAATCGTCGTTCCAGATATTCGTAGATGCTTGAGAGTCGTAAGTGATAAAATACTGGGAGGAAAACGTAGGCAACAATGGGAAATGCAATAATATAGACGACGTTGAACCATAGGGGAGTGGAGCCACGGAAGTAAACCTAAAATATCATTATTTGGAAGTGGAAAAATTTTTTATTTTCTCGTTCACAAAAGCCATCGACGATTTCAAAGCAAAAAATCGACGAACAACGGAAAAAAAATTCTGGGTCAAGTGTCTCCCTCGGTGAAAAAGTGGGGTCTTGTTGAAAAACTAAAAGTACTGAAGGCTTGTTAATACTCTACTACCCATAAACACAAAAATAGCATCAATTCTGAGCTGTTGGCCAAGGAATTTTCGATTTTGGGTCAAGTGTTTCCCTCATACGGAATTTTCCGTTTTTATTTTTTTTTTGCGTATACATTCTTTTCAGATGTCACACACTACTCTATTTTCGATTTAAAAGCATGATTTCAAGTCTAAACATCGAAAGAAACACTTGACACATTTTGGGTCAACTCTGCTCCAACAAACTTCAACTTTTTTAAAAATTTTAAGGTAAAATACGCAGAAACGTAGAACGTCTTTTTTTTGAAGAAAACTAGAACATTCTAACGGACGAAAACATTATTTTAAATACTTACCTCTGCCGGGAAGCCCAGCAAAGAGACTGCCGAAAGGAAGCTTGAGCACACCGAGAGCGCTATGGATAGCACTGATACACTGAAAAAAATATTATGAAAAGAAAAATTACTGTTATAATCTGCATATTTATGATTTTTGACCGCACGGTGCGAGATTAAAAAAACCTTTTTGAAAATTACGGGGTTTGAAAATAACCAAAAGTATATCATAATTCATGACTGTTACTATGATGTATAATTACTATTTAGCAACGTTGCCATTTTTTGAATTATTTTGTACTTACTTGGACCCAATAAGTGCATCCTGACTGGACCTGGTCTGTTTCCGTCGGCTGAAGTAAATACCCATCACTGATATGGCCAGCATGATAAATACGAAAATCAACGAGTCGATCAGGTCCATTGTGGCTAAAAATTGGATTGTGATACGCAATAAGGCCCGAAATATTTGAAAAGTACGAAAAATCTCGAAAGAACACGAATAAAATGTGAGAAATAGGCATTACGTGTGTAGTAAACGGTGCCTTTATTAGAACAATGCAAGGCACTCCATGAGAAGATTACTATAACTACGAAAATGTCGATTCGCCGACAGTTACATCCACAAGGTTGTAAAAAATTGCTGGATATGACATGGGGAAATTGTGTGTGGCCGTCATACTCTTGTCAGATAATGCTGCACCGTGTGAATCTAGAGACCGCGTAGGCTCATGAAAACGGTAGATCACAGTGGAGTGGAAACATAAATATTTAACGGCGGGACTACAAGAATTGCGGAGAGCGGTCAGAGAGAGAGAGAGACGAGAGAGAGAGAGAGAGAGAGAGAGAGAGAGAGAGAGAGAGAGAGAGAGAGAGAGAGAGAGAGAGAGAGAGAGAGAGAGAGAGAGAGAGAGAGAGAGAGAGAGAGAGAGAGAGAGAGAGAGAGAGAGAGGGAGAGAGCGACTTTCTTGGCCAAAGTTTTTCTGGAAATTTTGCGCTGGAAAGATGGGTTTTGTGAAATTTTCTCATGCTACAAAATATATAATATATAAAAGTCTGGAAATTTGCCCACATTAGGACTAAAAGTCTCGGTTTTTTTGGAAAGTGCAAAATAGATATCGCTAGAAAAACGGCGGGCGCACATCGCGGGCAACTACTTTGCGGACAGCAAGAAGAACAATGGAGATTCTGCGGGCACGTTTGTATAATATTATAAATCAGCCAAAATTTGCTTACAACGCAACAAAATTAAAACGATGGATTTAGCAGTTAGATGCTTCGAATTAAGTTTCCAGGTGTATAAATTGCTTGAATAGTTGCCATAAGGTTAACCAGGCATTTTCACTGGTTCAGAGACCCTTTTTGAAAACGAACTTCCATAACTTTGGAAGCGGTGGATGACTTTGATAGATTCGTCTTCGCTAATCCTAATCGATAAATTTCGGCTGCGCAAAGTGGTTGCACGCAACTGTCGCGAAGCCAGAAAAAACATTGTCTAGATTTTTTCTGAAACAAGCTTTTCAAATGTTTCTATATATAATACAAACTCCGATCCCACCTCTCGGATTCCCACTACCGCCATTGAATGTTGTATAGCCCAAATACAAGACATTTTATAAACTTTGATAAACACTCGGCAAACCACCTGACCGAAAAATACACTACTTGGTAAATAATAAATTCGCGAAATTATAATGTTATGTCTTGTCTGAAATACGTTGTAATTTACGCAATAGAATTCGTAATTTCCGTGGGGACTTGGCTTTCAAACTACAGATGATAGTGTGCAAAATAATAGCTCAATCCTATCACAAAGATGTCTTCATACGGCAATTATCGGTTAAGAAGGTTGCAATTGTAGGCAAAGCAGTGTATCTAATTGTAGGATTACAGTGAATTTTCGGGGATAATCACCAGTTACGGCAATAATATTGGGTTTGTCCTGTTATTTACTCAATTTTTTAACTGTTTTGACTAAGATAACGGTGTAATCAATGGAGCAAATGGTCAGAAAAAACGTAGAAAGTGCTCAACTTTGAGGGCTTCCCGGTGAAAAATGAAATTTTCCAAATTTTTGTTTTAAAAATTCCAAAAATTTCAGTTTCCGTTTTAAACTTATAAAATTTTTTGCTAATAAATTTTTGGAATTTAAAAACGGCCTAAAGAACTTTTAAAACAATTTTTTATCCCAATTCTGAGGAATGAGAACGCACAGTTAAACCCTTACACTTGTTGGCCAAGTAACACGTTTTTTAGTGCCAAAAGAGCAGAGAAAGTAAGAGCAGGCCGACTAAAGGTCTATACATCACTCTGTGCCCGTCATCTTGTAGGCATGCGATTAGAGACGTCCTTGGCTGGCTTATGTTGTCTTTTTTCCAGTACAGTTAATTTTTCGTTACGTACTGTGGTGGTAAAAATGTGCTATAATGTTCTGGAAAACGAGCAGAATAAAAAGTTTTAAAAAGGGGCAAAATTTTTGGAGAAAGAATAAGCCAGAAAATATAGAGAAACCCTTCACAACGGCCGTTGTAGTGGTTTTTCTGGCATTGTTGCTGTATTTGGTTCCCGAAATGGGGCATTTACTATTAGCTTGCGCTTTACAGATACAACCAAAATAATCAACCATTAGACTCAAAGAGAGAGAGCGAAAAATTAGGAGAACGGTCAGAGACAACACTGTTTTTTGCTATAACTTTTTTGCAGAAAAATAATACGCCTCAATGGCCTGAAATTTTCAAACGTAAAATTGCAAAAAGGTTGAGTTTTTGTGGAAATTTGTAATCAAAAAAATCTTCGTACTATCTGAAAATTCCTGCGAAAACTAATATTAATTTCGCAACATTATTCCAGCTATTAGAACCGCCAAATAAAACATTGCTTAGTAATCTACTTCTTGCAAAACATCAAGGTTCCGCCCGTTACAACAAAATCCTCAAGGTCGAACAGATTTCTTGTTTTACAACTCCAATCCGGCCTCGCCAAACCCAAACCAAAACATCCGCCTACAACTAAACACCTTCATTTCTAAGCATATTTTTTCAAGCCCTCAAAACCTCAAGATTTACACCCGTCCCACCCCGATTTCCAGACGTTTTTACACCCGCCCCCCACTGTTTTCGAGTGCTTGTACTGCGTGAAATATTTGTACTGAAAACAAATTTTTTACGTCGCAAAAATTTCATGTCCCAGGATTTCCTCGAGCCCCCACTTTCTTTTGACGTGCTGTGCTGCGCCTGCAAAAATTTGTTAGCAAAAAAGACGTGGAATTTAAACTTGGATTTGGAGTTTAAGGGTGGCATTGGGGCTAGCAATGTATGTGGCATATGTGCCGTGTAACTTGCGATTACACAGGTTACAAGTGGAGTTTGTGGCGGTGGTGTTTAGGAAGAAGACTTTTATTGTAAAAATTGGGGAAAGAAAGAGGGGTTTACTGGGAATTTCCCGAGTTTGTGCCATCGAACTTTTGATAAAAATCCGCGTTTAAGTTTGCACTTTCTTACACGGAAGTTGTCCAAAGTGCAACCTTATTATCCTTGAATTGTGAAGATGAATAGCGCATGTGCGTCAAGTAAATCGTAAAAAAAGTTATTGAATTTTGGCTTGCGCTTTGAAGGGGTTGCCGGGATATTAAACGATCTTTGCAGCAGTGATTGTATACAAAATCAACAAAAAAAAATATCAGAGTTTTTCATTTGTCATCAAATCTAAAAATTTTTTCAAATCGAGAGCTAGAGGTGCCTTATAGGGCTTAGAATGCGTTAGTTCAAATTTGCGCGGCAGTACGCAGGAGACGGAGAGAGGAAAGGGGGGAAAACGTTTTTGAGAAGGTTGAAAATTTCGTGAAATTTTGCTTTCCATGCTATAGAAACATGATTGCAAGTTCTTCATGGCAGAACTAGGCGCCTTAGATAGAGAATGCCCTTAGATTTTAACCATAGGTAACTATTTAACCACTGTGAGTTCGTAGTAAAGTCGACACAACAAACACAAAGTTCAAAACTAACATTAAACACTATGTTTTACTTACATTAAACATCATCGTCAAACAAAAAAAAAATTATAAATTGTTCTTTGCTCTTGTCCTCAGACACCAAACAATTACCTCACTCAACAATTTCTGCGCAATTCCCCAACCCCTCTACGCAATTCCATCCCCAAAATCGTCGGCACCGCGCATACCAAGACCCTCATCAAGTTGCAAAATTTGAAGACTAAAACACTAGGAAATTAGAAAGCGCAAAATGAGATAATCAAAATGAGGTTTCTAATACTGTGGCGAAACAGGAATTAGGTGGCATTGTAGCTGAATGAGTGGGAAATTGAAAGCGAAATTTTTTGGAAAATGTTTCATGGAGAGTACCACGATGTTGCGTATGTTCGCAAGGGTGGAACTAAATTTGCGAAAGAGAAAAACAATTTGGGAAAATTTCGAAAACGATTGAAAACTTTATTGCAAAAAAAATTAATTTCGAAAAAGTAGGCGTCTAAAAAATAAAAAAAAACATACATTGTGAAATTTTCAATTATTTATTTCTCAAATTTTATGGCCAAGAACACTCAAAGTAGTCTGAAATCTTATTAATGTAATATTTCTAATATTCGAGTCATTCTTGACCTTTAAATCGCAAAACGATTCGAATTGCAGTGGCCAAGTTTTTTTGATGACCTTTCCTTTCGCATATTTTAACTGGACAATAGTAAGCGATCAAACATCAAACAAAACGGGTAAACGATCGTTCCTTTGATTTTTAGGACTATGAATAGGAATAGACGGAAATAAAAAATCAGCGTTACTATTTTGAGCATTAAAAATGACAATAAAATTTCGGAGTTATTACGGGTAAAATATAGCCTAAAATCTAAAATTAACCTCTCTAGAACAAAGCCCCTCTAAAATGAATATTTTTTTGCCGTTCTCTAATTTTGTTGTACAGAGGGTTTACTCTACTTCTGCCAATGCAAATTCGTCACCAAATTTTTGCGAATTTTGAAGTTGTAGTTGCTGATATTGGTGCTATTCTAGAGCCAAAAAATGGGCAAAAATTGCAACAAAAGAGCTCAAAATGCAATGCTCGAGTTTCCTCAAATTCTATAGGTATTCTCTACCCTACTTATAGAGGAATTGTTGAAGATCATGGCCCGCGAATACAACCAGGAGCGATTTGGCATAGCCTGAGCTGTTGGACGACCATTGATGACAAGAAGTTGTGGAGAGTGAAGCCAAAGCGCCACAGAAAAACTACGGTATTTTTTGGCCGTTCTGCATTTCGCGGCTGGTGATTGTTTTTGTGGCAGCCTTGTGTTCCATTAGGAATTGTCATTTCCGCATCTCGAAAAATCTCCAAAAAAGTAAATTTGTTGGGCAAATTTTTTTAACGTTATTATCTCACTGATTTGTGCAAAATGCAGACTAAAAATCTCACA